TGTTTTAGGCCAGAGTTAGACATTTTGTTTATGGCACTGGACTGATGACCTTGATATAATGTGGTTCACTCGTGACAATATGACTTCTTAATCTATGCGATCTTACGTTCACGTCACATCGTCCCTTTAATTGGCTCACCTTATCGTAGCAGTCGGAAGTATTATTTGTAAGAACATTTGAAAAACACATTAAGGCTGTTGAGATATATTTGATATAAAGGTGAGAGATTTACAATCAAAACACCTGAATAAGTAAGCCATGAGATCTCTAAAACCTTTCCTTACCAATCCCTATTAATATTGACTATTCTTCATTCATGAGTCAACGTTCAGTGTTGTCCCACTATCAAAACGAAACTCGCGATAGAAACACTGGTTATATTAATCACAACGAACAAAGTAAACACAAAAATTAAAAGACAAAGTTCAATAGTTGAAGTAAATGTGTGGAATATTCTTGACGATTCTTGGCCCACAAAATAATGCTGAAAATGCGCTGTTGTCAAAATTTTAAAGATAAGTCTACCAATTCACAGTGAGTTACTACTATTTCTCTGCAAATTCTGATATTTGGAATGGGCAAGTTCTCACATTTATGTACTGTGCTCTTCATTTACCTGACCATGTATAAGTACTTGCGATATACGTATCCTATATATATCTATTTTCTAGAATTTAAGTTAGCCCGAACGGAATTAGGCCAATGAATATAAGTGAAATTAATCATGTTCTATACATGTTTAGATTCACCATGCAATTCTAACAATTTTGCACTGGTAAACACGGGATATGGTAGTGGTATCTACATTTATCTACTACAACTAACGATATCTCAACCGTCCTGTTCTAATCGTACTAACTTATGATTCTTTGTACTTCATCGCGCGCTGATTATGAGGTGGTTTTAAATCTGGTACATGATTGAAAAAACGATAGAGTTAATAAATTAATAACTCATTTTCTGACGTTCATTCGCAAAGAAGCTTATAATATGCCTAAGAATCTGGTTTGTCCAAACAAACCAGGAATTACTACTTAATCATATGCAGTGTTCAGGCTTTCAATGAAGAGAGACCGAGATTTCATAAAATGATGTGACAAAGTGATCAGAAATCTAAAAACTTTATACTTGAACTGCAGAAACAGACCGCGAAGTGCGGTTTTGTACACTATATTGCGCGCTTTACGAGCTGAAAGATTAGTTCTAACGTGATTTGCATTCCTCAAACTTTTGCTGTGTCCTTCCACAAAATGGTATCATTTTTAATCTAAAGGATCTATACTTAACTTAACTTAACGTTCGGTTTGTTACCTTTTTTGAGTTTTCCCCAAGTTATTCGTTGACTGTGGTTTCGCCTTAGCAAACTATTCGGCTTTTCAGTTTTTCACATCAAAGGTAGTTTTAGTTTATTCTAGCCTTGTACTATCCATTTTATCTTCTCTTAGTGTACTGGTTTTTTGTTTTACAATCGCAAACGTTTGCTAGCCTCTATTAAATAACCTACATCACTATGGCCATGAGGGATTCATGCGAGCGATGCGGCCGCTGTTTTGCTGTTACCTCTGGTATGCAGTGTGGCATATACAAAGGTTGGTCCCACGAAGCATGCACAAATCTTATGGTACATGCCTACAACTGACTTTATAAGTCGGATGGTAGGTAGGTATTGCTGAGCAACATCATCATTCTCTTGACAGGTTTGCAAAAATGGCTGTCAGCAAACATGAAAAAATGTAGTCCTAAAACGGGTAAACCTACAAATACGCTCAGTGAAGAAAAGAAGAGGGACCCGACAACACTAATATTGGTGGAACATGCATTGACACTAGTGAGGACAGGATGACGCCCAACACCGTCATAGCATCGACGGTGCTAGACTCCCTCAGAAAACTTGGGTCTCTCAATACAGGGTCCCTCAATGAAACAATGGCCCCCAAAACTCAGTAGGGGATCAGGCCTCGTCAACAAAGTTAAAAAGTCGAGCGTCACCATCTAAGAAGCAGAACATCCCAAGTATTGTGGTGCAATCAACTGGCAATTTAGCCGCATAGTCTACCCTTAAGATTTTTTAGCCGGTCAGAAAAGAGTACAGGAATCTAAAACGCTCTTCAACCACTAAGCGACAAGGTTCTCAACCTGAACGTACTCGAAAACGTGAGAAAAAATATCATGGCTTGTGATGATTCTCTCATAATCACGAACCTTAAAGACAGCACAGACCTTCCTTCAAGTCCTCAGGACACAAAATGATAGGCTGCTTTGAAAAGAGTTGAAGAGGGAATGTAAGACTACTGCATAACACACCGCATTCTGAGTGCAATTTTATCAGGAACATTCCTAAGGAATCTTGTGAGAAGTATTTCTGCGGAAGAAATATCATCGTACCACAAAATGTGAACCCTGACTACACAAACTCTTATATTCGGCAATGGAAGTTCACCAAACAGTCTTTGAATCTCAAAAACATATTGACACAACAAGTGGTGTGACAAGCCAAGAAGGATTGGGATTCTAGACCCCATCTGATGAAAATAATCCCCCGATCTTCCCATATGGTGGCTGCAACTCTCAAAGCATTTTGTGCTAAAAGACGCCGGTTGCCTATTGGAATCCATATGCACCAGAATAGACCATACGATATCATGATCAGGCACAAATCTAGTTGGAGCTGACCACTCCACTTGTGGACTGCCTAGATCATAAGAAAAAACGTAAAAAGGACGGGGGCTTCCAACTCAAAATACCTGTTTAGGTAGGTTACCTTTACATTCGCCGAACGCTCATAATGATAAACAGGATAGGGAAGCTCAAGCGCTTCAAATTGAAAGTATAAACTGTTGATATATGAACGCCGCTAGTTTAATGAATAAAATGGATGAGCTGAGTGAACTCAGCAATGTTAATAATACTTATCTGATAGGAATATCTGAATCATGAATGCTTTTTCATCTTACGGACCAGAAGCTAGCAACATCCAGGATGTCTTTGTTACGCGATGAAAGAAAAACAGGAATGGGGCAGAGTGGCTTTATACTTATGATCATGCCTGGAGGTACATCAAGTTCACAACCAATAGTTTATCAATCTTGATAAATTCATATGGTGCTCAGTAAGATTGTCTACCACCTCGAGGTGTCTAGTTGTAGTAATCTACAGGAAGCACATTGCTGACATCTAGTACGACTATCATATGCTGGAAGGATTGCTCCACTCTACTCGTCTCGGATTCACTCATATCCTGATTCTAAGGGACTTCAGTCTTTATAAAGTCATTTTTGCGGAACATATGTATAGTGGGTGTGAAAACTACACTGAAGCTTGGTTCTTCAGCCTCATTGAAGATCTAGGATTATTCTAAAATGTGAAGTCGTCAACTCGTTGAAGAAACAGTTAAACGCCTTCCCGCTTAAACTGGGTGTTTACAAGCGAAGAATTCCACGTTAACAACTTCTCGATCATGGCTCCCCTGGAGAGAAGCGATCACGCCATTATAGACTTCAATTTTTTCAGCAAAACTGAGCTAAGAAATCCTACCGACAACAGGCTCTGGAAGTTCAAATGGTTGTACGTGTCAGCTATACGGGACAATGAACAGCTAGTGAATTGCGAAGTTTACCATCAACTTGATATGAATATTCAATGGGATTTCTTACTTCACACGATCTTATTTGCTACAAAGCAGTCTGTTCCTCAAACGGTGCCCATAATCGATTAGCAACAAAAAGTCATTAAGAACCACACTCTTCATTTACTAAGCCGCAAAAGGCATTGTTAGGTGGAATACAAACGAACTAATAGCAACATCGCGTACAGTCTATACAAACATACAAGGAACATTGCACGAAGGCGGTAAGAGAAGACAGGCTTCAGTATCCGATAAAGTTCATCAATAAATTTGTCTCCAGTTCGAAAAGCTTATTCCGTCACGTAGCCTCTCTTCGACAAGCCAAAACTGGGGTTTCTCAACTGTTAGGTCCTAATGGTTCAACCAACAACGATTGCGAAGCCGCTAACCTTTATGGCCGAACAATACTCTTGGACATTTCGACCGACCCACACCGACTATATTGATAAAAGCTTTATCTTCAACTCCACAAGACTTTCAGAAGTGAACCTGAGCGCTGACTTGGTGTGTCGGAAACTGAAGCACCTAAGAAAGTTCACTTCTCCTGGCCCCGATATGGTCCATTCTGCCATACTAAGGGAAGAGGCTTCAATTCTGGCAACACCACTTAGCATGATGCTCTCACATTTGCTAAACCAAGGCACATTACCGGGAAATTAGGAGCTGGCTCACATCATTCCAATTTTCAAAGGTCAACGCAGTGAACCTTCAAGCTACCGACCGGTGGTACTTCTCTCCATACCCTCAAAAGTTATGGATTCGTAAATATGCGACGTCATACCCGTTTATTTATTATCTATAAAATTATTTTCAACCCAGCAGCACGTTTTCAGTAAAAGTCACTCCTGTATAACCAACCTGCTGATTGCAGTGGACAGATGGGCAACCATCATTGGTCTCAAGAGAAAAATTGACGTCATTTACCTTGATTTCGCAAAAGCTTTTGATAGAGTCGACCATATATGTCTTATCAATAAGTTCAAACGAGTAGGTATCAAATCACCTTTAACTGACTGACTCACTTAATATCGAAAAAATCGACATTTAAGGTAATGGTTAGCTTCACTTTCTCTCAAGATACGGAATATCTTAGTGGGATCCCCCAGGGCTCAGTACAAGTACCTTTCTTGATTTATATCAACGATTTTCCACAGCAGGTATCATCAGATTTATTGCGTTTTTCTGATGATGTGATACACTGAAGAGAAGTACATAGTCATGGTCAGAGACTTAGTGCTTATGTGGAGATAGACCCGACAACCTTATTTTGTAAATAGTTTTCAATGTTATTTGTATTTATTTTGTCAGCCTTCCACTGCATGTATATTTAACATTAAATGGCTGTAACTGTTGTTTTAGTAAATGACCTTGAACACACTTTCCGTTGTACTACTACATAGCGTGACATACCGCTGCTGGTTAACAAATACACCGCTTCTCACACATTCCTCGTTCTATTTTCATTTGTGATTGAGCTAATTGAAGTCTAAATCAAATATTATCTACATTTATAGACTGTAATCGGAATATATCACATCCTATGTTGGACTATATCATTAGAGAGTTCGCCAACCTGCTCAGAATCAGCAAACGTTTATAATTGTGGATTTACATTACTGGACCTAATCATAACACGCAACGTCTGATCAATTTAAGTAACGTCCCTAATTTTTATTGTATTTGTAACAATTAATTATATATATTGATATTACTATTGATTTTTAATAACTTTGTTTATACTTTTTGCGTTCATATCTGTTTGGTCCACCACACTTAATTGCATCGTCTACCTCAGAAGAATATCATCGTGAGTTCAAATAAGTATTAATTTTGTGTATCAAGTCTTGAATGTCTTAAATACTTATTTGACAGTAACGGTTTTAAACCACTGATAAATGCACCTTATCTAAAAATATTACAGAACAACATTCACTAGTGGGTGCTCTTCAGTACTATTCCCGTTTTATTCCTAATTTTTCTTGTTGTTCCGATTGTATATTTAGTACATGAACATCCAGCTCATTTAAATGGGGTGAGGAACAAGAGTCATGCTTACGAAGTCTACTCAACTTTCTTCAAAGTGATGCTATTCTTCAAACTTACTTTACTAGAGTTCATTCTGTACCTATGACTGATGCATAACCTGCGGATAATGGTACATTTTTGGAGCTGGAAGGTAGACCAGTAATCTGTGTTTCACGCAAACTTACAAGGCTTTTCACAAATTCAGCGAGAAGCATTAGCTGTCTTTTGTGCTGTTATAAAACTTCGTAGATATTTATTCAGAAAAATTCTGTATTGTTACAGACCATGAAGCTTTTAAGTCTAGTCACCATTCTCAGCTGCTATGGTTCTACGATCGAGTATTGCTTTGAGTGCTTATGACTACTATTCAGCACAGAAGTGCCAAACAAATTCAACATGTTGACTACATTTCTCGACAATCATTACAAGACAGATTTGGTGATACATAGGACTGTTTGTTAGTGCGATCTTTACTGGTAAGACATCCAAATCTCATTAGAGTAACTCGTAGATACGAAAAGATTGGAATGCTAATCCGAAACACAGATTTTCTGTTTATTTTTCAAAGCGGCATGAGTTATTCACCACTCCTGATGGTATTTTGTTTTTAAATAAGAGTGTTGTTATTCCTCCCTCGCTACGGAAATCTGTCTTTAAAGATCTTCATAGGTGTTGAGAAAATGAAGTAATTGGCAAGGCTCACATGTTGGTGGCCGGAGATAAATGCAGATATATGTCGTAAAGCAAACAATTGTGGAAAATGTCATAAGTTGAAAAGTCAGTCTTCGAAGTGGACTCCATGAGCAGTATCGTTTGAGGCCTGGCAGAGAATTCATGCAGACTACTGTGGTCCATTTCTTAGAAATTGTAGTCACTGATTCTTTTTCCAAGTGGCCCGAAGTCTTTTTCACAAACACCAATTTCTGACTTCATAATACAAGCATTAAGAAAGATGTTTAGTTGAGAAGGGGTTCCCATGGTGTTAGTGACTGATAATAATTCTAGTTTTTTGCGGATGCAGTTTCTACTTGGTTGAATGGTATAGGGTGTAAACATCTGTTCACTACTCTCAGGTACCCTTGTACTAATGGTCAGGCAGAAAATTTTGCCAGAACATTGAAGAATGTTATAGTTTCTGTTTCTGCTTCAACGAAATTACACTTAAGTAAGTTGTTGCCTTCTTGAACTCATTTACGATATATCTTGACTTATTAGTAATCGTAATATATATGTAATCAATAATACATTCATAGGCGAATCTTATTGTCTTTATTTTAATTTCATTAGCTTAATTCTTCCGTTATTTGCCTACAAATGAATACTTACTCAAACTTTTCCCATCTTTAAAAAACAATGAAAGTTTCAAATACAGACTATTTATCTAAATAATGATCGAATCCCTTATCATTTATAGTTAAGGACAAACATAAATATTGTTATAAATAAAAACGCTTTGCCACGATATCATCAAGAATACTTAAACATTCCATGTACTGAAATATTTTAGGTCAGATCGTTTTCACATATCTATATCTTAAATAATTAAGTTGTTCACTAGGTTGTCACATCTATATAACCCTTTTTCATTGAACATAAAATTAAATTAAGAATGGGATTTTGTGTATATTACAGTAATTCTAATAGTTGTTCCCATCAGTCAATTAATTTTTATTTATTTTTTGTTTGAACACATAGATATTGGTACAAGGGGGCACCAGATACATATGCGCCACACAAATCTTATTTGATTTGTATGTGGACTGTGATATTACCCGGGTGCTCAGACCGAAGCAGGTGGTTTTCTTAGGGGGGCACACCCAGAGTCTTCGACCCAAAGGTTTGACCCACAAGGCAGTGTAGCATCGTAAGGAGATGCGGTCCCATAGTAGATGGTGACCAACGATTGGTTCATACGACATTTTTTCCCTCAGCATACTGGAGCTAATGTGCAATATTGGTTTGGAATGAGGGTTTTCCAACTCCCCTATGTGGACTCTCCATGTCCACCAACCCGGTTGAAGCGTCGGACGTTCGCTTTTCGTCATTTCAATTTCATAAACAACAGTAATGTCACAAGAAGGCAGTGAGTAGGACTTCTCTGGCAGAAGCTATACACGCGTGGCCATGTGAGAGCATTTCGAGAGAGATAGAGGACTCTTCGCACTCTCAGCTGTACCAGGGCATTTGGGGGTTAGTCAATCGGAAAACCTCGAAGCACTGGACAGCCATTTCGTCCTACTGTTACATCCTTGTAATTTGGACTTTGTTTAGTACAAATCAAATACTTTTTATCAGACAAAAAAGTTTATTTGTTATTCATCGATTAAAATAATTGCTCAAACTAAACATAAACATAACATGAATTAGTGATTTAACGATTGTTCTTTAATTGAAGTGAAGAATAAATTTAGCAAAATAGATGACAAAAGACACAATTACGAATTCAATGTGTAGTTTGTTTGGTTGTTTGTAAGAAAGTGTGCATAGATATGTAGAATGTATAAATATAATGGAAATACACAATAAATAAAAATGAATACGAAAACTACAATTATAATCAAAGTAAATAAATTCTAGGTAATAATTTATAAATTAATAAATTGAGTAGAATTGTTATCAATGATGTTAGAAAACCAGTTGATCTCTAAAAAAAAGAAAGTATATAAGAAGAAAAATTGACCAAATTTAATTCATATTCCAGTATATCATTAGTGTTATTATTAATCAAAGAAACCTTTTCATTCTGACGAAAAAAGAAACACAACAGAATTTCAAAGTACAATCAGTGAAGATTTGTAACTCAGGTGGATGATTTTGGTGGAGTTTTGTTCTCTGAGCTGGATGGTTTGGTCGTGCAGCTTTCATTGTTCTTCTGACACGTTCTTCGAACACTTCATTTCTACTTGACGCTTGTGCTGATGATGTCATTCAGAAGAACGATGAAAGTTCCACGACCAAACCATCCAGCTCAGAGAACAAAACTCCACTAAAAAAATACTATCAATTCACATCTCACTAACCTCTAACCTCATGTTTATAGGATTCATGATTACCAGATATCTTTTAAAGATTTAAATTTTCCAGGAAGGTAATCTTATATACATATATATACTACAAGAATTGCATCAAGCAGGTTAACGAATCAAACTATTTTATTTGTCAGTAACGAGGTTGTGGAGATTGCTGAGTGTTTTTTATTGAGATCATCATCAATGCTGGACCACCATTGAAAACCTGGGAACACTGGATGGTCGTTTTGTCATAGTATGGGACTCCTCAACAATGCGCATTCACGATCCTGTACATCGGGTTTGAATCTAGGACCTTTGGTATCGCTCTCGAACGTTTGAATTCTAGACAACTAAGCTGGCATCCAACAACGTTAATATCTAACTTCAACCAATCCATGATATTGCGCAACCATCTTCTATTGTCTTAGGTAGATACTTGTCTCTAAACGACACAGCTTAACTCCACTGGTCACAGCTTCTCACTGGAACTCCTAGAATTACTTCTCGAAGCTAGTCACTAATGAGCACTTCGTAATTATTTGGTAATAATAAATAAAACAAAAAGACTTTTGCAACTACAAGGAAAGGAGAGTAGCTGAGGCTTCTCATATATTTCTAGATCCTGCTACTCTCACTAGAAAAGAAGACCTTACTATCAATCCGACATGGATCATCTATCCAAGCTACGTAGGTCCTGGGTTTGAATCCAATGGTGGTTGCGCACTGCTGAGGAGTCTCATACTAGAACGAAGTGCTTCCAGGTTTTCAATGGTGTTTTAACATTGATCAGTTCATGATTTCGATAAAATCAAATATCCTCACAACACCATACTAATAATAATATGACAATAATTATTGTCTTATTATTAATTTATTATTATTAATTCATAATGCAATGAGGAGTTTTAAAACTTACACATCCAGCATTTGTCTTGTCATTTGTTGCTGTATAATCAACACCTCCGACGGAAAACGTAACACTTCCATCATTTAAAGAAGATGTAAAACTGGTCAATGCATTTTGGATTACAGTTGTCGTATCAGATGCTGCAATCAAATCTACAGTTATACTACCTATAATGCGTTTATTAAAGTAAAAGAAATGATTAGAATAATATCTGATTCATCTTAAAAATATATAATATAAATATATAACTTTTACTGAGCCTTTCATCCGGTACAGCAACACTTTTCCTAGTACTGACAGTAGTGTGATGACTATAGATCTCACAATTGCTCTGATCTTTCTTCGGTATATATATTATATATATAGTTACTGGTACAGTAGAAACAATAACAAAAAAGTTGATTTCGCAGAATCATTGATTCCATCCCTTCAAAAATAAACGTTTTTCTTGAGAAAATATGGTATATTATCAAATTACAGTGCAAAATTACCAAATTTCATAAGGAAAAAACAATTAATTTGCTTCTATTTGGTGATTGATTTTAATTAGAAATCTTGAGAGCTGAATATGAAATCAATCTCCGAAAGTTAATTTTCTGAAGCAAACGAAAGAAAATTTTATTGCATTAAACAAATTACTATGACTTTAGATAGTCTTTTATCATAGTTCATGAAACACATTGTTCACTCACTGAGTCATGTTTCCTATCATGTTTAGTCATATACGATTCTAAACTAAATCTCTCAGTTGAAATTTGCAATACGACACAACATATATAGATTAACAAGTAGGCACTAGTTCCATGTATTCCAGTTCTTAATTTTAAGCATATTCTGATTCCGAAATTGGAAATGTTACAGTTAGTCTAAGTGACTTAGTATTGTGTTTCATCTTGCACAGTATAAATTAACTGTAGTTAATATGTAGGGTATCCTAGAACAAGATTTCGTGATGATCAGTATTTTCACATATTTATGGTGATATATCATAACATTCAAATTGTTTTAATGAATATTTACATTGTTAAATTCTTTATAGAGTATTGTTAATTGGATTCTAAGTTTGTACGTTTTTGAGTTTGTGTTCATCAATATCCTTCAAAGAGCACACTAATGATTGCATAAACAATTTGAAGGACTATGCAGTAATAACCTCAAAAATATGTGTCCGATGGGTTCGTTCATTCCGGTTGTATATATGAATTACTTCGCGTAAACATTATCTTCTTCAAAACCATTAACGAAGTAAATTAATTCACTTTATGGAAATCGAACAAGATTTTAGACATATTTCTTTGTCTGAAGTGTGTGGAACTATACTATGTTGCCAAAATAATGATAATCTAAATATCTATCTACTTTAAAGTGCTAGCGCCAAATTTCTGAAAATAATGCTGACTATCGAAACTATCATTAGTAATATGATTATATCTTTATGATGTACTAAAGATCCTTTGGATTAGTTATATAGTGTACTTGGTATTATATTGCAGTAGAAGTAACCATGTATAAATGTAAAGATATATATTGATCCTTATTAGATTTAATACAATATGTAAAGCCGAAGTGACCGGAATTTTTTTATTTATTCAAACATAATGCCAAACCAAGCTATTAAAATTTATGATACGCTGGATAACGTTTATTACTTTGACTACTAGATATGTTGGATGTAATTATTTAGGATAAAGAAATTGTTAAATAAGGATATTATTGTGTAAATACACTGTTGAGTGTACTTTCAAACAACTTGAAATCAAGACAATGTTCTCTTTGAGAATATTCGAAGGCTTATAAGGAATCTATGCCGGGAAACGATCAGCAAACATATAGAAACGTTTTTACCATCGAACAAAACTTTAATCTGGAGAAAAAAACAAATACCGATTTTGAATCTCATATATCATGCCGTACATATTGAAGTTTTTTTACTTTGTGCTAAAAGCTTGTAAATTTGATAAATTTATACTTCCATTGGTTACTGAGAAGTATAGCTGTTGTGAATGCGAACACAAGTGGGGATAATCAAATATATCTTGGTAAAATCTGACAACCATACAGTAAACACTTCATTTGCAAAATATTCATCAATCGCCTCAGACTTTGTTATTCCTTCATTTCCATATCAAACACTCTCTGTTCTCGTTCTCTTCTCTTCGGATTATCTTAACCTTTGCCACCAGGCATTCCACTTTCGATTGGTAATACATACTACTTATATCTGTAGACATCAGTAACATACACCAAATAACAACTTCGAGATTATTTCATGAGATACTTAGATATGTCAGTATGATGTGGTTCTACCTTTATATTCCAAAAGCAGATATGAAAGGTCTAGTTCATTATTTAAGTAACAAATATAAAATCTAAATCCACTTGGTGTTGTTTTATTCGTATCTTCCCACAAGCAGGTGGCATTCAGGAATCAGTAGTTAAGTGGGTAATGCAATGGTGTCTAAAGCGAATGGTACTGGGTTCGAGTCCCAAAGTGAACATCAACTCGGATGCAGGTACATCCAGCCGACAAGTCCCAAATAGGACGAAACGCGCTTTGTCCTGAATTCCACGGTTAGCCACTATCCATCTTTACTTAAAATATAAAATCTTATCAAAAATTTAATAAATCAATATTCTTACCTTTACTTAATGTTATATTTTCAAATAATATATTAGGATAACGCATTAATAATTCAGATTGTATAGCAGCTTTAAATTCATCAACATATAGCAACATATTTTCATAACTACCAGTAACTTTAAATCGAAATGGTTTCATTACTTTTTTAGTTGGTTCAGTATAATTTTCTGGATTAACATAAATTCTAAATTTGGTTATTGGTAAATCATATTGTAATTGTCTTGTTATACTGTCATTTAAATAAGCATTAGCACTAATGCAATATGTATATACCCAAGATAATTGAAATCCATTAATAGTCCATGTGAAATTGTTATTTGTCTTAGATGAATCATATACTAATGAAGAAGAGGAAGTTATTGGAATATTTTTTGGTTTTCTACTATTTGGACAAATATCACCAGTGAATTTCCATATTAAATTCTTAAATAAAGAATTATAAAGAGAAAAAGGTTTGTGGATATATAATTAGGGTTTTAATATCTACTCTATAAACTCACTTCCATTGAACTGATATTGTGAAAGAGAAAAGATTAAAAAGATGTTCCATTCTAGTATGGAACTTCTTAGCAAGGTCAATCAAAAAATGATACTAGGGGTCGAACCCAGAATCTTTTGGAGTGAATAGACTTGAGATATCTAGTGGTTTGTATTTCTACATACTCGCTTTGAGGCCTGAAAGTCTTGAGTTTGATCCCTGACGGTGTAATAGATGCTCATTATTAAATAGTCCCCTACTAAAACAAAACTGCTATCCACTATTGATTGCTTTTTAATGATACCTTTGCTAAGGCCAGTTGGTGAAGTGCATCATGAAAAAGTTCAAATTTAGGTTTTAAGCAAACCTACTAGAAACATATAACATGTATTTTAGTTCTATTTGTGACCTACTATTTCTTTGTACACCATTAAAATATCTTCCGAATTAAACATTCCTGTACTTCAATCTTAATGATGAATCAATATAGCCAATAAAGTGAAGTTGTGTAACCCTAAAGTTTTCGGTTCAATCATGTCACAACTAACAAATAATAAATATTATTGGTTAAGTCGATTTCATTTGTATGTTTATTTGGTTATTAAACCACTCGTTAGGTAACTTAGTTCCGCTCATTTTTGTATGTAAATATGACATTTAATCTTCTAATATGGTTGCTAATAATGGTTGCTTTTCTCTAACTTGATTCGAAATTAAGAATAAATTTACTTAATCAATCTATTAGTTTGACTACCTTAGATATTCAAGTAATTGTATTGACCAGTTGTGAATTTATGTGGCATTATTGATTCACACTGTTGTCAACGTGTCTTAGACTAGAACGGTAATACGTAATTGAACCTTTTTCCAATGAATCCTCTAGAAAATTTCACAGTATCTCAATAATAGCAATGTAATGTTTCTTCCTAACTGAACCAATCATGTTACTCATACAGTAAATGACTATAAGTCGAATTCATATTGTAACTTACTCGCCAATTAATCCTTTCAACTGGAGCACCACTTTGTTTGTCAATAATGTTCATTTGAATGGTAAAGCTTTGATTAACAGATAATTTGATAATTGAATTATCAGAATTAGATGGAATTGGACAAATCAGTAAACTTAGCTGTTTATTTGCTACAGGAAAAGTTAATGATGTATTTAATCTGGTTGAGTCATTTGGTGAAATCACCTGTAAATATAAATATTGATATTAAATATTATCTGGAAATTACACAAATAAGATTAAATTGACGTACTTTAAAAACGAATTCTTTTGGATTTAGACAAGCATCATCTATGTGAAGATAAAATTATTGATGAAGTGATTTGTTTCTATATTGATTACTTCATGGAGACAAGTTATCATTGGTACTACAATTTTTAACAGTACAGTTGAAACAAGACTGAATAACTAAGTTTACAAGTCATTCTACTCAATGACAAAGGATTAGTAAGCAGCCTAATTAGCAACCTAACACAAATTTACATGGTGTGTTAATCGAAAAACTATTGAATTCGAATAGTTTTGTTTTGTCTTCACTAAATTATTAGTTTTTCATTGATAGGGTGAAGATTATTAATCAGTTTGTTAGGTCTAAACTGTTTATAGTAGATAAACGAAAGTATACTACAGTGGAACTAATAATCCTAGGTTTCAATAATATTCCAGTTATAATCTTTATTAAGACGGTGTATAAATGTTGGGCAAATGTAGGTAGTATTCGATTTAACCCTCCTTGCATTTTGTACTCATCAACAACGTGTACTTGTTGCTTTCAGGGAACTAATGCTCCCTAGTGGATTCTAATGCTTGTCAGACGGTTTCAAAGTCTGAGACAGTACCGATAGGCTGTATGAATGAGATGTTTCCACTGACTGATTAATGGGCATTGGTATATTTTGTCCAATTCTTAGTACTGATAGAATTCCATAGATCAAGTTTATAAATGAAATTCTTCATAATACAAATGATAAATAGTGATGCGAGAAGTGAATGTCAACTTATTTCATTTTGGGGTCCGATGCTAAATGTTTAGTAAAGAACTATTTACTATTTATTTCAACATGAACTTTCCAAGTTTCCAATGAGAACATATGGTTTATAAAATCATTCTCAGTATGAGGTTGTGGAAATTGTCGATTGCATTGTGATCGTGAACCAATCAATTTCAGGCCACTGTTAAAAACTTGGAAGGACTAGACAGACGTTTCGTTCTAGTGCGGAACTCCTCAACAATACGCATTCACGACCCCGCACGCGGTACAGAAACCGAGGACCTTAGACCTCGATCGGACGCTTAACCTATGGACCACTGAATCGGCATCCAAGGTTGTTAATAACTAAGACAGCTACACACCGAAGACAATAGATGGTCACGCCATGTCTTGGGTTGGTTGAAGTCATACACTGACGCCGTTGAATGCCAACTCAGTAGTCTAGATGCTGGGCGTTCACATGTGAAACTAGAGATCCGGGGTTCGTGGATGCACACCGCTGTGGAGTCCTACACTAGGACGAAGTGAATATCAAGAACTTCCAGGTTTTGATGTGTGGTTTAACTTAGATTGGCTCATTATTTTCAATAGAATTCATGAAAATTATTCAAGCCCACGAAATAGACATCTTGTTGAAATACATTCATTTTACACAATGGCAACATTTGTATTTAAGCCTAAAAAAACATACCTGTAATAATATCACCTTATATTCTTATTACATCCTTTGATATTAAGTTATTATTGCTCTCAGTTAGCTGATATATTTTATTTATTTGACTAGTCATATGTTGGCTATGAAGAGCTCTTACTTAAATTGTATTTAATGATTTAACTAAATAGTTTATTTGGAGCGCTTGAATTCTTTCAGAGTATTTCATAAATTTTCCAGTAGAAAGAATAACCATAACCAGCATTCTTTTATTAAGATTTATACAAATATTAACATGCATTATGTAACACTTTAATGTAGTATTTAATATGAAACGCAATTAATTGTATCCATCACTTATGTATGACATATTTCTCCGTCTTAACACATTTTCCATATGTGATATTCCTTATATCATTGAAACAAGTGTCATAACTATAAGGATGTTGTCATATTTAATTAAAGATCACAACCATTAGATAAACTTTAACAGAATTACCTTTACTATGGGAAATGAAGTTCACTAGATTGATTTATTATAAAATAGTGATTGTGCATTGTATGATAGTTGCAAATCAGGTAAGATCTATTGTTAGCTGTCCTTAGTTTTCTTTGTTCCTTTAGCTGATCTCAATTTTTGTAAATTTCTTAGCTAAATATTTTCAGTACTAGAGTTACACGCTCTGTTTTATTTATTATTAAACAATAATATCAAACAACGTTTTTTTCTTTTGACTTCAGGAGAATTAAAATGGTAACTTTAATTCAATTGGATTTACTTTAATATTCTATCATCTAACAAAAAATAATGATTTCTGTTAGAAGGTGAAAACAATATTTCCTGTCATATTTATGTATATATACTACTTATATTGATTGAAGTTATACATTAACTCCGTTGAATGCCGGTTCAGCGGTCTAGAGGTCAAGCGTTAACGTGCGAGACCGAAGATCTTGGGTTCGAATCATATGTGCAGGATCGTGGACTCACATTGCTAAGGAGTCCCATACCATGACGAAACGACCGTTCAATGCTTCAAGGTTTCCAGTGGTGGTCTAACATCAATCAATTCATGATCTCAATCATAAATTAAAATTGATAAAAAACATTTCATTGATAACAGAGATATTTAATAACTTACCGAAACAAAGAGATCAGCCTGACCAGATTCCGAAAATATCAAATTGGAAATTAAAGCTGTTCCAGTTGTAGGATCTTCAAAATTTGTTTTTGGTACTTTTACAGGTGACACTGTAGCATTTGGTTGCAATATTTCATATGCCCAAATACTTGAATTTGAACCTAATGGTTTTACAATATTTCCCTAAAACAATATTATCCAAAAAGAAAAATAATCATATTATTGTAATATTCACATGGTAAAAGGAGAAAGTCCATAAAATTACATTTACAGTTATAGCGGAACTTCTGAAACTGTTTGTTGGCGAACGGTTATTTATTAGTTTTACTATGTAATGATTAACTTATTGATTTATAATACTTTTATGTTGCCTTATTTACAAACTTTTGACATGTTTCACTTGTTTTCAATGATCGTTAATTAATTATTCACTTCACACTCTATTCTCTAACATTCCAGCTTAGTTATGAGTAAACAATCACTTTTATTTACTGTGTAATGTGGTCTAGTAGCTCTCTCTCTCTCTCTCTCTCTCTATATATATATATATATATATATATATATATATATATATATATATATATATATATATAAACAGATGTGTGCTTGAAATATATGGATAGAGAGTTGCCTGCTTGAAGTGTTCCTACTTCGGACTGAATACTGTGTCGGAGGGAAAACTTGTGTTCTGGAACCATAGGTACTAATAACTATCTCGATCCCTACTCAAGGTAAATTGTTATTCATCATAGTCTATAACTGGTCAGATCTAATGTCGCCGATTTATGAGCGATAAATATGCTCGGATTAGAGGACTACAAAATTGAATAGAATAGAATCTTATCTTAATTAATTGAAAATATAAGAAGACTTAAGAACATAAGAAAAACGATAATTAATAAATTATTTCGTTTCTTTTAAAATTAATCGGTTTTCAAGTTACTTAAGAGATTAATACAGGATTATACTATTTTTGTTCATTTTATTTCATCTCATTATATATAGTTGCATTTTTGACAATAATCAACACCTAAATAAATTATCAAACGAAGTTAGTAAACTCTAAATGTTATTTGTTTGAAGTACAAATCTAATCTTTACTGTTAGGTGAAATTCTGTGAAAGAATATACTGTGTAAGCAACTGATCTATTGAATAAATTCCATTTTTCTATTGTTCACTGTAATATTTAAACTTATTATTTTAAACTAGTGTATTGGAAATACTCTAATTCTTAATCTTCATGGACTAAACTTTAATTTGACTACAACTAATATAGCCTTATCAACTCATTAATAAAAGAATTATGACCTAGTGACAATTGCTCAAACTAACAATTGGTCACTGAATTGCCCTGGTACGGCCGAGAGTGGGGAGAGTCCGCTCTCCCTCTCGAAATACTCTCACACGGCCACGCGTATATAGCCTCTGCCAGAGAAGTCCTACTCATTGCCTTCTCGTGGCGGGGGTGTTGTTTACGAAAATGAGAGGACGAAAAGTGAATGTCCGGCGCTTTAACCGGATTCCAAACCAATGGTGCACATGGGCTCCAGTATCCTGCGGGAGCAAATGGCGTATAAACCAATCGTTGGTCACCGGCTACCATGGGATTGCATCTCCTCACGATGTTCCACTGCCTTGTGGGTTAGACCATTAGGTCAAAGGCTCGAGGTGTGGCCCCCTAAGATAACCACCTGCTTCGGTTTGGGCACCCGGGCAGTATCACAGCCCTCACACACATATCGAATGAGATTTGTGTGGCGCATATGTATATGTATATGAATTGAAATAAAGACACCAATATTTAATCAATCACTAATGTATCTAACCAATTGTGTCTTTTTAAAGTTTAGTTATGCGAAAGACCAAAGACATGATTTGAAATGATAACGTTTTACGTAAACGTAAAGAAGTGTAGACCAATTTCAATACACAATAGTATAGTATGATATGAATAATAAAACTGCAGTTTGTTGCTAATTTTGAATTCATTTATAATTTCTATATGTTAAAAATTAATTAAGTAATTCACACAAAGACAATAACTCTGACAAAAATCATACCGAAGAGTCCAATGTACTAATTTCTATCATGAATGGAACTCCTTCAACAACTGAAGTATATCCTGTAGGTACTACAATTTTAACTTGACTCTTTACTGGTATTTGAATCACTTCAGGAATTTGTTGTGAAGTTGTTGAATCTGAAACTTGAGCAGCCCATAATGCACTACCGGATAATGGTGTAGGTTTTTGAATTGTTACACTGACAACTGTTGTATTGATAACTAATAAAACAATATTAAACTTTTATTCCAGTTTTCAGTGTACTTATCATTATTTATGCACATATATATCGATAATATTTATCAAAGTATATTCAAATACTCACTGTCATTTTATCTGAGTTCGTTAATCTGACATGAAAGATTACAACGTCCTAATTGTTATTAAGTTTATGGTACAACATTTTGTTTCTACGATATTCTAAAGTATTTTCATAAATATATTCAAACTTTAATCTAGATATATCCACTCATACTTCATGCCAAAATCCAAGACATGTTATCCTAAATCTGACTGGTTCGTCTATAAATCATCGTCTTACCATATTACTTTATCTCTGCATCTATTCATGCTTACTTCCAAGCAAGAACGAAATGATTTATAGAGTGCGATGAAAGAGTGGTGTTTCGTTGCATTTTCTTCAGTTATACGGAAACTTGTAAATTTACGTAATTTGAAATTTCAACAAATAACACATCTGTCGTGAAACACAGGCTTTTCTGGTTGGACGTATAATAATTGTATTAACTTTAAAAGTCTCTAATGCTCACTTAATTTAAAGGCAGTTTTCGACGTCAATTTATATCGGCTGGCAAATCATTGAGACCGAAAGTATGAAGCACAACTTTTACGTCTTAGTTTCAGACTTCTCAAATGTGAAATCCCAAGTTTGACAATCTGCACAATACCAAAAATTCCAAAACTAGAATAAATGAGTAGATCAGTCTTCAGTAGTTCTGAATGGTTCTCCAATCGGTATCATTCCATAAGTAAAACTACCAGCAAATTTAACAATCTATCTAAAGCTTATTAACTGTTTTTCTTTTCATTTACAAATTATCATTGTGTCGGTTGAGTGATTTACTTGGACAAATATATTAACCCAAAAAATGAACTGTAATGATTATCTATATATGTATAAAGTTTTAATTAAAGTAGCTAAATCAGTGTATGGTAGCATGGTTAAATGAATTCAAAGTTCTCAGAATAAATTTAAATTACCCGATTCTAATAATCCTGTTTGTATTAATGTTACAACGTTGGAAGATATTTCCTCAACTTTTGTCAAACCAGATGTAACATTTGGTGTTACGCCTGTTGATAAGTTTTGACTAGGTGGTGTTGAAATTTCTAATTCAACAAAAACACCAGATGCAGATCGACGTCGACGACGTCCTGAATTTGTACTGGACTCAGATACCACCTTGACTATCCGGATATTCTTCGCAGGTATCTAAGGAAATAGAATGTGATTACATTTAAACATGGAGAAATGAAGGTTATGTCAAAATATAAGTCTTTTGTGCTAAGTTAGGTAATAAGTTATGATATTTCATAATATGTTAGACCCTAAAGATAAATATGTTCATGTTATTTTGTTTATGAAATGAAAAAAACACATACATTATCTTTACGAAACCCTAGTCAAATCAATGTGATCTTCTGTCATCTTAACTAGATACATGTACAAAATCACTTTCTAAATTATGTATACATTACAACTTAGTAATCGTATTTCTGGTAGGTAGCTTGTTTTTTCAAATTAACTAAAAATGTAATTAGTATCTGAAACATAGCTTCCTGATTGGTAGCTATTTATGTAACGTTATGAGTAAGTACTTAAAGTATTTGTTTTTTTTTATCTTCTGACGTACATGAATAAATGCATGGTATAATTATAAACCTCAGCGATGTAGGACGGTTACTTTTTGAGAAAAATAGTTAGTTTTGGATAAGATCCTATGAGAATAATATGAATTATCATTATTTTATTTATTTATTTGAACACATAAATATTGGTACAAGAGAGCGCCAATATATATGCGCCACACAAAACAATGAAAATTCGAAGAGAGATAGAAAAAAACAACTAAGGGGCACAAAAGAAAAAGAGAACGATAACGAAGAGATTGGTGTAAGGTAGTGTGGTAGTAACGAGGGAACGGAAAGGTACAATCAGAAGAAATCTTTCAAGTAAGGGAGACACAACCACTTTTTATGAAGAAAGTAAATGAAGGTTACAGCAGGATCGCCACTGGCTTCTATTCTGAGCCATATCTGATAACGTCTCTAGCCACTGTGTAGCACCATCTCTCAGACCCCAACCAGGGAGTCGTGAAGGACCGACAGAAGCCAGTCCTTTGGAGCTTTCTTTCATACCACGACACCATGTCATGCACTGACCACCTCTCCGCTTTTTCCAACCAGTCCCAGAGTCGGCAAATAATGCACGACGTGGAATTCTCCGGGACGCCATTCGGAGAACATGTCCAAGCCACCGAAGTCGGTGTTTCAAGATGGTGACACCAATTGAATTATCATCTCTATGCCCAAACACACGATGCCGAACCTCTGCATTACTGACATGGTGTTGCCACTGAATGTCAGCAATCCTTCGGAGACAGCGATGATCGAACACAAAGAGTCGTCTAACGTCCTCAACTCGGAGAGGCCAGGTTTCACAAGCATAGAGCAAAACTGCTCTCACCGACGCATTGTAGATCCGACCTTTTACAGCCAGACTAACATCACGAAGGCGCCAAAGATGGCCCAGATTGGCATAAGCCACTCTGGCTTTCACTATACGTGCATTGATCTCATCACTCACACCCTCACCAGCACTTATGCAGCTACCCAGATACACGAACTTCTCGACTACTTCTATCTGCTCACCATCCAGGGTGAGTACAGGATTGGAATGCTGCCAGTCTTGTAGAAGTACTTTGCACTTCGAAGGTGCAAAGCACATACCATACCTATGGACACTGATTGCCAACTGATTAAGTGCGGATTGCATGCCTTGGGCATTATCGCACAGTAAGACAATATCGTCCGCATACTCAAGGTCTAGAAGTCTTTCTCCAGGCAACAGATCCACACCACCATTACTTACATTCATCAGAGCTGTTTCCAGAATGTCATCGATGGCAAAGTTGAAGAGGAATGGTGAGATTGGGCAACCCTGCCTAACCCCACTACTCGAATGGCTTGGGATGCAGAGGGAGGACGCCAGGTGGCGCATCGGCGACGACTGTACCGAAAGTTAGTGCTAGCCAGAAACAGGTTGTGATCTGTGCAAAGTTGCAGTAGACGGTCCCCGTTATCTGACCTGCGACCAACGAGTCCCCATCGGCCACCTAAACGACTCTCTTCTGTGCCTAGACGCCCGACCTGAGCATTCAAGTCTCCGGCTAGTACTACAATATCTGTCGAGCGCACTTTCTGGAGAAGAACAGACAGCTGGTGGTAAAACTCATCCTTGATTGCATCCGGGCTGCAATCTGTCGGAGCATAGGCGGAGATGACGAAAAGACATCGTTTCTCAGGCCGATTTCTTCTCACTTTGATGGAACTTTCTAATCTAACAGCACATAACCGACTGTTAATGGGGATCCAATCGACTAGTGCTGCCTCAGCTCTAGCGCTTAGTGCGACACCAACGCCAGCAAGACCAGACGATGCCACAGGGTCCCCGGATAAGCGCACGTAAAACAAGCTTTTCAAAGCGACAGATGGAGATCGAATTTGTAGTACTTCGCCAGAGTCTTGAATACGGGTCTCGGATAGACAACAAACATCAATATTAAGACTTTCCAAAGACATAGCCAGCCCTATCTGTTGTCCAACCTGCACTAGTGTGCGAACGTTGAAGGCAGCCAATTTGAATGGTGCACGTGGTTTCAGAAAAACTGCTTCAGTTCTCGATGAATTATCATAAGTTTTCACATCAAATATCGTCGTAGAAATGTAGGAAGTGAACAAGCTAAGAAGCATGGTTGAGACATAAATACCACTTACAATGGAAAGCTGGATGTAAGAAATATCTTCCATGAGGAACAAATGATGTAAAAAGCATAAAATTGCACTTCCGAATGCTCTGTACCATTATATGAATTGTTTTATTCAGTAAGATATTTGTATTTCCAGTGTCTTTGATCAGATTATTCGACTGACGCATATATTGGAAAAGTATAAACATACTAATCTGGTAAATTAAATTTTACATTTTCTGATTTCTCCTCTCGTTTATCGTTCAGCTTCCAAATAAATCTAATAAATTTTAGTCAGTCAAAATGTAGATTATTGATTGTTCAGTCAACCAAATAAGCACTCCAATCTGGTGATACATTCCTTATCACTTATTCACTAAATCTAGCATTTATGTGAAGAATGACGATTAATACAAATGAGCCATTATGAACTAGTTTTCTTAACGGTAGTGAAGTCGAAGAGAATAGTGTAGTTAGCGGATTTAGCAGAAGTATTCTATTGACCACTTTCACCTTGAATGGAGAACATAATGGCACTATTCCACGTCTTGTTAACAGAAGATTAAATGATGCACTAAAAATATGTCTACAGACAAAATCAACATTACTCAGTTAATATGTGCATTTTTACAGTTCTGCGATTTTCAGATCAAAAATGCTTAATGAAATGTTTAACATATCATATCAAGCTAATTTGTTTTAATGAAATAGTTGAGGACAAATTAAATAAAATCCACATTTGGTTTAGATCAAGAGAAGTCTGAAATTACCGACACTTCGTGGGATACTTGTATTCTTAAAAAAACTACATTTCTAGAATCACAGCACTAATGGGACAGTATTAAGAGGAATAATTAAAACTCTAAACAAGACATTTGCTACCCGTTCTATAACCACCTTATAATCACAACCCGGAATATAAAAGAAGACATCTCATATTTACCAATTCAACCGCTCCTTTGGAGCAAATTACTTACGGGTGTACGATTCAGTAAGTATTCTCATAGAGTTTTCCTAAAAATGATCTTATTCGACTTAGCTAAAGAGCAAATTTAGGTCGACCAAGAACTCTATACTTTCTTGCTTAGTAAATACACGAGATCAAGCAGAAATAAATAATGCATTGAGAGTAATACAGAGTATTCCATTAAATTTGATTAGCTTTTTAAACATACAGCGGTATATGTCTTAAGAAATCGTATCCCTATACTTAAGAGAAATTTATACAACAGCTCCATTTGTCTTGAGAAAGTTATGGTGAATTATTGTTCTCTCTTTTTTACTTATCGATAAATATCCCAGCTTTCTTTTTGGTCTTTTTGCCCTCACATAATCTTAACATTCATCTCTACTTTTTTAATGCAAACTTTTTTAGTAACCGACTTCTTATTGGAAGTTATATGAGCTCCCGAATTCGATAATATATAATCTATGGATCTTATGCCTATATAGCCAATTCATTCATTTGTTTGGTAATACAGTAGTCACTTTATTCATTCATCTTGTACTTTCTTCATAGATAGTATTCTATATAGATTAGTCACAGTGCTAGTATGATTATGAACTAGCAAACACCGAAGAGCTATTTATTTTATTATGGAACTTGTCAGACCCACCAAGGATCGAACTGAGAAATTCCAAATCTCACAATGAATCCCTAGTCAATAAACCACTGATACAATGTCCAAAATCAAATTACAATGTATAAATTCACTCAGTATTGTTTACTTATTTTACTTGAATTTTCCCATTGATTTTTAGGACTACAAATGAGAAGTCTCTTTTTGGTATATGTGCATACTATGTATATTGCCTCGGTATTACCTTAAGTCACAAGCATTATAAGCAAAGATGGATAATGGCTAGCAGTAGAATTCAATTTGAATCGCGTTTCGTCCTATTTAGGACTCGTCAGCTGAGTGTACTTGATAAGCGGTACTGAGTTTGAGACCCAGAGTGAACACCAACCAATGAGTCCCAAACGGGATGAAACGCGTGTCCTGAATTCCATTTAAATTACGATGTAGGCTGACGATCAACCAGTACTGTTACGGAAAACTGTTTCAGTGGTATACCGTATACGACCAATTTGTGGCATATTCCACTTACGAGTTAAACTAGTCCACACAAAACTCCTTCAAATAACAACTTAATTTACTTCATTTGTCATTCATTACTAATCTCATAAGCGTTTGTAGATTATGTAACATAATTGTAGTGAACAATAACGCGGGTGGAGACAATCGAACGTGTTTGACACGAAATTATAGAGCATCTTACTAAAATCTGAGAACCATATAGTAAATAGTTAATTTGCAAAATATCAGTCCATCGTCTCAAACTTGACTGTTCCATTTGTAAATTAGAACAACACATATAAGCGAACAATTGTTTTAAATTAGTACTTCATCAGGCTTTACTCCAATATACATGAATATTTATACGAAAATGTTAAACCAATTAAGGTAATTTCAGTCAATAATCACAATGAAGTAGAATAGGTCACCACACAGAATAAGTAAAAATATAAGTTGATAGTAGGAAGACAGGTGTACTGATACTAGGTAAGAGTAATAAAATACGATAGCAAAAGTCTTATCTCTTGTCGATCAGCCATGTCTACTCAAACGAAGGATAAGTTACCTGAGTTGGCCTCCTCAATGTGCACTTACAAATTCAGCTGCTCCTGTGGAGATAGCTATAGCGAGCGCATTACCAGACAACTTAACCAACGAATGAGCGAACATCTACCAGCTTGGTTTATATAGGGCCAGATAAAAGCAATTCGTAGTTCTATCTTGGCACATCTTATTGATAGCGGTCATACAGTAGATAAATCGGAAGCATTTCGAGTGATCTATCATATGCCTCCATCATTTCCCAACGGAGTTCGTTCCTGCCTCCCACATATAGCGGAAGCCATAAGAATTCGTACATGTAACCCCAATTTATGTGTACAGAAGTAATTCGTAACCCCCTATCCCATCCATGGCCAATTATAACTTAGCAAACGATTTTTTAATTCTTATTTATTTATTTTATTTTTAATGTCTTGTGATGACTAGTTCAAGCCTATTTACCCACGTTTGACCTTCTATTTCCAATTTTTAACTATTGGTAAGACTTTTGTTATCGTATTGTATTACTCTTACCTAGTATCAATACACCTGTCTTCCTACTATCAACTTATATTTTTACCTATTATTTGTGATAACCTATTCTATTTCATTGTGATTATCGACCCGAATTGCCTTGATTGGTTTAACATTTCCATATAAACATTCATGTATATTAGAATAAAGCCTGATGACGATCTAATTGAAAACAATTGTTCGCTTATATGTATTGTTCTAATTTTCACAATGAGAACCATTTGTAAATATCAGTCCATTGTCTCAGATTTCATTGTTCATGCATTTTTATACCAATTGTGTTCCGTTTCCGTTCTTTCCTCCTCGACCTTCTACTAAAATACATTCTATGCCTGACCACCGTTATATACTACTTATGTGGATATAAGTAATCCATACCACATTATTATTATAATATTAAAACATACATATTGTAATGGAATCAAGATGAAAAACTAATTGAAAAGAAATATGCTTTCAATCTTTAATCATCTTCTGCTTAATGCTTGAATAACAAATTTCTCATTACAAAATGACTGAAATAAACAAATAGTGTTAGAATAAAATAAAAAAATATTTATACTTACACCTAAATAATTAGCTAAATTGTTTACAACTTCTGATCCATAAAATTGATCAATAGTCATAGCGGGTAAACCGAATGCTACTTTTATTAATTGAGATAATTTAATTGTAATAATATCTTCACCTTTTATAATAACATATAACATTTGAGATGAATCATCAAAATAATTTGTACCGGCTGGATCAGTTATTACATTTGGCATAAATTCATTTAATGTTTTAGGTGCTTGTAGTACAGTTTGACCCTAAAATAGAATACAAAGACAGAATAACCACCTGAAATATATATATATATATATATATATATATATATATATATATATATATATATATATATATATATGAGTGTATTGTTTGTGTTTTGAGGACATTATGAATTATGCAATGAAATTCTCAAATATAACAGTTGGATTTTTGTACATTTAACAGTGGCTCAACAATAAAACTACTCTGATTACTTTGAAAACAAGTTATTTATTCTTTAGTTATTGATTTCTTCAAATTTAACCAGTCAAAGAAATATCGTCAAAAACCTACACCACTCCTTGATACACCAAATATGAGACAATTCTGTTCGATGATAGGTCTAGCAGTCTTAAACTCGTTTACCACTACTAGCCATTATTCATCTATTCTTAAAAATGCTCGTTGATTGGTGGCAATATCGAGGTAATCCGCATAGGATGTATATATACTGAAAGAGACTGATCAGTTCCAGTCTTGAATATCAACAGGAACATCCAAATAACCACGACATATAAATTATACTTCCTGTAGTTCTGATATGATATCTTTGCTCAGGAACAAAAGTAAGATATTGATTACTGTAAGTTATTAAACAGCACCAGTTTTTTATGAACCTGTTAATTAGGTCTCAAATATTCATGAATAACAACCGTTTGATATATTATAAACATGTAAACTGGAAGAATATCGTAAACATTTACAAAGAGCACTACAATATAAAAACTCTCACTTCTGATGTTACTCTTCAATAAGGGTAATACTTGTATATTCTTAACGTATTAAGATATCTGTTTGCTATAGAAAAGTACCGCGTACAGATCATTTTTTTAAAGAAAATCCAACGTAATGAACTAATTCACACGTAATTAGGTGTGGTAAAACCTTACATTTGTTATGGGAGTAGTGATAAGTAAAAAAAAAAAAAAAACACTTTCGTCTTATTTAACTTACTACTTAAATAACAATAAACAGCTAGTGATTGATAAACAAAATAAAATTTTGCGAATCACTAAATAAATTATCAATCATATAAAATCATAACTTACTAAATTATTTGTTATAGCATTTTTTGCTTTCATGTATACTCCATTCACATAAACATCAAGTCTTCCAGCAGTGAAATAATCAATTCCAAGACGTACAGCATAATCTGGATCAGCTTGTGGTAAACGTAAACGTAATTCTTGTGGAGGTGTACTAGTCATATACATAACAAAATTTTTTTGACGTGCAACAACAGACATAAATGTACTCATACGTTTTAAACATGCATAACTTGAGCATACTCCGTGATCACTTGGACCATTTATTAAATCTATGTAATTTGCCTTATGAATGAATTGAAATAATAATAATAATAATGATCAAAAGTATTTTGAAGTATTGAAAGAAAGAAAAAACTAGAAGAAGCTGTGATGTACTACCAAGTCAATCACAATCAAGAAAGTATGTTTTGATATTTCGTTTAGAATTATAGAGGCAGTTTCTATTAGTCTATAGATGTTATATAGAAAGTTAATTTGGGTAGAAATTGGTCTAGAACTTTCAAGATTTTATTATGTTCTGAATCATAGGTAGGCGATTCTAATTTACATTGATATTTTTATCTACAGTGATATTTTAGTGGCCCTAAATCTGACTTCATTTGGATCGTATTTATGATTGTTATTGAAATACAAATGTCGTCAATCCTCGTATCTAATTATCGACTTAACCCGCGTTAGTGAATAACGAAGTTAAATAAGTCAAATATGAGAACAGATTTTTGGATAGGTATATTTCGTACAATCGTTGATCGGAAAGCGAAGCAAAACGAAATAACGCGCAGTGGAGAAAGAGAGCGAGCCAACTCGATTTAGTCAAGCGTGAATGGATATTTATAGTCGAACAAAATAAGTCACATACATACCGAGTAGGGTAAGTAATTAGCACACATACGATCACATAAAAAACAGTCAGGATTAATAAGCGAATAAGTGACAGGGTAAAAATGTGGCTTGATAAGAATGAATAGAATAATCTCTCCAGAGGCTAGAATAACCTAAGTGGGTTTGACATAGTACCCGCCCCTACAATATTGCCGTTAATTATGACAGAAACCTAACTAAATGGATTTCTCGAATGGGAATATAAATGAAGTTTGAAAAGAAGATAACCTTAAAAGATTCGTGAAATAAATTAAATTGTTGTGAAAATTTTCGCTCAACGCAAAAAGAGAAGGGAATATTCAGGCAGCACATCGATACTCAATAATATACAATATCCAACCTTGGCAATGATGCCCAAGCAATATTATTGTTACAACTGAGTTCAAACCGCTAAGTATATTTCACAACATTTTCTCGAGTTTATTTTACTCAGGAAATCGCATTATTGTTCATAAATCTTTAAACTGATACCACGATCTAGAGGTATTCTGCAGTCTTGAAATAAATCGGAATGTGAATAGTGTTGCTGTGTAACTAATAAAAACCTTTTTATGAGAATGATAATTTAAATAAATGCATTTGTCACGGAGATCATGAATTGATCTAAGTTTACCAACCAGTGATAATCAAGAAATATAAATTATTTGAAGCTGGCTCAATAGTCTAAAGATTAATCGCCAGAAAACTGAAAATCGTAGGTTTGATCTCAGGTGTTGAGGTCGTGAATGGATAGTTTTAAGGATTTCCAGACTGGAAACAAACATCTGTACGGTTCTTCCAAGTTTTAACAGGTTGTGTAACTTAGATCGGTTTATAGTTCAAATGAAATTCAATAATCTCTACGCCTCCGTACTGAAAACTATCATATGTTCTCTAGTGACCAGATTGAAGAGTTCTACTGAGAAGCTATGACCAGTGGAGCTAAACTTTTGCAGGTATGGAGAAGATACTCACTGAAGACAATAGAAAATGGCGACCCAATAAAGTGTACTAATTAAGGCTAGAGATTAATACCATGTGACTCCGGCTCAGTGGCCTTGGGTTCAACTACCGGCTGGTGAGGTTGTAGATGTGCGCTACTGAGGAGTTCCATACAATCATGAAATGGTAGTCCAGATTTTTAATAGTTTTCTAACTTAGATTGATTGATGACTTCAATAAGATAATAACTTAATTCATTGTAACATTATACACAAACAACTTATAACCCAAAAACATCTGCTTATCTGTTGATCATATTATTATCATTATGTCTGTGACTATTCAAAGTGTTATTACACCACCCTATCGGACTAAAATTCTAATAAAGCATGATAAAAATAAATTGAAACATACAGATAAGCCATCAGTTGCAAACGCGATCGGTGAGAGTCTACGTTCCAATGCATCTGGATCCATTGATTCAATCAGTATTATTTTATGGTCTAATGCTTTACTGCATTTGTATGCTTGCATTTTAGGCATATAAATACATGAATTATCACGCATAATACCTAAAGAAAAAGATTAACAATGTGATATTATTAGTAATATTAATAATGATATGGAAATTACTGAACATCATATTACTTTTCTTGTAACGCAAAGATTAGTATTATACAAAATATTAAGGTGTATATGGACGGGTATAGATAGTATGTAACACCAATCAGAAGTGGAATGCCTGGCAGCAGAAGGTTGAAAAGATTCAATAAAAGATAACAGTAATGTAAACAGAGTAATTGTAATAAAAACAGGAGTGAAGGAACGATGAAGTTTGGAAGAGACAATTGATGTGCAAATAAAATATTTAATGTATGGTTTTCATATTTTACTAAGATACTCTGTGATTTTGCATTAAACAATAAGTTAGTTGTCCGCACCTGAGTTCTCGTTCATTACAATACTATTCAGTTCCGGATAACCAACACATACCATCCAGATTTCGTTCTAAGGACCTTGCTTTCTGGCAGCCTGATGATTACATATATTTTTTTATAGTATTCACATGTCACACCCCTTAAAGATTGCATAAAGTTTATTCATATACATCTGCATTTAAGATAAAACTAACCCAGCGTATAACCTACTGATTATGATATTAATATGGTCTAATCCTTTTTTCAAAGTAAACCAGCTGAAATTATAAAAAAAATATTTCTACAATTTGTTCTTTTATTACTTAAACTATGAAATAATAAAAAAAATGGAAGATGGTCGCCCAATTTCGTGGATCGGTTGAGGTTATACATTAACACCATTGGATGCCGAATCAGTGGTTCAGTAGGTTAAGCGTTCGCGCGCGAGACTGAAGGCCCTGAGTCCGGATCCCGCGAGTGGGATCGTGGGTGCTCAGGAGTCCCACAATTGGACGAAATGGCTGTCCAGGTTTTCAATGGTGGTCTAATATCAATCGGTTCATGATCTCAATCAAAAAATTATCACTATCAGATATGTTCACTGTCTATTTCGCATAATTTTTGTTGTTGTTGATATCTAGTTATTAATGTGTTAATCAGACTTTATTCTTGACATCATTCAAGGTACAGTTAATGGATTTTGTGTAACGAAAAATTTACTCTCCTATCGTAAAATTAAATTTTAAACTTAACCCTAGAGATTCGAGTCTCTGACCCTAACATAGTAGCACTATAAGTTATGCGCCAATCAATCGGAATACGGACAGCGCCTTTTTAATCTAGTCATGAAAATCATTCATCAGTATTACTATCAAGCAATCTTGTTTTCTGGTTAATTCCAGTTCATGGTGAAAACTTTAGAACTACAAATCTCAACTTCTAACCTCAACAGCTAATACCTAACCCTAATACTTTGCTGACGTAACTGTTTATCTAATCTAATTTAATTGCATTTTATAATGAACAGCACTAAACGCTATTTACTGACTGCTTGATAAGTTGCTCATAATCATCAGTATAATATAGTTCTATCATTGTTTTAACATAATTCTTTAAAAATTAAACAAGGATATAGGTGTATAAAAATCCCCATAATATTAAAAGACAGATATATGAATGAATAATATTATTTTCGGTTATTTTTCCGATTGATGAAAATGAATAGCTTAGATCTTTTATACTGTGGCTTACACATGATCAAGAAAAGGATAGAGATTATAATCCTTCAAGTCTTACTCCAAGTGAAAAATCACTAGATGACGAAGTTGAAACCTGATGAACTATATTTTCAACTTTAATTAATTTGTGATACAGAATCTTCCTCTACTAATGCTATCTACGATCCTAATTTCTTTTTTCAAAAGTAAGATCTTTGTCTTCATAAATCACTGATTATATCTTACCAATTTTAAATAACATATAAACCGTATATTCATAGATAACTACCTTTGTTAGGCCATTGTATTGTAGGATTAATAGATGTTCCATCAACTTTAGTTAACATCCTTGAAGGTATACGATTATCACCAACACCATACAAAGGATTGAGATTATATTGCCACTCTGATTGTGGTACTATAACACTAGGTTGACCAAATAATCCTCCATCTTTATCAATAACAAGAACTTTTTTTAAACCATCACATTCCATATCATTGCATTTATCAAATCGGACATTACTTCATGTATAAAAACAAAAATAATTTAGTAAGGAAAAAATTATAAAATGTTAATGTAAAACCTTGTTAATGTTATTTCCCGACGAGAATTATGAATGTTAACTTTGGAGAACTATTTATGGACCAATACAATACATGTATTTTTATTGTATTGTTTATTGTTAAGTAGCTAAACTATGCATCGTCATGTTCCTCCCATTATAAGCTTTATTTTAACTCATAGACTATTATTATACGATTTACTGCTCTTGAGTTATACTCAGTCTATAAATTACAGTCTCCCACATTCACAGTCACATTAGGCTAGATTTTGTACAAATGTTTTCTATTTTGAGCAACATACTGGGTTTATATACCAACCAGACAGACCACATTGTACCATAAAATAGAAAATAACATTTGTACAAGATTTAGCCAAAAGTGGCTGTGAATATGGGAGATAGTAATTGATAGATAGGGCATAATTCAAGAATGGCAAATCGTAGAATAATAGTTCATAGGTCAAAATAAACCTAATAGTAAGAAGGAAATGGATATGCATAGTTTAGTTATTTAACAATCATACGATAAAATGGATCCCAAAAGTTACCATTCATTATGCTTATCGGGACTTAGCATGAAGTTATTCAGTTTATATTATTGCTACAAATTTTGAAAGCTTACTCTAAATGAAAAAAATGTTTGGAAGAAAACGTTGTTGGGTAAAGCTGTGACAGTTGAAATTATGGTGGACGTGGAAAACAGCCTCAAGGTCATGGCGTGGAAATAAAAATGAAGTTCAAAAACTGAATTAAAAGTAAAGGTTAGAGTTTTCATCATGAACTGAGATCAACAATAATCCAAAAACTTTAAATTACAAATCTTGATCCCACACCTATTATGATAAATCATACTTTTTTATTTGTTGACTTCTGTATGGCTACAAGGGACAAGATTTTACGGTCCCTCAGCGATGAAGTATAGCTTTACTGGTTGTTTCATGAAGGATAGCAAACGAGAAAAGTTTTAATAACAATTTTATAGCTTACTAGAAGTTTGACTAGGGATTAAATGATTGGTTAATGAAAAGATCCTTATTCATTAAAAAACTCTTCCATAACAGTTACAAAGTAAGCAGGTTTGTGACCTGTGTCATATCGTAGATTTAAACAAAGCGACCATTGAAGAATTAAACGCTTACATGAATCAGTGTTCATTGGAATCCAAACGATAAATGCTAATTTTTGAACAATAAACTCTAAGTTCAATTCTAAATGGTCAATAGTTAATGGTAAATGTTTAGTTTAAAGCTTTCTGGATTTTGATCTATGTCTTACAGTTATTAACAACTGACTTATGATCTCAACTATTCAAACTACTACAATCTCCACAAAACCCCTTCCGATACTAGTCAACATACGCTCACTAGTGACTGGCTTCTAGATGTATGTCCTGGAGTTCTGGTGGGAAGCAGTGATCAGTGAAGTTCAACCGTGTCTGTTATGAGATAGGAACTCACTGATATACCATATTGATTCATTCAAGTGATAAGTGGGCAAGTGATAAGTGTTTATTTCATTCAAATCTCTGAAGCATCTAATTTAGACAATCAGTGAAAACCCGAAAGCACTAAACAGCCGTTTTGTTCTAGTATGAGATAATAAATACTGAAAATTATCATGTGCTCACTAGTGACAAGCTTCGAGAAAGATTTCTGTAGTTCTAATAAGAAGCTATGACCAATGGAGTTCAACCATGTCGGGTGTGAGAAAGGTACTTACAGAAGACAATTGATCGATTGTAATTAGACTTACACACTATCTAGAGGTTAAGTGTACACTCATGGAATAAAAGTCCTAGATTCGAGCCCGAAATAGCCGTCTTTGGTTCCCAGTTTTTTAACGGTTGTCATACTTAGACTGGTTCGTGATTTCAATAAAACTGAACAGTTTCGACAACCTCATACTGATGATAAATATTGAATTCAAGTGAAGTACATATTTTAATTAACGCAAGTGATTAGTACAAAACTAGATTGCATCAATGTTTATATAATATTCGTTCAATTAAAATCAGAATAATACATATTCAGACACATCATGAAGACACAGCAGTCTTCTGTTGTATCTGTGATTGAGTGTAGCCCAAATAATCATAAAAATGTCTTAAATTGTAGAATGTACCATTAGTTAAAATATCATCAGACTGATTATAAATTTTTACATATATTTCTAACTTACTCTAAACGTGGTCTATCATAATAAACAATGCTATCCATATCAACTGATATAGTTTTTGTACCCATAAAATAAGTTGGAAATACACCATCTTCATTAGGTGTAGCTGTTCTCCAAACATAATCTCTTTTTCCATTGCATATAGTACCGTAATTTGCTATTGTTAAATCTATGAATATACAGAAAGTACATTAGTAAGTGGTTTTTATTTCTTTTAAATTAGTTATAAAAAAAAACTATATAAGACCATTGTTCCATGTTTCCATAACTACACTGATAACTCAACATTACATGAAAAATAACCGAATTCATCAAATTTTGAAAAATGAATATCTCTAGCTGGAAACAGCGTTTTCTAAATAGATTATAAGTTGAATGGGCTAAACATCATCTAACGATAAACATTTACAATATTTCATAAGTATGATTTTGTCTAGAAATGAATGTAAAACTTTCAGGATGTTGATCTAACAGTTCACCTACTCCAATACAACTTCACAATATATCTCAGCTCCGATTGTTCTGTGTTGTTACATTAGCTGAAGGTAATTTACAGTGTTTATTCAGTGTTCAAATAAGATATCAAAACATATTATAGCACGGAAATTTTTTGTCTAGCTATAAATGAAAGCATCTATAGATGTTTGGTACCAATGATAATATTTTTAAAGCGAACAAGAATAAAGATTTGATCAGGTTGGTGTGAATTCATTTTATTTCGTTTGATTCACAATTGATTGATCACTGGGTAGTGATCTATGTCATATGTGTCAGGTCCTTCTTAGTGCAGACCGAATACTATCGACCAAGTTGCAATTTGACCACTAGTCTAGGTCACCTCCTCCTTATCACAACCTGTACACCTATCATCATACTGCCAATTTGTACTTTTCACTTACTATGTTTGGCTATGTAATTTATTCCACTGACAGCATCGACTCATAAACTGCCTTGATTGGTTTAATAATTTCGTCTATGCATATATATATTACTGTATATTAGAGTAAAGTTTGATGAGGATCTAATCGAAAACAATATTGTTCACATATATATGTAATTAATTAAAAGAAAGTTAACAGATTTTATGATGTAACAAAAAAAATGTTAGTCACCAAGGTAGAGTACGATTAACAGTCATCTCCTTCTGAAACATAAATCAGGTTTCTGAACACCGGTAGCAATGGCTTTAGCAAACTTCAGAAGATTGGAGTTTGGTTGTTTATTAATCACCTTGAAAAATTTCAAGATTTCAACTTGCTATCCCATGTCCAAGAAATATTTAGTTGAAGAGTTCAAAAACGTTCAAAAACGCTAAGATATATCCTTTTTTCTATTTGACCAATGTAGCTGGCTTGGCAGATACATGTAAATTCATAGATACCGTTTGCGGTAATATGCAAGGGGTACCTGTCAACCTTTGATTGAATTACTAAACATATTGTATTGTAAAGAGCAAGAACAAACATTGTTCTTTTCAAAATGATAAAGGGAACTATGTGTATGGAATATTGTTTTGTACTGGATTGATAGTTTTATTCCAGGTTATTTCCTGGCTAGTACAATGTTAAGCCTCCTGGTGATTGTATTTACAACGTCGTCACATTGAAAATTGATTTTTTAAAATATTGGATTTCTCTTTAATGCAACCATACTTGTCATTTTGTCTTTAGATTTTTTTACATTTATCAATGACTTTTTGTTTGTATCAGTTGTTTTCCAGTCATTCATTCAAACGAAAACGACTATTGATCATAACCAATTGAATCTTTGGAGTATACATATCACAATATCAAGGTGTAAATCTGTACTTATAGTCCATTTATTTTAGATCGAATTTAAATTTAAGTCCAACTAATCCAACTGTTTTGTAGTTCAACCCCTTTTCTGTGTATTTGAGCATGTCTAAATAAGTATATTCTAAGTATCAAACTTATTCTAAACTCATACCTTGTTTTTCTTTTCATGTTAAATGTTACAACTCTCCACTGCATAGTATAATACAAGTAAGATATTTCAGAATGAAATATCTTAAAACTACCCTGACGTTAATAAACAAAACTGTAATTGCTTTTATCTTTTTTAGGTCTAGGCACACAGTAATGCAATTGTGTCTTACATAAAGAGTTTCATCTAATAAAAGAATGCTTCCATCATATTGATAGCATTTCTCTATCTCTTATCAAACATATGTTTTAAATCTTGAGGAATCTAAATTATCTACTTATATATTTAAGTAGTGTATTAAAATACTGAATTTAAAAGTTTAATTACTTGACAAGTATGCTGCTCCACCGTTGGAAAAATCTTCCATCCAACTCACTAGTTTGCCTTTCTCTGGTTCACCAGTTCCACTCATAAATTGTGCACTAGTCATACCGAGATAACCATTACCGTCAGGTGCAGTAGGTCCTAGAAGTTCCGATCCAAGTTTAATAGCATTTGTATCCGGACGGTCGTCACATGTTTGAATTCCACTACGGCCAACTAATAATGAATTATTAAATAGGAAAGTTTTTTTGCTGATCTCATGACTACGTCCTCCAGGTAAACCAGTGAATGGATATATACCTGAAAATTAACAATATCATTTTCAAAATGGATATCATATTATATTACTAATATGATGTGATAACAAACAATTACAGATCCTTTCACAAATAACATATTTTATAAGTATTCAAGGCTGTAGATTTCTCATAGTTTACATCACGAACTGATCTTACTCAGAACATCACTGTAAACATGGAAGGACCAAACGGTTATTTCCTTCTAGTATGATTTAAGCTGGATTTCTTAGAATCTTAATGTGAAGCTATGGGATATCAATGAAAAAATGCTACAGGACTAATTGACCAGATTCATAAATATAAGTCAAGTGATTTCGACTCAATGACTCGATAAAGTTTTGTTATAGGCAAGAACTGAAGATCTTGTATTCAAACCTCTTTACAGAAATAGCTTTATACTGTGAAGAAGTCTATATCTTGAACGAAACACTTTGAGGGTTATGTGACCACATCAGGATTCATTCGTTCATAAAAACGTTTCTTGTTATCTTGCTAATTTAGCAAACAGCTTAAAATAAACAGAATATATTAATCAAATTATTTGAAAAAATTATTTGCATGGCAAACATTTATGCGACTTTCGTTTATAACAAAGTGGAACAATACCTCCAGCGTTATCAACTAGTTGTAAATTATTGGCTTGAATAGCTGAAGCTGTTTTCCAATATACTGGAAATTGACTAACTGAATATATTTGAGCATTAGAAATGAGGGTACAATTGTACTGTGTTTTTAACTGCATAATCCCGATTAAACACGAATGTATGATATTTTTCTCCCTATAATACAAAACAAAATATTGTCCTAATAAGCAATGTCATTATTTTATAGAAAAACTATCAGTAAAATTAATTGGTGAAATATAAAATATTATGAACTGATAAACGTCAAACAATTGTATGTATCAGTATGACAATTTGTCGGGACTTTAGTATTTTACAGTTAAAACCACGAGAAGATCTGTGCTAGACCATTATTGAAGACCTGGGAGCGTTGGACGGCTGTTTTGTCATATTACAGGACTCCTACCCAAGTCCTTCGGTTTCACGCGCAAAACCAAAACTGCTGGACCAAGGTGTAACTTCTAGATTTCTAGTGAGAAGCCGTGATCAGTGAAGTCTATTGATTGTCGGGTGTTAGACAGATATTCACCTCAAGCAATGGATGAAGAGTTGCGCAAGATCGTGGATCGATTGAAGGTAGACATTAACACCGTTTAATGCCATCACAGAGGTCTAGAAGTCAAGAGTTCGCGCGAAAGACTGAAGGTCTTGGGTTCGCGTCTCGCGTGCGGAATCGTGGAGTCGCACTTCTGAGGAGTCCTATACTATGACGAGACAGGCGTCCAGTGCTTTCAGGTCTTCCATGGTGGTCTAGCTCAAATTACCTCGTGATTTCAACTGTGAAAATTATGTGTATGTTTCGTTTCTGTTTTCGTTTTTGTATGTTATCAACAGCTCAAGATATTGATGTGATGTACGTTCTACACTAAACTGTTGTTAAAGTCGATGGTTCATACCAAAAATTCTGTCCTCATAATAATTCATTTAGTGCCGAACTTTCATGTTGTTTAGAAGAACAATGAAATTTTCACAGCAAATCTATCCAATACAGAGATTAAAATAACATTCTCATCCTGAACAATAAATATTCTCCATTATCTTACTAGGTGTTCTTTACTATAACCAAATTGAGTAAAATCATTATTATTGGAAAATAACATTTCAATCAACCTACCAAATGGTTGTAGAACTTTCACCACATGAATTACCTTGAGTATAAACACAAACACGTTCAGCTCCAGCAATTGAATTCCTTTGTAGAATTAAATCACTAGCTTGTTTAATATCTAATGCAGCTTCAAACAAAATATCAAGATTTTGATTATCAGTTGTTAGTTCTCCAGATCAGATTGATTCAATAAGAAGATTATGTATTAATTTACGACTTCCATCTGTTAACCATATTGCTGTAGAATTAAAATGATAAAAGTATGAAAAATACAAACAATTCATTATCATTAAATGATTAACTGTGAAATATGAACATTCCTAAGAAAATAAGAATAAAGTGAATTATGATGCAAATTTGCAATGTCTTACTTACCTAGTCAACACAGATGACCATGACAAATTTACTCACCAATGCCATAAACTAAATATCATTCAACATAAAAAAAATGGAAACATGGACAAGTATATTAGTTGTTTGCATCATTCCACTGATGCTAAGGACTGCAACTGATCAGCCTGTTTTTATACATGTGCATCCTGCATGGATTAGCTCGACATTACTTCTGAGTCACGAGCATTTTTAAGCAGATATATGCAGTAGCTAGATGTGGAACTCAGGACATTTGACTCGTCGCATCCGACACCGGTTAGCTGGACACACCTTGAGTTGATATTAACTCTGGGACTCGACCCTGATGCCGTTCGTTTTAAACGTCATCGCGTTATCCACTGAGTGAACAAGTCGAGATAGCCACTGGCTTTATGTAATTGGGCGAATACTGACTCAGTATTCAAATGATGCGACCACAGGTGCCCAATCCTAATAGGTTTCGCATTAAGATGAAACATCTATTACTAGGTTTTAATGTTTCTCTGGTAAAATGAAAGACGCTTACAGAAAAGAATATTCTTGAGTCCTTTATTTATGAACTTCAGTATTGTCTTGAAGTAAAGCTAGTACGTCAGTGTTTTGGATTGTTGGGGCTGTTTGCTATGACTGGGAAATACTTCTATCTGCAACTGATTCAGAGAAGCGAAGCCGCTTTGTTGATGCAAGGAAGAAAATGGGGCTGTAGAACAGGGCTGATTTATTCATTAGCCATTAATAAATACGATATCTACAATAAAAGGTATGTCAGCCTATCGATAAGTTTAAGTGGCAGTCGTTTTGTCCTAGTGGGGCCCTCTCAGCAGTACTTATCCATGATCCCACAAGTAGGGATCGGACCCAAGATATACGGTCTCAAGCGTGAACGCTTAACCTGTAGACCGCTGAGTCGGGATTTAAAAGTAAACAGGTCTCACTTCAATCAGTCTATGATACTACGCCACCATCTTCCACTGTCTTCAATGAATACCTTCCTCATACCCATCATCTCAAACTCCACTGATCAGGTTTCTCACTAGAACTCCCCAAACTCTTCTCGAAGCAAGTCACTGGTAAATACATGATTGGGGTTATAGGGATTATTGTCTGATTTTGACTAGTTCAAAATTTCAATAAAATTCAACTCTCTCCATAAACCCTACACTGAAGATCTAACTGAAATAAATTAGTGGTTAATAGACAATCCAATGTGTGTATATAGTTTGCAAAATCAATAAATTAATTGACTCATTTCAGAAACATAATTCAATGTTGAATTATATATTTGTTTTTAAATCATTTCAATGATGTGGACTTATTGAGGTTATACACTAACACCGCTTGATGCCGGTCCAGTTATCTAGAGTCCAAACTTTCTCTTGCAAGACCGAAGTTCATAGGTATGATTCCCTCATGCTGGATCATGAATGCGCACTGCTGATGATTCCCGTCCTACGACGAAATGGCTGTCTAATGCTTCCAGATGTTCATTTGTGGTCTAAATTAGATTGATCTATGATTTTATTGACATTCGACAATCTCCACAAATCTCATACTGAAAATTTCAATATAATAAGAACATTTTGTCAAACAATACTTTGTATATGAAACCTTTTATAAGTTGAAAATAAATATAATCAATTAAACTTGCCAGAACCCAATGTTTTATAAAAGATATTATTTTCCATATATAATCCTGTAGTTGCAAATCCTCCTAAAGCTGTTGATAAAGAATTTTCAAATAAACATGATTTTATATATGATATATTATTCATATCACCAGCACTAATAAATGCAATAGGAAAACGTGCATCTGTTACAGTATTAAAATCTTTTTGACCCATTCGATAGAAGTGTACACCTAAAATAAATGAAATGTTAAAAAAAAGATGTGTTGATTAATAGGCTGTGTTAAAGAGAAATTAAATATGGTAAAATGTTCAATGATTAGGTCTATTTACAAAAACTACACTGATTTCATTCAACAATTATCTAGTTTATTTAATAGTTGAATTCATGAATCAATTGAAACTAGATCATTATAAGAAGCCTGGAAGCACCGGACGGCCGTTGAAAGTTAGACATCAACACCATCGGGCGCCGGTACATTGGTCTAGTGGTTAAGCGCTCGCACACGACATCGATAGTTCCTGGGTTCGAATCTAGCAAGGCGAGATCGTGGATGCGCACTGCCGAGGAATCCCATACTAGGACAAAACGGTCATCTAGTGCCTCGAGGTTTTTCATAGTGGTCTAGCTTCGATCGACTCATGAATTCAAATAATACATTACTATAATATCCACGAAAGCCCTTCTCTGATTATAACTGTCTCGATGATTGAAAATAACTGGAATGTTGAAAATTAATAATGAAATAGACAAATGAAATGTAAGTATGTGGTTGTGAAAATTACTAAGTTTTTGATTGAGATCATAAACCGATTGATGTTAGATCACCACTGAAAACCTGGAAGCACTGGACGGCCGTTTCGTTTTATTATGGGACTTCTCGACGGTGCACATCTACGACCACTCGCGGGATTCGAACCCAGGTTCTTCAGGATTATCATTGGTGGTCTAACATCAATCGGTTCATGATCTCAATCAAAAATTAAATACAAATAATATTTGACCAATTGACCTTTATTTCCTGTTGATTAAATGTATATGTAAATGTTTATTATCTTCTTGCATACCTGATAATTTTAATTGCCCATATAAGATATCACCTTCGTATAGAGTTTGTGAAATCAGGATTCTTCCGCCAAATTTAGTATTGACACTTTGATCATCACCTTGGATAATAATATTTGATTTCATCAAACCAACTTCTGCGCCTAATATGAATTTGTGATCGCCGTAGGTTTGATTGTATGCTAGAATTTGCATTAAAAAAGATATTAGTTACATTAAAATAAGATAATATAATTTCATACAACAAGAATGAAAAGTAACTCAGGAAATATTCAACTACCATCATTGATCAAAATGATCACTTGTGACTGGTTTCGACAAATATTTATAGAAGGTTCACTAAGAATTTGTGATCAGTGAAATTAATCAACTATGGGACGAAACAGTCACTCATCGATTAAACTTAGCGATTGTACCATTACACCAGGAATTAATTATAATTAAAATTAAGAAATGCTAAATTCCAACTCCGAATTTAAACGATCTCTTGTTAACTATTAAAGTTGTATCCTGTTTTAAATTTCATTTGGATTCATGTGTACACACTTATAATAAATGAAAAATTGGTATGAAATACTTAGTGAACAGTTCTTGACTTGCGATAACTAGGCTTCGCGTCAATCTAAGACTATTATTAATTCTAAGCCCAGATAAAAAAGAAAGTTAATTATAGGGTTAATAATCCCACCTCGTAAAAACGAGCCCAGTTACAGTTTGCTAACTATTCCTCGATTTCCGACGGTTTGATAACTGATACCAGTTAAGGATGAAATAAATATTTCAACACACCTTGTTTAAACACAAATTATAAATAATGACACAATTTATTTTTGTTGAAATATTTTCAGATATGAATTTGTAGTTAACTGAAAGAGTATCGTTTAGTTATCAGTTTACAGTATGTCATACTTTGACACTTCACCTAAATAAACATAATATATTCAAATTATGCTTTGTTTTGGTTCCTTGAAAGAATATATTGCTATTAAAGGTTTATCACCGACGTGTTAAACAAACAAATTGTAAGAATTTGTTGCTACTGTCTATAAAGGAAATATGACTGACAGCAATATGAATGAAATTATAATCGATTTTACTTCCCTGTTATCAAAATAATTATGAATGTTCATTTTTAGCTGAAAGAATACCATTTCAGCAAGTGATTATCAGGAATCAGTAGCTAAGTGGATAACGCGATGGCGTTTGAAGTGAACGGTACTGTGTTCGAGTCCCACGGAGAATATCAACTCTGAGATACAGGTTACATCCAGTTGATGAGTCACAAATAGGACGAAACGCGCGTCTTGGATTCTACTGCTAGCCACTTTCCACCTTTGCTTAATTTATTCAGTTGATCATTAGTAATTTCTATAAACTCATTGACATTTAGAAAGGTTTGTAATTGGAAAATAACATTTTCATTCTGGAAAAAACATCATGCTCAAGATGTGTCATGTTTACTAGATATCTCTAGACAAAGTAAGATAGCATTAGTAAATACTTGTAAATTCTCTGTGATGATATTCAGGACTGAAATTGATAGGTTTTGTTGCCATATGTGCATTCTGAGAGGATTGTCCCAATGTAGCCTTTAATCATAATTTCTTCGTAAATTTGATATTTTGCTAGCGATGAAGTCCAGAATACGTGTTTCTTCCCATAGGATATATTGACTGGACACATATATCTTCGTTTCATTATTGTTGTACACATTTTAACTTGAAGCCACAACTTTTCACTTCGAATTTCAACCCTCTGTCCACTGATGGGTTCAGAATACCATAAAATGAGAGAACTTGGTTTTACTTATAACCACATACTAAAACTGTGATGGTGCTCTATATTCATATAATAATTTACTAAATTTGAAATATCAATAGTTGTGTATCATTTATACATTAAACTTGAAGATGACTGCTTTGGATTGAAAGATTCACATAGTTTTTGCATACCATCTTACTTTTGTAATATGAATTCTTGGTGAATACTTTTAACACAAATAAATACTACTGAATAAAACTTACCGACATGAGTATTTATTAATTTGTCTACAAGTGTGATTACCATTCGATCCGACGAAACAGAAGCAATTACACCAACTTCTGATTGTTTATAATTCATACTAGTTGTAGCAATAACTATACGATCGCCTGGCAACCAATCTATTACTGGATCAGTAAGACACAATTGATTGTCTCCAGCATTAGCTGTTAATTTAAGAGTAGTCCATCTTACAGTTTTGGGTACTGCATGCATACTCATTATTCCATAAACACCTGTGTGAAATTACGCAAAATATACAGTGATACTACTGTATTATTAGTTAAAATAGTAGTAAAATGAATTACTAAAGCTAGCAGGCAATTATATCTTAAAATGTGTGAATCATTTATTGATCTGACTGGATGTTTCAAATATTTTACAACTTCCTCTAAAATTACCGTTGATAAAGTCATTATATTTTGTATGGACATAGGACTATTTATAGTTACTCTCATATGTGTCTACCTGTGTACTTATAACTTCAATAGAAGGTACGTCGAAATAATAAAAAAAGTTCTGTTGGTGGGAAACTGAAAATATGTCGAGGAATTCGTCACATACTATCTTATATTCCTATAAGTGTATACATCATTGATATAGATTATCTACCAAATCATAATACAGCTTTTTAACAAATATATATGTTATGAAGTCAAACGTTTTACAACAAATCTAGCGATACATTATCATGCCTGTCTAATACTGTCAAATAGTTATGGGTCATTTGTGATCTCATTTTTTACCCACTGATCAATAGCAAATCGCTACCAAAAATTGGGCTTCAATACCCCTAATCCTTTTGATTATTTGTGAGGATGTAACTGAGCTATAAAAAACAGTATCTGTTAAATCTACGTTTCAAAAAATCTCCAATCTAATATCTGTGTGATTATTTGCTTGAACAGTTCGAAATTGTTTTTGGAACTAATAAAGCATGAACTCAATGTCAGCATTTGATATGGTGGCAAAAAGAACAGATTTCTTGTACTAAATTGGGTCCAGTTCGACTTAGTCGTAGTTGTATGATCTAGTCCATGCTACGAGTATTTAGCCTAGATTTCCTATATGGGACCAATGAACCAAAGAAAAATAACGAGGTATCAGTTAAAATCAATACTTAATGATTTGTGGTCCAGATTTCCGTTCTCCCACTCTCACTCACCCGATTATCAGAATAGAAAGCAACACAGCAGGGAGATAACTTATAGCTGTACAATCCAGTTTTTTACTTGATAAATGTCATACTACATAGTGAATACTTGAACATACATCAACATGGATAAGATATTACAATATGGTTATAACTACGTGATAAGAGGAAAAGAATTAAGTGATAGGTTTGTAATTAATCAACAAGAACTTCGAGAAAGACAAAACATACAACAATATTTTATGAGACTCCTCATCAGTGCGCATCCACTATCGCGCTCGCGGGATTCGAACCCATGACGTCTGGTCTCGCATAAGCGGGACCTTGAATGTGCACTGATGAAGAGTCCCATACTAGGACAAAAAGGCTTTCCATTACTTCCAGGTTTTCAATGTTCATACAAACATAATAATAATAATACAAAGATACATGACACTATCTGTTAAATAAATTAATTGAAGGGCTATGACAAAATTGAACGCCAATAGACTTAAGTATGGTTGAGGCGCTATAATACAATAAAACTATACACAATAATTCCTGGTAGAACAGCTCTGAAAATTCAACTTTAATCAATATTTATCCACTCCCTGCCTTATAGCAGTAATACTCTAAAGTTTTCATTTTTTTAAGTTAGAAAATGTTTAATTATTGTTTAACGTTCTCATTTTTTCCAATAAAAACTTTCGACATCGGGATATCTCAGAAGACATAGAAGGTGAGTAGAAAAGCCAAGAACGAACAGACTAACCGTGGCATACAGGTTTTCACACCGAGTCATTAATTCTTGGAAACTGTTACCCGAAGTAGTGGTGTACGCACCTTCAATCGACTCATTCAAGAGAAGAATGAACACTCATAGAAGCATACTAGAAAAGGAATAACATAGACCGTAGGCGTTCTGTCCTTACTACACAAATCTGATATGTAATAAAAAAACGTAATACTAAATCGATGAGAAAAAATGCAATTCTTTTATTTACCAATTGATTTAGGTCCAATTACTGGTCCATCTAAACTGATAAATTCATCAGATATAGTACCAAGTAAAGTTAATTCAAGTGTTGCATTCATCAATGGTTTTTCAAGAAGTGATCCAGCTAAAAATTGACCTCCAATAATTAACATTTGTTTAAATGCTAATTTATAAACTCGTTGATCTTGACTTGTTCCTGAATCGACTTCAAGTGTTCCATAGATTGTAATATTATTCATTTTTATATTAATTGATGTATCAAGTACTAACCATGTTCCTTTAGGAATCATAAGCTATTGTTATTATTAATTTTGAAAAGATACGGGGGAAAAGTATAACTAATTGAGAATAGTACGATATTTACAATTTGTCATAGATTTATTTCAGTTAAAGAATCATTCGAAACTACCGAACATTGGATAAATTTTTCGTTGTAGAATAGTACCTTCAACAGTATATATCTACAGTTCCACGGTTGATCGAACTCAGGACTTTCAGGTCTCGTGATGAACGCTTGACAAACAGAACCAGTGGATCGTTTTCCGATGAAACAATTCGAACTTCAAACAGTTTGTTACACAACCTACTTCAGTAGTTCATATTTTTTAAATTAAATGTCAAATAGGATCATTCTGTGACAAATATCGCCTACGAATCAATTCAGTCTCTTCAAAATACCTTCAAATAAATCATATTTTCAATTTATTATACATTTCCATTGATTTATAACACATCAACTGGGAGTCCATGATTATCAGATATAAACATTTATTGTTTAACAAATAATCTCAAACTTTCGGATAGCTTTATAGAAATATCAATGAAAAGTTGTAACTTGCTAAGTCGACTATACTGAATATAAGGCAGTGATTCTGTAGAAAGTCCTTTGAACTATTTTATTATTTATCCACTTGCTGTAATTTGGACATATATCCACAATGTAAAATTGTGTGTGAGTTTCATTGAGCTCATGTCTTCACAACAATCTTTACCTATCCTCTCATTGGTAGGAAACACAGATAATCAATAATTTATCCACATTCGATTAACACTCATAAATACTTTTTGATTGAGACCATGAATAGATGACTGTTAGACCACCATTAAAAACCTGGAAGCACTGGACGGCCATTTCGTCCTAGTATGGGACTTCTGAGAAGTGCTCACTTACGATCCCTCAAGCGGGTTTCGAACCCAGGACTTTCGGCCTCACGCGCGAAGATATTGTCGGATATTATACACTTTTATATATATTCTAAGATTAAACTATTATTACGAAGTGTAATACTTCTTGTAAAACGAAAAGATTGGATTGGTTGAGGTTAGACATTAACACCACTGGACGCCGAACCAGTGGTCCAGCAGGTTAAGCGTTCGCGCGCGAGACTGAAAGCCCCGAGTTCGGATCCCGCGAGCGGGATCGTGGGTGCTCACTACTGAGGAGTGCCACAATAGGACGAAACGTCTTTCCAGTGCTTCCTGGCTCTCATTGGTGGTCTAACATCGATCGGTTCATGTTCTTAATCAAAAGCGATAAGAATTTGATTATATACACTGAGGAGTAATTTGTAATATTTTTACCGAGCTTCCATTTACTGGCTGAGGTCCAAGAACATCTCCCCATGTATTATTTTTTGACCAATATAATGCATCCACTGGTCGAGATGTATCCAATACACTTACAGAACTCGAACTTGGAACAATGCAATCAGTAAAGAAGCATTTATAAAATGACACCCATAAACGATAGCTGTTGAATAATGATGGATTAACTGGGGCTTTCACTGAAGCGTTTAAAAAAGAATAAATGGAAAATAAATTATCAAAGGCAATACATAAAATTTAAACTTCATAACTTACTGTGATTACATTCGATAATATAGATTTTTACGATATTTGATGAATGTATCAGTATACAAATATATACATCAATCAATTCATTCATTGTAGAAATTCCTTGAATAGGATTCACAATTGATTGATCACTGGGTGGTGATCAATGTCATGCTTGTCTAGTCTTTATTAGCGCAGATCGAATGCTATCGACCATGTTGCACTAATAATAAGGACTAGACAAGCATGACATTGATCACCACCCAATGGTCGATCAATTGTGATTACATCTCAGTCCTACAGGAGGCTAGTCACGGCTCGGATAGCTCAGTGGTAACGTCTCTGACTGTGATGCTGGGTGACACGAGATCGAACCCGCCAGGGAGCACAAGTTCCCTCAAGATTACAGGTACACCTTGCTGACGAGTGCCAAGTAGCACGAAACCCGGGTCCTGGGTTTCCTGTTGACTACCTCCAACCACCATCTAAATCCTTGAATAGTATCGTATGACGTCTAACCCTTATTGAGAGAATTACACATTAACATAGAGCTGAAGTAATTCACAGGAAACTATATTCTTATCTTACTTAGCTACTGATGTATGTTCCCAAATATCGTTTGTATTTTGAAGAAGGTCAATATGGTTTGTAGGCCTTAAACACACGTTATTTAGCTAGATGATGAAACACATAACTGTTGGACACTGAAAACCATTTACCACATTATTATACTTTCTAATCAATAAACTTAATTTCTCTAATAAACTAGAAACTTTCTATTATTACCGAGAACAGTGACATACAAGAGGAGTAAATTATCAAAAAATTAGATGAGATTTAACTGTGGTTTAACCGAAATACCTGAAAACGTTTCTTGTGGAATTGCGAAACTCAAACAGAATCTACATGTAGACCAATAGACGAATAATTAAAGTCAGATAGTGCGTTTTTATAAGTATATAGCTATGAATTTTTATCGATCATCCCCTGGAAAACAAATACACCCTTCAATTTTCCATATCTCTATGTTTACCCAAAGTTTCTGCTCTGATTTGGTAGACTAGAATGTTCTACATTCCTTAGCGTGTCAACAAAACCATGCTTATAGATACCAAACCATGAAGGCTCCATAAGCGCTCTTAAATGAGTCACAGCATGCAATTATATAGCCTATAATTCAACTTGGCGAAATTTCATTGAATAAAATGTGTATGAAAGAAAATTATAAACCGACCATTTATCAGGGTTTATGCCTGTTTTCAAAGAAAATTAAAAAAACCAAGACTGGTAGGCCCTGGGTTTGATTCTCGCGATCATGAGTGCGCACTGATGAGGTGTCCTGCAATAGGACTAAACGGCCGTCCAGTGCTTCCAGGTTTTTCATGATGTTCTAGCTTTGATTGACTCATGATCTCAACTATTGAAAAATAAATATATTAATCTATGTCCATTGTACTGTCTTTATTCTCTCAACAAAATCATTTCTGTATAAAAGAAAAATATATTTGAAATAAAAACACACTAAAACTACAAAATTTACAATGGGTAAGAAGTAATTACCTAAATATTCAATATATTTCCCAGTTTCATTATAAAACACTTCACCATTATCATGTACAGATGGATCCAAAGGTTCAGCTATTGGTTGTTTAGGTGTTTGACCAGAGAGAACTTTAACCCTATCTGGTTTAATATCCATGCCCATATGACGGATTATAACATAGTCGGATTGCTTTTAATGAACGTATAATATGAAATGAAATATGATAAAGTGAGAATGTATACTTTTTTAATTTATTCATTCTTAGTACACTCCTATTTACTTGATAGTTGTAATTAAATCTTAGTACAGTTTATTCAACTATAATAATGAATTAAATAAATAATGTTTAATATTCTAAAGAGTTTAAAAGGTTTGAATAATTTTTTTCTGGTTAGCGTTTTTTTAGCGAGTTAGTTTTCTACGGAATGGGGACGCTAACCCCATGCCCAACCCTCCTCCTTTATCCGGGCTTGGGGCCGGCAGCAGCCCCCGGAGGGACTCCAGGCGGAGTAAGCAACCTTGCCTGACACCGGTCTTTACTTCGAACGACTTTGTCAACTGTCCTCCATGCACGATTTTGCATATGATGAATTAAACTGCAAAATTGTGCATGGAGGACAGTTGACAAAGTCGTTCGAAGTAAAGACCGGTGTCAGGCAAGGTTGCTTACTCTCACCCTTTCTCTTTCACCTGGTGATCGACTGGATCATGAAGACGTCAACATCTGAAGGGAAGCATGGAATACAACTGACATCTAGGATGCAATTGGACGATCTGGACTTCGCAGATGATCTGGCCCTTCTATTGCAAACGCAACAACAAATGCAGGAGAAAACGACCAGTGTAGCAGCAGCCTCAGCAGCAGTAAGTCTCAATATACACAAAGGGAAAAGCAGGATTCTCCGATACAACACAACATGCACCAATCCAATCACAATTGACGGAGAAGATTTGGAAGATGTAAAACCCTTTACATATCTGGGCAGTATCATTGATGAACAAGGTGGATCTGATGCAGATGTGAAGGCGCGAATCGGAAAACAAGAGCAGCATATTTTCAAATGAAGGACATCTGAAACTTAAAACAACTGTCAACCAACACCACGGTCAGTATTTTTAATACAAATGTCAAGACAGTTCTACTGTATGGGGTGGAAACCTGCAGAACTACGAAAGCTATCATGCAGAAGATACAAGTGCTTATTAACAGTTGTTTACGTAAAATACTCCGGATCCATTGGCCAGATACTATTAGCATCAACCTACTGTGGGAGAGAACAAACCAGATCCCAGGGAGAAAGAAATCAGGAAGAAGCGCTGGAAGTGGATAGGACACACATTGAGGAAAGCACCCAACTATGTCACAAGACAAACCCTCACTTGGAATCCTCACGGCCAAGGAAAAGAGGAAGACCAAAGAACATATTACGCCGGGAAGTAGAAATAGACATGAGAAAAATGAACAAGAATTGGATGGAACTAGAAAAGAAGGCCCAGGACAGAGTGGGTTGGAGAATGCTGGTCGGCGGCCTATGCTCTATTGAGAGTAACAGGCGTAAGTAATTCTAAAGAGTAGTATAGCTATTTTAAAGCATATCTGTGATTATTCTCTTTAAAATAATAATTAGTCCAATTGAAAATCAGACAACGATAACAACAGTCAATCACAAAGTAATGAAACGCTAAAAAATGACAAGTTCAAAATGGTTCCTTAAGCAGAATATGTTTTATTCGATAAGAAAATAGCCATTTTGTTTATTATTCATTTACTAGTACAGAGAATTTGTGAAGTTCAAGTGAGAAGCTGTAACTAAAGGAATCCGATCCGCGTAGAATAGATGTAGGGTTGCGCAAGATCATGTATAGGTTAAAGTTAGACATTAACAGTGTCAGAGACCACCACAGTGATCTAGGTGTTAAGAGTCCGTATGGGAGATCGAATGTCTCGGGTTCGATTCCCGCGTGTGGATTTGTAAGCGCCCACTACTGAGGAGTCCGATACTTGAACGAATCAGCTATCCAGTGCTTTCAAGTTTTCAGTAGTGGTTCAGCTAAGACCAGTTAGTAATTGCATCAGAGATTAATAATTAGATCAATTAGGTACAGGGAAAAAGAATTAATACTGATTGCTTGTAAGTAATAATTATGAAATAAAACTTTCACAGTGACCACAAATGTATGTGCAACAGCACTATCTTACACTACGCTTGATAGTTAAGATGAAAACTGATTATTTCAACACCTCTGTGTGTTTGAATTAGTGGTGACAGAATAATGTATCAGCGAAGTACTAATGATAATAAGTTTCTGATACAGTGGGCCAATCAGAAGTCATCAAATAAGAAAGACACGCGGTTTCAATTAAAAATCTCCTTAATGACCAGGAGATTTAAATGGCCAAGAAATGATTTCATTTTCTAAAGAGATGACACATATAAATGAGTATTTGTGCTTCTGATTTGACTTTTGCCAATAAACGTTTACCTTCACCCTTGGTCACCTCATTCAATAGCTTTACGGAGCTTGCACATGTGAAGATTGTGTATCAGTATCAGTCTCGGACACCTCGCGTCATAATAGTGTCTACTTAGGCTAACTCTAATTTTAGAACATTCTGCCAGTAGGTTTTAAATATCGGACGTCAAAACAGCATTTAACAGTGTTTAATTTGTCCCATAATTTTGTGTACTGTAAGTAATTTAAAAATAACCTGTCCATGTTTTTAAGTCATTCTCAGGATGATATTTTGATCAATAATTATCGTACGTATTGAGTTAGTGGTCGACAGTTTATTAATTCCACTAATGTCTTTCTAAATGAAGCGTCCTCACAACAATATGTGAATATAAGAAATTAAATTAATCTGAAGACATGATAATAAATGATCTCTACACCAGATCGCAAATTAATTGGCATTGTGACTGTACTAGTGAACACTGATGCAGCGGTTTTACTTGTTAAAGGTTAACCACAAAATCTGATAGTACAAACCGTTGGGGAGAACCATACTAGGAAGAAGGGATTGTTCTATGGTCACTAGATTTGAGTGGTGTCCCAACTGACATCAGTCGGTGACAAATACAGTCTACAAATTAAACTACTCTCTACAAAATCCATTCATTTTAATAGCATTTATTTCTAAAAGTAAAATTGCAGATTTACATAAATATCAAGCTGCTTTAAAGTAATAAATATTTTGTACCATGAACTTTTATATCTTTCTAAAAACAAATAAATTAAAACTTCATCTACGAGTTGATTTACCCTGAAATTTTCCAGGTAACCAATATAACTAAAGTTGGTAAACGATGATCTCGCGTCCCAATTGACAATATAAGTTCTGTTATTTACTAACGTAGTCATCCACCCTTGTTTGTCAGTAAGAGCTTCAGTTTTGAAGGGCACTTCTTCTGTCCCGCCGTCAAGTAGTGTAACAGTCATATTACTTCCCATAAGTAATGGTGGATTTGTTTGATCAACAGCATACCTTAGTGCTGTAACATCAGGTAGGCAACGAACACCTGGAACTGCGCCTTGACCAAAAGCATTCCCAAGATCACCAGCTCCTGGAGCACTTGGACCACATTTATCAGTAGGTAAATGATTTGCTCTGCCTACGACCAAAGATCCAGGAAGTTTTGGAACATTTGGAATACCATCTGTCAATGATCCATCTACATCACGAAGACTGAAATCACCATGCCATCGAAATTCAGCTCGATTATTGGTATCCTCCCATTTTATATCTCTACAGTAAGAAGAATGAAATTATAAGAAAGATACTGAATAATCAGAAAATCTAATTTCCTACTCATTGGAATATTACAAATATATTATTTTTATTTATATTGAATAATCAGTTTAACATTAATTTATGGGACATGTTTATATTAACCGTTATTGTGAAATTGGAATATATTCAAATTTACAAAGAGAGAGACGATATTTCGATTAAAAATACGAATATTGAAATGGTATTTTTGCTAGAATATGTTACATTTTGATGAAAAATGTTAAAATAAAAATCAAGACGGAGATGTTAACACCAGCCGGCGTTGTAAGTGGTTACTTATATGGATAATTTAGTTGAAAATATCGAAGAAACAGCAGATATTAAATTACTAAAGATTATCGCTATCTCTATGTATTATAAAATAGTTTTATCGGCTATAAGTGATCTCAATAAAATATTTTGGTTTCCAATTAAGATCATGAACTGATTTATGTTAGACCAGCATTGAAAACCTAGAAGCACTGGACGTTCGTTCTGTCTTATCTTAAGACTGTTCAGCAGCGCGCACCCACGATGCCCGCTTACGGGATTCGAACTCATGGCCTTCGGCCTCGCGCACGAACGCTTAATCTCTAGACAACTGAGCCGACATCTAACGATGTTAATGTCTAACCTCAACCAATCCAGGAAATTGTGCAACCTTCTTCCATTGTACTGAGGAAGATACCTGCCTCTGCCTAATATAGATTAGCTCCACTGGGCAAGGCTTCCCACTAGAACTCCGAGACTTCCTTCACGAAGCTAATCACTAGTGAGCACACTGTTGGGTGCCGAGTGTGATCTACAGGTTACGTGTTCACGTGCGAGACCGAAGGCCCTGGGTCCGGATCCCGCGGGCGGGATCGTGGGTGCGCACTGCTCAGGGGTCCCACAATAGAACGAAACGGACGTTCAGTGCTTCCAGCTTTTCAATGGTGGTCTAACATCAATCGGTTCATGATGTCAATCAAAAATTTAATAATCTCCACAACCCCAAAATATTTTGGATTGCATTTACAATTATTTCATTTTAACTATAAGACATAATACTGCTAATCACCGGAAAAGAGTTTATTTTCATCACCTAGAAATATAAAGTACAATATGACTGACACAGTTATCTGATCATAAAATGGATAGATAACAGAATACCTACTTGTCTGCTGAATAGTTTATGGGATACATGTACAATCATTGAATATAAATCTCGAAGTATTAGTGACTAGTTAATTATATGAAAGAGTAAAGCAAAAATGAAAATTAGATTTAGTAACAGTTAGTCCGTTCACTAAATTTAGATAACATAATGAGTTTCTTATAAATTTGTAATATTTTGGCCTAATAAATTGCAAACTAACTTTACTTCAGGTATCTTTAGGAGAAATCAGCAGATCGTACAATACTACATGAGAATATCTTTTGCATTCATCACAAGGTTCTGACTCTTAAAGGTATATATTACGATTCGATCTCTGATTTTGATAAATCTAAGCTCGTTATCAGCCAAACTAAATGACCGGGGAAGATATGACGATATAAAAAGTTGTTTTCCCAAATGCTAAATAATTATACACTAAAGTCTGTGTGTTGAAGATAACCTTGTTTAAATGAACACTTTACTGAATGATTACAACCATCCCGCACTTAGATATGACTTATCATTTGTCTTTAGAAGCTTGAAATAATAAGGTTTTTTCAATCGTAGATTTTAAAGTGATAAGTCTTTTGTTTGTTGAGTTTTCCTGAAATCATAATCCAATTCAATTTAAACAGTCATTGAAAACCTGAAAGCATTTGATGGCCATTTCGTTCAAGTGTAGGAATCAAATCCAAACGTTTTGGTGCTACGCGTGAACGCTTAACCTCTAAATCACTGAGCCAGAATCCAATAGTGTAGAAGTTCAACTGAACGGTCTCTACAACCCTATATTGATAATTATCATCTGCTCACTGGTGATTAGTTCTGAGAAGAAATTTCCGAAGTTCTAGTGAGAAGTCACAACCAGTGTATTCCAACTGTGTCGAGTATGAAAGAGTTCCCAACCAAAGACAACAGAAAATGGTTGAGTAAAACCATATAATTAGACTTGTTCACCATTAGATACCAGCTCAGTGATCTAGAGCTTAAACGTTCACGCGTGAAATCGAAAGTCTGAGTTCCGATTCACAATTGTAGGGTTGCGGTTTCACATTCCTGAGTATTTCCATACAAAGAAGAGACGACTCCAAGTTTCCAGTGGTTGTCTAACTGAAACCGGTTCATAGTTTCAGTAAAACTATACTACTCTGTCTAATGATAAGTGTACTCAATTCAATCATCTTTAATTTAATAAGCCACAATAGTTTTCATTATATTTACATAAAAATTCAGTAAAGTAAACTAAGTAATACCAAAACTCACTTAAATAAATATTCATATCCGCCACAAAGTTTTCTACATTGACATGTAATTACAGTTCCATGAATTGCTGTGCAATTTTGACTATTGAAATTTTTCATTACCATATTTTCAATAGTTAAACCAGGTGCCCATGGCAAAACAACTGCTCTAGTATGACAGTCAGAAGTTCCATTATTAAGATCAGGTTCATAACCAACAATTGTACTGTTCTGTTAGATCGAATATTAGAAAAATATAATAAGATTAAGTAAGAATATAATTTTTAAATGAAAGTTTAGGAACTATTGAAAGGTTCATTTATTACATATATTTAGTTAATTAGACCTACATCTACAAAACATAACTAATTCTCAGCTAGTAGACACCTATACGTATTATACAGTTTTTTTTCACTACAGGAAGGTAATTTCATAAAACGTAAGTAACTAATACATAGTTTTATCTTTCTTACTTCAAAAACGTTCAGTGAATAAGTTGTAGACCAAAAACGTTGATAGAAAAGCATATTCTTATATTAGTGACATCCGGTTTAATTTAACACACTTACCCTATACAAAGGACCAATTGTTGGATCATATAAATTTCCATTCATAAGACGTTTCCCTTCGATTGCTGCCTCGTCATTATTCACTAATAACATATCTTCAAATTGTACACTACCACAATTAACACACTCTGGTCCTTTATTATTATTCCATGCAGTAAGTTTGCGGAATACAGCCTTATCCCATTTCGTTGTTCCACAACTGAAATAAATATTTAATTTAAAAAATGTCATTGCTTTATTGGTGAATAATTTAACAAAGAATCTTAACCAATAAGCATAGATTGATGGTGACTAGCAGTGGAATACAGGATCGCGTTTCGTCCTACTTGGGACTCGTCAGCTGGATGTGCCTGCATCCCATCATTTCAGAACCCTAACCTAGTGCCGTTTACTTCAAACGCCATCGCGTTATCCACCAAGCTAAAAGTACAGATAGCCACTAGCTTTTGCAATAGGCTGACGTCGAATTCATTTTTATATTGTTTGTTTGCATCTTTCCATTGACGAGTTCAAAAATGGGACGAAACCCGCGTCCTAAATTCCACTGCTAGCCACCATCTAACTTTGCTTATAAAGCTTGTAACCTAAGGCAATATCTAGGCAATCCACACAGCATGCACATATCCCGATTGCAGTCTTAAACATCAATGTGAAGATTCAAACAACCAATACAAAAGTCTAAACTAATTTTTATTAAAACTCATAAACTTTTGTGTCAATGACCTTGTGATTTTTCATTTTAAAATGTCGAAGTACAGAGGTCTAATTTCATCTACTTAGATTGAAGTGTTAATCACTCAATTGCATACTGGTTCATTTACTCGACTTACAGTAGCATTTTTACTTTTTTGACGTTCAGTGGTTGTATTAGTCCTATTTAGCCATCACTTTTTATGGGTGGGGGTACATAATGATATGACAAAAGACAGGCAGTATTTAGATGTATAGTACAGAACAACGACCCATATATTCACCCTTAGAAAAAGTGAGTGGACTATTTTTTCTAGTTTATTGTAATTTGGCAGGAGATTGTTAAGATTGGAAGTCCTAATAACCAAAACAATTAGAAATTAGTGCGTCAACTTATTGTAAATTCTTTTATGATAAAATCCCAAAATACATTATTGAATTTCATGGGTAAACAGTTACTTTAAAACAACCTCACATATTTTTGTTTATATGTAATATGTATACGGCTAGCAACAAATACCAGGACGCTTGTTTCACCCCATTCTTGACTTAATATCTAGATATACCTACATTAGTGTTGATTTTAACATTTGAACTCGAACTCAATACTTTTCGTACCAAATACCGAGGTGCTATCTACCGAACTACTGAGTTAATGTATTTATTAATTTGTTGAACGGGTACGAAAACACGAACAATGGTTCGTGATTTCTAGTTGTTGTTATTCAAGATAGGAGCTGATCACTTACCATTGTTATACATGCATCATGAACAGATCGAATCATTTAACACCAGTATTCATGTAAATCCAAATGACCAGTCCCAAACAGGACGAAACGAACTTTCTGAACAACATTACTAACCACACGACAAATATATTGAATTTCGTGGCTAAGGTTTATAACTAGACAATTCATTCAGGATGCACATAAGGCAACAGAGACTGATCAGTTGCAATCTTAAAATCCTAAAAGTGGAAAATTCCAAACCCTTGCTAGAAAACTATGTGATAATAAAGACTTCTGAACTGATGGAACCTAACTCATTCGTGATTTTCTGTAATTATTAAAAAATTGTTTTAAATAAATATCAAGATTTCGAATTGACTTAACACATAGTTTAATATAATTCATACTTTGGTTTTCAAGTATATTCAGTGAAAATAAAATTTATGGACGACCTTTGAGTAACGTTGAAGTGACCTTTAGAGTGTCCATCTAATAACTAGGACCGAATGAGGATTATAAACCAGTGTGAGGAATTAAAATTATGATTCACAGTTGATGGTTAGGGCTAGGAATTATATTAAGGATTTTCGTCACGAACTGATATAAGCTATAATGTCAAAACTCTATTTAGCCAAATAGATGAGTGAATTTCACGCCGAAATCTGAGACCTGTTATCTTATACCTGTTTGGTTCGTCCATAAATTATAGTCTCGCCGTCAATTTGAATATTACAAAATGAAACTATAAAGAATTTTCACGATTTATTGTTTTACTTACGTTCCAGTTTTTGTTGGGAAAAAGCTCTCATGAATCCATAATGCAAACCATCCATTACTATGCGCTGTATTATTTTCGAATATTCCCAAAGGAATTTTACGTGGACAGATACTTGTGGTAGTTGATGGTCCACTTGGATTTTCTAGCATACGATACCTGAGAGATATTTGGCAACAAAAAATTGGATATATTACATTATTGACTATGATTTAATAAGATAATTACTTTTTCACAGCTCCGCCTGCAGCCCTCCTAGGGCTACTGCCGGTCCCGTGCCCTGACATAAGAGGAGGGTTGGGCATGGGGTTAGCGACCCCATCCCGTATAAAATTAACTCGCTAAAAAAACGCTAACCAGGAGAAATAATCCAAATCATTTAAGTAAGTTAATAGGCGCATAAGAATACTTTTGTTGAGATTAAGAATTATTCAAATGACATCAATTTTTTTCTTTGTAATTCGATCCACTAAAGATACTCATCAATTGAAGAATGAATTTTAAACAATAATATTGGTGAATTGAAAGTTGTATTTTAAAAGATTTGCCTAATTTTGACACTGTACTTAATTTATTTTCAGTAATTGTTAATATTCTCATATAACAGTTGCGCATTGAGTACACGTAATTATTTACTCATTCAGTAATACATTGAAAGGTTTAAATTCTATCCGACTATGTAATTAACAGTATGATTAACCTATTGAAGCTATATATTATTTTGAGTCTTGTATCCTTGTTGCATTTGGTATTTTACATAAGAGTAGAATATTTGCAGAGAAATTCTGTACTTCATTTTCAAGATCTAAAATATGGCCTAATAGTTAGGAATGAATCATCTGACTGTTCATTTGATCAGTGATAATCAATCATTCGCTAAATAATAGTATACTAAGACATGGAGAAATATCTTTTATTACTTTCAGTGTAGTCAATGTGACTACAGTTGATAACGGGACCTTCATTTGTATAATAAAACATTCAAGTTATCATATATTACATTGCTCAGAAGAAATGATGTAACCTGCCAGTAGTGCATTTTTAGAAGCCTACTTGAATACGAAAATATATTAATATTTAAAGTTAGAAATTTGGTTTCATAGGAAAGCTTTACTACGGAAAAATTAGAACAGAAATAAGTTAAAAAGGAATTGTCTGCCTTCCAATATCTGGTTATGAATATTGTGTTGAGTATTTTGTAAGTTTTAACGGTAATACATCTGGGAAATATTCATTTATCTACTGGTGTTCACTAGTGGTTGTTTTCAGACAGAGTATTGATTGGATAACATTTAAACGCATGAGTCTGTTTCTGATCTAAATGATATGATATTCATTTAAGAATACAAGGATTGACTAATGCTCGTTACGTATAATCAATATACGTTTAGTCTGAAAGCAGGTTGACTGAAAGAAGAACACAGAAAGTATCTTCATGCTCTATTGATAATACCACGCAGAATGTTTATCTTCAATTCTCGAAAACCTACCTAAGCTGGATTGTTTACCACCTGTTTGATATGTAAACATAAGATTTAATAGTAAAAATAATCAGTAAACGGTATAGTCCTCTTGAACTAAGATTTTTAAAGGCCATCGTATTTAAGAAGCTCAACCCTAACTTTTATGACTCAAGACATTACTGATTCACCTTCAAATAAAGTACATTTACCAAATTCCAAATGATTATAACTATTATTCTGCATAAATTAATTTTGTTAAACATTAATAAAAGCTTTCGATACATTTACTCATAAATGTTTGCTTAAAATGGCATTTTCATCTAAACTTATGAAAAGAAATTCGTTTGATATCAAATATCTTCTGTCATTGAGTTCGCATAGTAAAAATACAATCAATGTTTTAATCAGCGATAACTTTTAACGTTGTTACATTACTAAGTTAAGTTTTTTTTATTTGAATTTACTTGAACGTATAGTGTAAATCATTGTTCTACAAAAGAAATACTGAACATTCATTGTAGCAAACTAACAATGATTAGTTACTATTATTATTTCAATTAACACAAAATGTCAATTGAAATCATAAACTAATCTGAGTCAACACCGTTGTATACCGGCTTAGTTATCTACAGGTTAAGCGTTCGCGTGCGAAACCGAAGGCCATGGGCTCGAATCCAGAGTGAGGGCATCGTGAGTGCGCATTGCTGGGGAGTCCCACAATAGGACGAAACGGTCGTCCAGTGCTTCTAGGTTTCCAATGGTAGTCTAACATCAATCGGTACATAATCTCAAGCAAAAACTCAATAATCTCCACAACCCTGTACTGATAATTACCATGTGGTCACTAGTGACTAGCTTCGTGAGAAGCCGTGACCAATGGAGCTAATCTGTGTTGGATAAAGACAGGTATCTATCTCAGTATAATCTAAGTTGGATAATCATTCAAAACTTGAAAACATTTCATAATTGTCTCGTCCTAGTTTAGGACTCTTCAGTCAGTAATCTACACAAATAACATATTAATAAAAATGATCATTTAAAATTACCAAAATCCAAAATGTGTTCCACTTGCGGCAACATTATGTTGTACTGTATTATTTGGTTGTGTAATCCAAAATGCCGCTGGTACTACATCATCATTTAATAGACTACTGGTACGTTTAACATGTACAAATAGATTATATTGAATTAAATTTCCATGTTCAATACCATCTTCTAAGAAAAATGCACCACCCATTATATCATAAACTACATTATTTTCTATTAATACTTCATGTGTATTATGAATATTAATAGCACGATTAAAAGTTTTATGTATAGAACAACCACGTACATAAGACCTGAAAATGAAACAATTAATTTGTATAATTAATTATATACTGAAATAAAGTGTACACATTAAATTAAACAGAAAAAAATAGTTAGGGAATATTTTGACAATATTAACGGTTTTTATCTTGTCTTTAATGATTAATAGAACACTTGGATGAATTAGATGGTGCAAAAAACATTTGTGATCGTGGGGTTCATTTCAAAATGTCATGAGAGTAAACTTCCATGAATAGAAATCCTAGTGACCATACTAGATTCGGAATTTAAACTATAACTCATGAGGAAAATATCCACTCAAGATGGTTATGACAACAATATATATCGATTTAGTTAATGGTGAAACAAAAAATATGGAATGTTCAACGGAAAAGTGAAGGTTATTCTCTGCTACCCACTGTAATAATTTCACCGATATTCTTTCGTTTGTGTCATGAAATCTTAAGATTTTTAGTTCGACAGCAGACGAACTTTAAATTTGAAACTAAATTACAATGCGATGAATATATGCGAAGTCATCCTATTAAAAGTAATTAAAACTAACGGAAGATACTTATTATTTCATTTTTAATAGTTGTATGAATATTCCCATTGATGTTTAGAACTCCAGTTGATCAGTCACTTTTAGTACCTATATATCCTGTACAAAATCCCTTCATTTTGCCATTAAGTCATATGGCTTATTTGAGCATAGATAGATGAGCATTTCTTTCCATTCAGGGCTCATCGGTTGTATATACCCGCATTCTATTTTTTTATATTCGTTTAACCATTCAACTCGGCGTATAAGATACTTGTTAACAACCCTTGATCTTATCACCATTTTCTCTTTGGTCTTTTTGTGTATTAGATATGTTACTTATTTATATTCAGTAATCTATTTTGTTGTCAATCATTTTAAGGTCTCTTCAATTTTGTGTGATAATTCTAAGTACTCACATGAATTTGCGATATGTAATCATCTAATAATTGCAATTGCATTCGCTTAACAATCTTAATAGTTCTATTTTATCCCATGTATATTCACTGAACATTTAAGATCAAAGGTACTGGATTCGAATCCTGAACTGAAGATCAACATTGAATTCAGGTATATTCAACTGATCCAACGCTAATTCTGAATCCCAATGCTAGTCAGTATTCAACTCTCTGTAAAAGTGTTACTTTTGCCATACACTTTTCTATTAAAAGTAAATATTGAAGATAAATCCTTAGTTGTAATTCGGAATTTTGTGTGTAGCTCAATGGTTTACTCTAAATCCTCAAATAAATTTAACAATACAATAATTTGAAAGTACTATTCTATGTAGTAAGTAGCATTAACTTTATACGTAGTAATGTTTTATCCAATCAAATTAACCTGTGTTTTTATAAATAATAAAACGTATAATGAATTTACCCATTCATTAAGCCATTTAAATGAAAATGTATAGGATATCGACCAAGACGATAGGCTTGACCCATAAAATAAAATTCAGTATGTGATATATAAACTTTAACTGCACCACTATCTACGAATGGACCACCAATATGTACATGTCCTCCATATTCATTTGCACCCAGTTGTTCGTCTGGACTACCTATTATACATGTATGAGTTGCAAATTGATCTAAAATATGAGAGAAGAAATATTTAGAAAGAATATCAACATGTTAACCGTTTAACAGATTCAAGTCACTAGCTTACTGCAATGGTAGACTTAAAGAGATAATGAAATATAATATAATTAGTAAATTTAATGAGTAAATAACTTTATAACTTAGTCCTACAATTTGTTTTCAAAGATAGAAACCTTCAATTAGAGATGATTTTTAAAAGTATTAAACTCCATTTATTTGTTACTATTTGAACTGGAGAGTCATTAGAAGTCAGGTATCAATGAACATTTTTATTAGGATAATTTTGAGCATTTTATAGTGAACATGAAACGTTTAGATCACTTAGTCAAAATCATAACACAAGTCATGTATCAATCAATATGATAGAACTCTACCAATTATCATCAACTAATGCTAAGTCGGACAATCGTGATTATACAACTAGTCTCCATGTTGAAATGACATTTAATTTCAAATGATCTCATCAATTGAAATGAAACACATCATTTATCAGTCCATTTTCAGTTTTACAATATTAAACAGACTCTTTCTAGCATTAGTATTTGATATAACTTATTTATGGGAAATCTAGCCAACAGACTAATACTCTGCATAGGGTATAAATAAATTTGCCTTAAATTCTCATTAGTTTAATAGATATGATCCCGTGGTAATCGCTTGTGTATTCGGTCAATATTAAGATGCGTGACGTAAAACAGACTTTTGTACAAATTTATCAAAATAATCTTGTATAAACTATGAATGTGTTGTTGTGTGGAATCTATGGAGCGTGTTTTATTCTACTTGGGATTCGTCAGCTAGATATTAATATTCAATCCGGGACTCGAACCCATGTCGTGAAAATTCGAAGTTAAGTAATTATATCGAAAAACTTCATAGAAATTAAGCTATTCTAAGGGATTTCAGAATTTGTAAATTCGTATAGATTAAACAGTAAACCAAAACTTTTAACAGTCACATCATATACACATTTTATAAGAAAAAATCAATCCAACAACAAAATAATCCTACCTGTACTAAAATCACTTGGACATTTTGGTACACTTGATGAGACAACTGGTTCTTCTGTTCCACGTATTAAAATATTTCTACTTAATAGACCTACTTCAGCAGCGAAATTTCCTATAACACCATTTGAATAAATTTTTTTCACTGATAACTTTTTATAAGCTAATGGGGAAACCAACGTAATTGTACGATTATCTGCTGACATTTCTAAACAAAAAGGTATATAAAAAGAAATGAATGTTTGATCTTTCTTCCACTAAACTAATGAGTTTCGTAAACATTCTTCGAGAAAAAGTCAAAGGCTTGATTGTGTTCCCAAATATGATTGCTACATATTTTTGCTTATTGTCAGTAACAGTAAATTCGCTTGTTCTATTTGTCACCTAATTGTCAGCTCATAGAAATTCCCTTTCTACAAAACCTCCATTCAAAATACATTCAAAAGAGTTATCATCAAACAAATGCTTAATCAATACTCAACCAAAATATGTGAACTAAATCAAACTATTTAGCCCTTTAGGGACTACATCTGAGTAACCAAAGAATAACTACCTAAGTCTCATATTCTCCATTTTTCATCTTATCCTATCAATAATAGGAATATCTTTTTAGTTGAACGCTTAACCTTTAAACTATTGGGCTGGTATGCGATGTCATGAATTGATTAAAGTTAAACATACATAGCAATGGATTCCTGCTTAGTGGTCTATAATTGTTTTTTAATCTAAAGTAAAAATCATCAGATATCGTAGGATAATGTTGGTCTATCTCATTATTTTATCTGTACAGAATTCTTCACATTCACAATCGTTTAACAGGTAAATTTTAGTTTTATATATATATATATAGGTTGAGGAAAACATTTGGGAATAAATATTTATGAATACTTCCTATCGGCAGATGACCATGGTTTATACAGGAGAACGCATAATTGACAAGATTCAGAATTTAAGCAATATAGGATTTTCTTTGAATGATCTTTATTATTGCATACGATAGAAATGTCATTAAGAATTAATTATGCAAATACCTCAGCCAAAAAGAACCCTTTACACTATGATAGTGATTGTACTGTTACTACGTTTTTTATAATTAAACCATAGTTATTCATTACATTTAACAAATTACACTTAAAAGATTTAATATACCTGAGATTATAAAATGAGCTCGTTTTATCAGGTTATACAATGTTAACTTTTGATGAATTAAAGAGTTCACGAATAAAAATTAATATGAAATTACTTTTGTTTCAGAGTGATCCCCTAGTATATTATCTATGACTGATGATTTCTTGTTTTAATGATTTAGTTGTTTTTCTAATAATCTTACTCAAATGGTTCAAAGTATAGAAAACTACATAGTCGTCTGTTTTGTATTATACCTTTGCACTAGTAAGCCTGAATAAAATCTAATTAATCTGAGTTATTCAAATAAAACATTTTCCATTATTCAGTCATATATTTCAGAGTCTTTTCGATAAGATGCTTTGCATCAAAATATTAATAAAATTAACGCAAAGTGTGTGTGGTGGGGGGAAGGGCTAATATCATCACAATAATCGATAATTTGGTGCCAACCATGTATTTTTATACTTACAATGTTTCCATAAAAGCTTCTCAGTCGACGTTTCTAACATCTTGGAATTGGAACTGTTTCACTTGTTTCTGTTATTATAAACGTCTGCTTTTCTTAATTACACTAAACATTTTTGTAGTATAATCGATAAAATATGAACACAATGACTCATATCTGAATTTCGTATTTGCTAATACCTCAGAATTTCACAGGTCCCTTGATGGAAATCACGAAAAGTCAATAATAGCACATTAACCACTTGAAACGTTTAGAATTTCGATAAGCATTTATTAACTAATAATCGGCTCATAATCAAAGTAGATGTTCATCGTTCAAGTGATTTCCAATATTTGATTCTTAACCTAATCACTATTCTACAGTAGCAAGTACTAAAATTAAATACAATGAATACAATTGTCTAAAATTAAAACACTTCAATATTGAATTTCTTTTCTTTGTATGAAAACTTTCTAGGTGGGAAATTTCAAAGTATCTTTTAGGTTCTAAACAATAATTTGATCTAGTGAGCAGTTATCATTATATCCATCCGTCAATCAACATTTTATTTACTAGTTCAGAGAATTACAAATCTTGTGTTTTCACAAAATTCCATATTAAGATTACACTATGATGAAGAATAATGTAAAAGCAAACCTGAAATACAATTAAGTTATGAGTTAATTACACTACTGATTTAGGCAAGTAATAAAGAAGTTTTATAAAAACTTTTTCGAGTTAATTATGATAATAATTTAAAAATCAAATAATGAAGAATTCAATCAAAAGTTACTAAATAATTGGATATTGAATTTTATGGAGAGTAATAATCACTTTACCTTGAATGATATGTTCTTCAGATTCATTATGTGATGATTTTCCTCCAGTAGACGTAATAATAATATGTTCTCCAGGTTGCCAATCAACTGGATGTTCTAGTATTAGTTTATTTGTACCAGGTTCAGCTGTTTTTGCTAATCGTGTCCATGTAATAATTCTAGGTTTACCTAAAATATGAAAAGACAAACAGTAATATATATTATTTGATTTGATTTAAATAAAAATTGTTTTAAAATATAACCGTACATGTACTTCTCTGGATAAATTATATAGAATATATATGAAGCTGAATTATATTATCGGTTAATAATCTCTACGGTATTTAATCTTTCAGCCTAGTTAATCATCATAGATGTTTATCAATGTAATTGTATTACATCAACATGCATATAATAATGACTATTTCAAGACAGTCTAAACGGGATGAACATATGACAATAAATATTGATTAAAATCCTATTGCGAATATTAACAATTGCCTGATTGAAAACCTTACTAATAACAATGTGAATATTGTATATTGTTCTAACATATTAGTAGTCATCTGAACTCAACAGCTTGGTGGATAATTCGTTGACATTTGGAGTGAAAAGTACTGGATTTCGTTTGTAATTTGAACATTAACACTAGGATATAGGCACATTTAGTTGATGATTTCCAAATAAGACGAAACGCAAGTCTTGAATTTGATCGTTAGCCATAATTGATCTATTCTGAACGTAAATTAATCTAAGGTGCTCACTATATGTCACTAATTATATGTTCTTGATGTACGCTCGTTCTAACGTTCTTAGTTGAATTTATTTTCAGAAAAGGAAAGTGGTATGACGGGATCAAACGTTTCAAAAAATATGATACAGATTAGTGAACAGAAGAACGATGAATAGATATTCATTTTATAGGAAAATTCATTAATATCTCAAGTTGGTTAGTGTTAGTTCAGTATTCTGTATATGTAACACTGACTTTGTAATGAACGTAAACACAGATGGGGGACATCCAGTTGCATTTTAATACTAAATTACAGAATTTCTTGGTGAAATATAAGAACTATACATTAAATACTCCATTTGTAAATTTCCATCATTTGCCCTTTACATTCTGTGTAATTTTTCCGATTCACAATTCCATTTCTGTTTTCGTCAATTTGACATTCATAGCATTCTGCTACCAGGGTTTCCAATCCCCATTGATGTTACGTATTACTTATGTCTGTTGATGTAAGTAGCATACACCACAACTTATTAGCATTTAATCTACAATTCTATTAAAATGCACATTAAATAATATCCCTTGTTTTAAAAATGTGCAATATTTTTAACTTGGTCATTTGTTATGTTTAAAAGTTAACATTCATAATTATAAGACTTTATTAAAATAAACTGTTTTCAGATAATAAAACATTACTGTAATAGCTAATAAAGAGAAACGTTAATGCGACTAACCATGTATACTGATTGTTCCATTACGTAACGCTAAAACTTTAGCACCGTACAAAGGTAGTTCTTTTTCTCGTACATGTCCATGTAATCTTATCGTAGCCTGTTTAGTGTAGGGTTCTTCTGGTGATCCAATCTAATAATAATAATAACAATAATAATGGTAATACTAATAATATCATCTGATATACATTACAATTTCAGTTATCTAAATATGGCTTATACATATCTAAAAACCATCAAAACGAATCAAAATATTCCCAACAAATTGTATTTCTAACTATGGTAATTGAAATTCAAAACAGGTATTTGCATCTATCAGTGAGTTATAATTTAAGGCAGAAATTATTCAGTTTAACTTGTGATGTAGTGAACGAGAACACAAGTGGGTTCAATCGGATGTATTTGAATACAAAATCACAGAATCTCTTACTAAAATCTGAGAACCATACAGTAAACACCTCATTTACAAAATCTCAATCAATTGTTCCATAATTGACTGTTTCTTTTTGCAAATATCAGTCAATCGTCTCAGCCTTCATTGTTCTTTCGTTAACACAGCAAACATTCTTTGTTCTCATTTTCTTTTCTTTGATCTTCTAAACCTTCTGCCACCAGATATCTCACTTTCGATTGATGATATACACTACTTATATCTGTTGACATCAGTAGCACCCACCACAGTAACATTTAAGTGTTAGTTAAAATTTGAATAAATATCAGTCAGTTTGTTTGTCAACTAAATTTTTAAATGTGTTCTACTGAATAGTGAAAACATGTATTGTTTCCATGGGAGTTTCTTGGTAAATAAAAGAAAGATTCCTTATTTTAAAGTTAAATACTCTTGTAATTTTTTATGGTTTTATATTTTAGGATAATTTGTTACTAAAAGACCAAAGTTTTCAATGGTTTTCTGATGTCCATGTACTCCAGAAGAGAAATATGGACTTAAATGACTACTATTCTCCGAAAGTAAAGAAGTTGACTGTTTAGAATAAACAATTTGATGTTTATATTATTTGAAATGGATTATAATAAAATGCACTAAAGTACATTATTGATTATGTTTTCTCTACGGCATTGTATTTCCTCTCTCTCTCTCTCCCTCCCTCTATCTATCTATATATCTATCTATCTTCAGTACCACTGTTAATGCATTTTAGGAAATACATAAATAATCCTACAAATATTTTATTTTTATGCACTAAAAGAACTTACTAGAAATTTTCCATTGTTTAGTATTAATATATATTTTGAATTTAATTGTATATTTTTTGTTGGATCAAAGAACAATGTACCACCATTAATAAGTAGCATTGATAAAACTGGTGTATCTACATCTAACATGATATTTTGATTTGCATTAATAACAACAAAATCATTTTCAACTGGAATTGGTTGATTATTCCAAGTAAATTGACTTGACCAACGATCCACATAGTAAAATGTGAAGTCCTTTTATTAGATAATATTAAAGTAAGAGGCAGTAGAAAATAGGAGAGATATATATATACTTCAGTATTTTATAATAAATTAGTGATTATATGTTACTTACTACACTAATATATTTATCATTATGCGTTTGTGAAAGTTATTGAATTTTATTGAGGTCACGAAATGATCTTATTTTGGCAACCGTTAAAAACCTGGAAGTACTGGATAGCCGTTTCACGTGTGGATGAGTAATTTTTAGCTTATTGCACCTGCATTCAATGGTATACAAGTTCAACTTTGATCAATCCATAATTTTGTATGACTGCCTTATTTTGTCTTGATTCGGTGTCTTCCTCACACCCTACACGATTCAACTATACTGGTCGTGACTTCACAATAGAACTGAAATTTCCTCTAAAACTCAATCACAATCAAGCATATTATGCTGCTCAATATGAGATTGTAGCAATAATTGAGTCTGATTGAAGTCAAAGGTCCTGAGTTCTAGGGGAAGCATACTTCTGAGGGGTCGCATACAAGGATGAAACGGCCATCTAGTGTTTCTAGGTTTTCAGTGGTGGTCTAACACCAATCAGTTCATGATTTCAATAAAAACTGAACGATCTCCACAACCCTATACTGACGAACGAATTTATTTGATTAGAGTTCTTAGATAATTATTGAAAATCGTTAAAAAACCTTAAGGGACTGAGCAATTATGTTATCCGCGTTTGATACCCTTTCACATGAGACAAGATAAGACTAATGTACAGAGCCAAAATTCAAAGGCTGGCATTAAAGCCCTAATCAGATTGTAAAACTGTATGATTCTCTTTTAATTTCGTTGGTAGTCTACTGAATGTTTGTCATTTATTTGCAGAACTATGAGACACAACTTTAAAACTGAGAAACCACAAAAAGTGAAATTATGATAAAATAAGCAATGGTGTAGAACTCCATCATTCTCAAAGTTTACGAAATCTTCAAGAGATCAACAAAATCTTTTAAAATATAATTAAATTCTACGACAGGAAATAATCATTCATATGACCAGTTTTTTGTTCAATGATTTGGCCTTACTTTGTAATGAAGTTCTTGGTCAACGTTCAAGATAATTTTTTCAGTGAAATAATGAATGTTTCCATTATAATTCTTTCGATGTGTAATCAAGATTAGATTTGGTCGAAATTGTGTGCATAAAAAATTGATGATGATATTTCACAACATAACTTAAATTTAACTAGACAGATATTAGTGACCGAAAAACAATGAACACCTGCCTCGTCATCATATGTAACTGAGAACATCTAGGCCTCATGACTAGATAATAACATTTAAGTTATTGAGTAGGCACCCTGTGCCTCATATGTTTAACTTCAGTCAACTTATGGTACCTGTTGATCGTCATTCATTACCGTTGTCCATTACATGGTTGAACTTATAACGTTTAGTGTTCAAAGTGAACAATCTCCATCCATCTCACCATCAAACAACTGAACAAACGGTCAGCTAGTATACTGTTATAAAATTTTAAAACCACTGAGACGAAAAAAATTATCATTTTAATTTATATAGTTCTTATTCTATTCCGATTACTTGTAGACATGTTGGATATCGAAAATTGAGCTGAATCTCCATTTAAATTTTAGTACAATACCACTATTGGTATAAATCATAACACACCGATTCATCATGTTTTTTTTCTTAACATTTTTTAACATCAATAACAAACGATATACTTACTCCAGATGCTTTACCATTATTTTCAACGGTCACTTCAACGGGTACTTTTGCGCTTCCGTTATGTTCACCAGTTTGACATACAATGACAGTAGTATTCAGTGATATTAATTGACAGTCAATACCACCAACACTAACTGTAGTTGATTTACTGAAGCAAAAAAAATAAAAGGGATAAACAGCAATGGAGCAACCGTAGATTAAATTTATCATCTTCACCTGCTAAATGAATCATTGAACAATGTTTCATAATTTTTTCTACTTTATACTCGTCAAACGTGTCACCCAATAATACTAATAATTTCAAAAATGGTCTAGAGGTGTATGTTACTTATATTCGCAGATATAAGTAGTATGTAGCACAAGTCAGATATGGAATGTTTGTGAGCAGAAGATTGAGAAGATTGAAACGAGGGAAAGAGAGAATTAATTTTAAAGCAATCAAGGTAACAACAAGAATGAATGAACAATGAAGCTTATAATAGATAACTCAAAGAAGATGTGCGAATGATGTATTTGATGTGTGATTTTCTTAGTTTACATATTTCTATTACATTTTAACCGATCCCTATGTTTTTTAACATTTATGGTCATTCCCTCAAAATTTATCGTTACAACTGATGTGAAGAAACCATAGTCCTTTTAATATAAGCTATACTCAAAAATAAAGATAATAATAATAACAAGTATTGTTGTTTTGACAGATGAATAGACTATGAATTAAAAGCATGGTGTAATCTAAACATCCGTGAATGACAATTTTGAAGGATAAGTTCAACAAACTACTGATTGAGATGAATTAATAGTACATTCAGTAAATATTAATTTAATAAATATACTTTATATATATATATATATATATATATATATATATATATATCTTTTCGCTATTCACATAACTCGTCACTTTGACGAATAATAAAACATAATAACATGGAAAGACATTTTTTAGATAGAGCTCAGTAACACTTTAACTGATAAACAAATGTAGTGACTCTAATTTATTGATTGTGGCCTCAACCAGTAGCAAATCCTACTTGCTTCTAGATGAGCAAAGAAGTCGGACATTCACTTGCAATCTATACTGTGGTGAACAAGAATACAGGTGTGGGTGACTAGACTTATTTTGAATAAAAAATTACAAAATCTCCTGGCAAAATCTGAGAATCATAAAAGCAATACTTCATTTGCAAAATATCCATAAATTGTCTCAGACCTTGTTGTCCCTTCGTTTCCATAGCAATCACTCTCTGTTCGCATTCTCTTCTCTTCTATTTTCTCAACCTTCTGTCTCTAGGTATTCCACTTTCGATTGGTGATACATACTACTTATATTTGTCAACATCAATAGCACACACCCCAGTACTTTTAAGTTAGTATACAATATGACTACCTATATAAATATATATAGTCAAATGTTTTCTCTAGTTAGAAAATATATATGTATATATGCTCAATTGATTGATCACTTATGAATAGATAAAATGGTTCATTGATCTTATCTACCTAGTGCTGAAAATATTCTGCTTTGCGAGCAATAACTTCATCGATTAGAGCGCGATTGACATGTGAAATTTATCGTCTGTACCATGTTTATCGATGGTTAATTGTATAATATTGTAAATGTGTTCATATAATAAGCTAATAACTAATCGATATCAAATATTAAGAAGTTCAATTTATACAAATCTAACTGTAAATCTATTATATAAAAAACAGTGTATTCAAACATCATATCGATTTAATTCCGAGGATTAAATAACTCCATTATCACTAGTCTTTGTTCTTTTTTCACTATGCGTCGTCGGAATCATTGTTTCTAGTACTAAACACAAGTCAATTAAATAATTCTGTAGACATAATAGGTTTTGTACAAAATATTATGTTTTATGGTAACAAATTGTTAATATTTATCACCGTTACAATACGTTGAGTAAAAAAAAAGAACCCAGTTTTTCAAATCAATTAACTTACTCAAACAAAGTACCAATTATGGTAAGAATTGTACCTCCACCAGTGCCTCCAATTAATGGATCTACACTGATTATTCTTGGTGAAAGATCCACATCATATTTGAATGCTCCAATTAATTTTTTTTGTAATACATTATCAATAGTAGGAACTGTCACTGTAACATCACACATCTTTATGTTCAGTGTAGCTAAGACATACAAAAAAAGTATATTTAGTAGTTTTTATTAGTAAAAAGAAATCGAAAAGACTGCTTGATTGTTCTCAGAAGGTATACTGTAAGATATACGAACTACTAGAAATGACATTCATATAAATGATTAAATAACTAAATAAAACCATTTTTTTAATAGTTATTTTTTCAAATTAAAAAAAACTGTACTACTTAATTCACTTACATAATTTAGGCGTAATACACTTAAGTGCAAGTGAACTCCCACCAACTATTGAACAGTCCTGATCACATATTGTAACAGTACTTCGTTCAACATCCATTCCTATCCCTTGAATCTCCACCAGTTGGCCTCCTTCTGTTCCGCCTAAGTAAAAAAAAAATGAATAACGCTTTCACTCTGAATAAATGATATACTTTAAATACATAAATTTTTACTTTTAATTTTTAAAATACATATATCTGATTTGTAGGTTGCATTTATCACAAATTGATTTCAGTTAGAGAACATTATTGAAAACCAAGAAGCATTGAACAGCTGTTTTATCCTATTATATGCTTATTTAGTGACCTCACCAGGGATCAAACTTATGTTCCATAGGTCTCCAGCGACAAACGCTTGATCGTTAGAACTACTGAATTCTATCTCAAGCAGAAATGTGGATGCACATAGTGGAGAAATTTTATACTCGGGAAGAAAGATATCCGGTGAATTCCGAATAATAATGATAAGTCAAATGAGACCAATCTGTGATGAATATAATCAATAAATCAAATTAATCTACGAATAACCTCTTCAAATAATATATCACTGAATTGTCACAAACATTCATACTTTTATTTATCAATAATGAAGAATTTTACAAACCGTTTTTCACTTGAAAAATTTTTGTCATTAGTACATGTATGAATCCTTTATAGTCCAAATAAATCAAATGATTATATATTTCAAAAATCATATTATCCAGTCATAGCTTATAACATATAAGTTCATGATGTATTTAATGTATTGTTGTGATTATTAGTACGGTGTAAATACAGAAGAAAAAAGAAACATATATATGGAAATTTAATGGCTGAATTCATGAATCAATTGAAGGTAGACAACCATGGAAAACCTGGAAGCATATGACGGCCGTTTCATCCTAATATGCGACTCGTCAACATTGCACATCCACGATCCCGCCTTGCCAGATGCGAACCTAGGACTTATCGGTCTCGCGCTCAAACGCTTAACCTCTTGATCACTGAACCGGCATCCAACGGTGTTAATGTCTAACTTTAACCAATCTACGAAAATGCGCCACTGTCAGTCATAACCTTCAGTGAATTACTATCTCACAAAAGATACGGTTGGACTCCACTGGTCACGTCGTCTCACTAGAACTTCATGAAATACCTCTTGAAGCCTGTCACTAATGAACATATGATGATTATAATCAGAGAAGGGTTTTGTGGATATTATAATAATTTAGTAGTTGACTTCATGAGTCAATTGAAGCTAGCTGTGAAATATAGTAATAACAATAATTGATAGTTTAAAGTTTAATTTCATTTAAATTCTCTACATGTGTGATATGTTATTATGCTTTGTTTAATAGAGAAGTATTTATTTTTCTTGGTAGTTAACTGCATTGTTCACTCTTTCTGATACAGCTAACATTTATAATTAGGTTGAAGAGCCCAAACAAGTTACAGATTATCATAATAGTTGAATTAGAAGTTTTTCAGTATTTTAAACGTAGATAAAAGTCTAGTTAAATTGTGGTATGCTACTTGAGCAGACAGATATAAGTAGTATTAATGTGAACAGAGAAACAAAGACGATATGACAAACAACTGAACCTATTTTTAGGAACGTTATTTCACCTAATTCAAAGCTTTTGAAACACCAATATTTATTTTTGTCCCTAGTTTATTCTAAATACCATAAGCTTTCGTTTGATGTACGATTCTTAAGTTATTGTAATTTAAACGCAGACCTTTGTTGTTCTGTTTTTCTACCCTAATACCCAGTTTTGGACATAATTGTATTTTCCTAATTGTTGGTGCGTTGTGGTGCGTCTCAATCAAAGTTGGAATCAGAATAGGGAACAAATTTATTCATGTTCCAGTTAACTCGTCTTCTCTCTGTCATGTGCTTGTCAACCGATCAAATGGTAGGATAGTTTTCGTCTCTCTACACAAGACAATTGTCTACTCAAAACCCTCAATGTCCACTGACCAGATATCGTCAGAAACAGCTTATTGTGATAGAGAACAAACCATCTTCCATCTGAATAGGTAATGAGGAAAAGATATTGTAGGTGGAAATCATCAAAACTGCATCACCAGACAAGCGCCAAATTGGAATTCTGAAGGTGAGCTTAAAATAGGAGGACGATGGAACAGTTGACTGCTCTGGGAATCGTAAGCAGACATTGAAAGGATGACTATCAATCGGAGAGAACTGGCAAGGATTTTCCATGATATAGTTGGATGGTAAATGCTGTTGGGCGGCTTATACTCCTCCATGAGGTGTAACCGGCGTAAGTAAGTAACTAACTAAATATATACATTTTAACAAGAAATCTTAGCGGAAAATCAAATTAAATTCATGACAGTTTTTTTTTTACAAAACTAACCTGAATTAGGACTAATTGAATTTAAACTAAAATTAATATTAATATTATTTTCTGATAATGCATAACCATAAACTGGTGTATCAACAATAAGTTGATATATTCCACTTGGTAAATTCACTACATAACATTGAATATAATCATATTGTATAGTTACTATATTACATAATGTTTGATTTAATTTAACTTCGGTCATTTTCATTTGTGTATTATTATCCCCATTAAGCATACTACCATTTATATTTAATTGAGTAATTAATGTACCATTATTATTATTTATTGAATTCATTGTAATATTTATTACTTTTGGTGTTTTCATATTAACATATGTATATTCATTTGTTATTAATAAACCATTAGATAAATTAATGGATACTTTATAATTATTTAATTGTATATAATTTAATTGTTCCGGTGTACGACAATAAATTTCATTCACTGTTCTATTCTTCACATTTATAATTTGACATTCTTTTAAATTTATTAAAATTTTAATTGTTGGATCATTTAAACCATTTCCATTTAATTTTATTATTGTACCACCAGCAAAACTACCTTCTAATGGATAAATTGTATAAAATGTAATTTGACTTTTTATTGTTAAATTAGTTTCATATTTTGAATAACCACGTAATTCATGAAATAATTTCAATGTTACATAACCAGATGATAATGAATTCATTAATTGACATGATAATTTATTAATAGAAATTGATTTGATATCGATTATACAAGGTGTATTATCAAGAGTAATTAGTAGATTTGTATAATTTTCATTGGTTAATAATAAATTACTTCCATAAATGATAAGACTTTGATTAGTATTGATTATTTCACGTGGTTCAATATTTTTTATAATTGGTGTTGCTGTTATATCATATGAATATAAACAATCACTATGAGTAGTATGTTGAGTATCTATCCAATCATTTTGATTTCTTGATTTTATTTGAACTTGTATAGTAACATTTAAATTTGATTCAATTGTTGTATTATCCGGTATTGGTACTAAACATTTTATATAACCAGATGTAACTTCTATAATTGAACATTCTTTTTCATTATTAAATGTAATTTTATTGAAATTTTTATAAATAGGATCAAATCCAGAACCATATACAATTAATTGTCCACCGCCATAAATACTACCTTTACCATATGTTTTATCACAATTAATTCCAGGCCAAAAAAATGCATATTGTTCAAATTCATTTGTAGAAATATGTAAAAGTGCAAATCCAAGATGATTATGTGAAATACATGGTTTTAAGGGTTGTCCAGTTAATAGACCAGCTGAAATAACTTGTTCTTCACTTAAATCACATTCGATAGATTCTAAATCATTAATATCTTGAACAGGTTGTGTACAATCAGCCCCGCCAACATTGATCATTAACTGATTCACACAATTAGCCAATACAGGAGAAGAAACTGTAATCTTACTTCCAGCATAAATATTAAATGGACTGAATGAAGATACTATTGGTGTTGCACAACCTCGATAAACAAATCCATGCTTTGTAAGTAACTCGGATGGTTTTGTTAATATCTGACAAGTGAAACCACCTTCACAGGTTGTCAATGAATCCCAGTATAGAGTATCTGTACAAAAGAATATACTGTACAGAATATAATCTATCATGATATGTAAAATAATCTCCAAAAAAGATGCCTACATTTTAAAATTCAACGCATTTAATGTGTCCTAGTAGCAATCTTGAGTGATTAATTTTACCACATTGAACGATAACTGGTGAGACTATAATTTATGGATGGATTTTGGGTGACGCTTAAATGATCTGGAGAAACTTCCCTGACCCTATTAGAATCTAAAGAGGGTTATACAGTAATGTGAGAAATCAGAATCAGGATTTAAAGTTAGAAGTTGAGGTTAGAAATCATCGTTAGTGTTTTCATAACAAACTGACATCAGCAAAAAGATAAAAATGTTATTTAGACATATGAATAGATGAATTCAGCACTCAAAACCAAGTCTCGCTATTTTAAACCTGATTGGTCGGTCCATAAATTTATAATCTTACCTAATACAATCTATTAAAGAGGTCAGAGGAGCGAAATAAATACTATATAGAACAGTAACCAAGGTACAGAAAAAAAAGTCAAAAAAACTCCATATTGTTTATGGAAAAAAATGAAAGACTGTGACTGGTGAATAAACAATACCATCGGGTTCCGATATACCGAGACTACACGGACTTTCAGTTCATGAGAAGAATGCCCACTTATGTCTTATACTTGATGTGAATAACTCTATATATCATTTGATTGCTAAATGATTAGCTGAAATTTTAAAACCCGTCCGAAATCACACCAATAGATACAACTCTATTTATTTGATTTCCTCGACGCAATTAAAAATATCAATGTAAATGGTAGGAAAATGGTCTCATTGGGTGTCACTTGTTTCTTTACAAATATTTGACTCATTGAAACTATATATTTTTTATGTGTCCATTTTGAAAATAATAAATTTCATACTTATATCCAAAAATATTATCTAAGAGAACTACTTCAATGATGTACTCTCCATTTGCAATGCAGATTCAATAATGATTTCTATGGACAAACCGATGGAGTTGCAATGGGTTCACCACTGAGTCCACTCTTGGCTGATTTTTCATGACCAATCTGGAAAATACGGCATTTTAACCAATAAACGAGATACTTCATTTACATAAGATATATGATAATTTCATTATTTGTGAAGAAGAGATGAACTTCAATGAAATTTTGGATCGATTCAATAATTTTCATCACCTAATTCAATTCACATTCGAAGCAGAAGCGAACAGGGAATTTGATTTCCTTGATGTCCAGTTGTAAAGGTCAGATGGTTCTTTACAGTGATCTGTGTACAAAAACCGACCTGAAATGGTCTGTATACGAAGTTCCATAGATGGATCACATTGAGTAGAAAGAGAAACTTAATTCACCCTTTATCCTCAAGGATTAGGAGAATATGCTCTAATGATACAACAGATGTTGAACTACTCCAACTTCGACAGATACTCATAAAAAAATGGTTATCTACTCAAATTTGTTGACAGAAACCTAGTGCCAAGACATAATCGAGAAAAAGCACCGATAGTTCAAAAAAAACTTTTTATGGATATCAAATTTAAAAGAGATACGGCTGCCAAATTCTTGAATAAACCGATTTCAAAATCTCCGAATAAAACCTGTTCATTTAAGCTATGTATTGTCTTCTCAAAACGGCCTACTATTCATGGATGTGTTAAGGATAAACTTCCACTTCCGGCCACATCGATGTGCATCTATAAATTTATTTGCTCCTGTGGGGCAGGTTACATTGGTCGCGCAAAGCGATCACTTTCCGGACACGTCTCAGAATATTCCCGGCATGGCTTTTAAAAGGAGAATGCAAAACTATCATTAGTTCAATACAGCAGTATCTAAACAACTCAGGACACGTCGTTCCAATAGAGTCTTATTTCAAAATAAACTACACAATCGATAGAACTGGATTGAAGAGAGGCTGAATCAAAAACGTATGCACTGCTGAGGGATTGGGAATCCACCAATTTAAGACCGAACTCTGGGTATAAAAATGACACGGTCAACTTTTCACACTTCCTTAGCCTTAATTCTCTTCTGCAGTGCGTTTTGGTCTTGTTTCGTTTCATCACTGTTTTGTAATTTTACACCGTAATCATTTATTACCAGTCTTTAACTATTTTTCATGGTTATTGTTCACCTGCAACTTCGTTTGTAGATCTTCTAGGGTTATGGCCGGTCCTATACCCGGGTAGAGTACGCATGAGCACGTAGTCAGCAACCCTAGCCTGTAGAACACGACCTTGCCAAAAAAAGACGCTAATCAGAAAAAAAACCAATTTAAACCACTTAAAATCTGCCTTTCTAGTTGAATGATCTCCATTAAGAAGAAGTGAAAACCAAGATTTTTAGGAAATGAGCAGATACAACTTGGAGGTACTCGTAATAAGTGAAACCCATTGGACCCAAGCCAGACAGGAAATATTAGATTCAGGAGAGATGCCGTAGTGTTCTTTTAATGGAAAAGAAAATGCTTCGCGCACGCAGGGAGTTTCTATGATGCCGTCCAAAGAAGCACGAAAAGCACTTATAGGATGAGAATCTCATGGATCCAGGATCACTAAAGTATTCTTCAAAATAAAGGAAGAGAAGATCACAATGAATGTTATCCAGTGCTGTGCACCCAACAATTATAGTAATGAAGACGATAAAGATAAGTTTTATGAGAAGCAGTAATCGACCTTAGAGAAGTGTCTAAGAAGGGACCAGATCATCCTGATGGAAGAACTAAACGCTAAAATCGGAATGGACAGCATCGGATATGGGACGACATGAACTGAAAGAAGGGAACGAGAACGGAGATAGATTTGCAAATTTATGTGCATTCAACGAAATATTAGTAGGTGGCACTATATTCTCCTACAAACGCTGAAACATTCATTCCAATGAAGATTGGTGTCAGACAAGACTGCTTATTCTCACCCCTTCTCTTTCGTCTGCTAGTTGACTGGAATATGAAGACCTATACATCTCATGAGGAAGCACGGAATACAATGGACAACTTGAATGCAGCTAAACGATTTGGACTTCTATCATATCATACCAACAAATGCAAGTGAAGAAAGATAGTGTATCGTCAGCTTCTACAGCAGTAGGCCTCAACATACAAAAGAAAAAAAGCAACATCCTGAAATACAACACAACGAACACCATTACAATCACACTTGGTGGAGAAACTCTCGAAGAGGTGGAGTCTTACACATACCAGAGCAACATCATCGATGAACGTTGAGGATCTGATGCAGACAGGAAGGGAAGAATTGACAAAGCAAGGACAAGGCTCATGCAAGTGAAAGACATATGGAACCCAACATATGGAACTATCAACTGAAATCAGAGTCAGAATCTTCAATTCGAACGTCGAGATAGTCCTACTGTATAGAACTGAAACTTGGAGAACTACCACAACCATCATCAAAAACGTACAAGTATTTATGAACAATTGTCTACTCAAAACACTCAATGTCCATTGACCGGATATCATCAGAAACAGTCTCAGTAAGTCAGTAACAAAGTAGAACTTCGTGCGTACGTACATCAGTTCGAGTCGCCGCACCACATTAGGACAGAGATAAAGTTGTCGATTCAAATCCCGTAGTGGTAGAGGCGGTAAGAGTATAAGCAGTAATCGGAAACATCAGGGTTTGAAGATGTTATTTAAAGAGTATAATCCAGTGAAATAAATTTTGAAAGAGAAAAAAAGAAACAAGGAGGATTAATAAGATTAGAATTTTGAAGAACACAAAGAGTGGATGCACCTGCGCCACTGCAAACAATTTCGAACCATGTCATTCAGGGTCCCCAACCAGGTAGTCTACACCCACCAACATGGCTCAGTCCGCTTGTTAGTGACTTCATGGGCTTGTGCCATGTTTTGATATGGCCGCCCATAGCTTTCTTCCAACTTACTCCAATACCATTGAGCATCGCACGTCGAGGCAGTCGGTCGTTGGGTATACGTAACATGTGTCCCAGCCACCTCAACTGATGAAGTTTCACTACTTCTTCAATTGATTCGCCATCCTTACCTAGTACCCGTTTCCTAACAACTGCGTTACTTACTTGATGGTCCCAGGATATACGAGCAATGTTTCGAAGACTAAAAGGGCTGATGAGACTTCCAAGATAAGTGAAGAGGTCGACACGCTCAACTACTTCATTAGTTCGGGTGTCGATGCAACCCAATCCTGAAGCAACATTTTGCGTTTCGAAAAGGGAGAATCGCATCTCGAACATGCTTGCATTGCTTCTTATAGTGGTCATAAGACTCTGCATTTTGTCAGCGTCTTCACCAAATAGAACTATGTCATCGGCATATTCTAAGTCAACCTGGTAGAAGTTCAACCTCTGGAAATTTAGATGAGGATAGTGTTATTTCTAAAAGCACGTCAACGACAAAGTCAAACAAGAATAGGTAGAGTAGGCAGCCCTGACGAACACCACTTGAGGTAGCCGATTCTGATCACATTTCGCCATAATCTCTCACTCGACCAGTTGTGTTCGAGTAGAGAGCCTTTACAAAGTTAATATACTTCTTAGGTACTCTGCCATAGAACCTCACGATCAAGGTCGAGAAATACTATTGTGAGAGAGAAAAAACCTTCTTCCATCTGAATAGGTAATTAGGAAAAGACATTGGAAGTGGATAGGATATATATTTCGGAAATCATCAAAACTGCATCACGAGGCAAGCGCCAAATTGAAATGCTGAATGTAAACGGAAAATAGGAAGACGATAGGACAGTTGACTGTTCCGGGAATTGGAAGCAGACATTTTAAAAATGACTATCAATTGGAGAGAACTGGCAAGGATTGTCCATGACAGATTTGGATGAAGTATGATGTTGTGTGGCTTATGCTCCTCCACGAGGTGTAACAGATGTAGGTAAATAAGTATGATTCAAATAAAATTATGAAATTTACGTTTCTCGTTTCTTTTCATATCCGTCAAGTGGACAATCATCTTTTATAATTCTAACCCGTAATTTATTTCCACCCTCCTATTCTTCTTTGATGCCTTATTGTCACGCAAGCTCTATTTGTTATTTGAAATCTCGGACCACTTTAATGATGCGATTTCATTTATCTTTCTATAGACCTATATTTACCAAACAAATGTACAGTCTAAGCAAATAATCTCATCAAAAAGTAAATCGTCTCTTTATTTTTAGTCAGTAGATTATTTTAATTATCTGAATATACAATGCATAATCATACATAGTCAAAGACAGTCAAAATGATGATAGGTGTTTAATACTATTATCAGTGAGTTTGTTTATCGATCACAGCTTACAATATAATCATTTCAATGTTACAAAACAGTTATGAAACAATAATTTCATACCTGGAATATTTGTATGAATAGCTGTTGAATAATTTGTTTCCACGATCACTTCAGTCATACAATCATCAAATGCTTTCACTTCTATAATACCCGTCATTAAAAATTCATCAGATGATGTGTAATAATAAGTTCCAGGTTGTGTAAAATTAAACCTATATACACCTAAATGTGGAATAATACAGAAAGTGTTGTATTTAAATGAAGGGGAAAAAAAGAAAATTATCATAGATGATCAACATTATTCGATTGTTATTATTTAAAATCTTATGACGAAGTAGTTATATTAAGGCAATCTGCACAGGATGTATAGATGCCAGAAAAATGATTAATCAAATATCTGTCCCATTTATCAACAATTTAAACACTTACTAATAACAACGTAAACAGCATATACATTAAATAAGCAAGTGACTATCTCGACACAGTAGGTCAGTGACTTTTTTTAAGTGAAATGCACTGAGTTCAATTTTTTCAATGTAAACATCAATACTCGAACACAGACAAATCCATTTGACTTGTTCTAAACAGAACAAAAACCTCGTCCTGAATTCTATAATCCATCTATTTTAAAATTTATATTATTATTATCATTATTAAATTCACTTGGTATTGTTTACTTGAATCTTCCCATTGATGTTTAGGCCTGTAATTTATCAGTTTGTTATTGTCATATGTGCATACTGTGCATATTACCTCGATATTGCCTTAATTCACAAGCATTATAAGCAAAGATGGATAGTGGCTAACAGTGGAATCCAGGACGTGCGTTTCGTCCTATTCGGGACTAATCAGCTGGATGTACTTACATCTCAGAGCTGATGTTCACTCTTATTATTATTATTATTATTATTATTATTATTACGAGTTTTAAAAAGAATTTATAGAGAATTGTTATATTATGAATGTTTCTATATTAACTCGACCATATGCTCTAACTTATCCACAAAATGTGCAAGTATAATGAGTATTCAGAAGAAAATATCTGGAAAGTTGACAAGAAATACAATTTGACGTAAAAAAATGGTTCCCAAAGCACTGTTATGAAAAAGATTACCATATTTAATTTGACCATTAATTCCACAAAATAAATATTGAAATCATAATTAACATATCAAAAGATATTAGTCTGTCAGTCAACCCCAACGTAAGACTAGGCACGTGTGTGCATCGGTTCCAGTTGCCATACCTCATTAGCATAACGAGATGAACACCGGATTCGTAGAAGTAGTTAATTCATTGGTGGTAATGTATAAAAGAAAGATTGCATATAAGGACACAGTACAGGAATAGACTGAGTATACGCTAATTGAGAGTAATTTTATCTTAATTTAAAAGATATTAGTGTTTTAAATGTTTATGATTGTCTACAATAATACTAAGTTGATCAGATACATAAAATTTTTAATTTTTGCTATCCGAATGTGTGTCATTATTTTATGTCGATCGTTGAGCAATTTTCTAGATATTCAATATGGTTTTCAAATCATTTTTAAAGTATTGTATTAGTTTTTAATTTAATTAGTAAATATTATATAACCAATTAATTTCTAAGACTAATTGATTCATTTTTCCGAACTATCATTGTGATTCTGCGTGTTAGGATGTGCAGAAAAATATACCAATAATTATCATGTTAAGTCTAATGTTGTCCTTGGACGTTAAATGAACATTCACAGGTTGAAATCATGAGTCGATTGAAGCTAGACCACCATGGAAAACCTGGAAGCAGTGAACGGCCGTTTCGTCCTAGTATGGGACTCCTCAGCAGTGCGCATCCACGGTCCCGCACCACGCGGGGCTCGAACACAGGACCTACTGGCTTCGCGCGCGAGCACTTAACCATTAGATCACTGAGCCGGCATCCGGTGGTCTAGCTTCAATCGATTCATGATTTCAACCTGTGAAATTTCTAAAACTCTCCACAAAACCCATTCTGAAAATGAACATTCCTTATTGGTCGATATTTGTTCACTTGTTAAGTATTGTACAAAATGTTGTTTTCTATTTCATGGTACGATGTGGTTTGTTTGGTTGGTATATAAACAGAGTATGTCTGAAATACAGTGATTCATAACTCAGAGGCTAAGACTTGTGTTCTGCACTCAACTGGCTGGGATAGACAGCGAAACAGGGCAAATCGGGGCTCTTACGTATTTACGTGTCATTATTTCGATCGATAAGTCGCTGCTCCATAATCAGCATTTACCCGTTACAACACTACGTTAGTGGATAAATGGTCAAACAAAAAACTGCCACATAACTTAATACTTGATTGTACTCTTTAAATAGATTAATACTAATGATTGATTGATCATCGGGTAGTGATCAATGCTGTGCATGTCAAGTCCTCCTTGGTACTAATCGAATTCAAGATGTATTATGGACATTAGACTAAGTGACTTAGCATTGCGAACACCATGTTGAGATATAAGATGGTGGTTGGAGGTAGTTGGTAGGAAACCTTGGATATAGGTTTCTAGTGTTTGGTACTTATCCGAAATATATGTATGTGTTCTTGAGGGAACTGATGCTCTATGGCAGATTCGGTCTCTTGACTCACAGCTTCGCCGTCAGAGAAGTTACCTCTGGACGCGATATTGCGTTACTTAGATTAGTTGTCAAATTACAACTTCGTCGATGAAAAACGATCATCACTAAGAAAGATTTGATATAGATTTTAGTAGTCAATGTTCAGTAATCATCAACTGCATAAATAAGTCAGTCCAGTGGAAGGTTCGTTACAGCCTGGATAGTCTAGTGATAACGTCTGAGTATGCGAAGTTGGGTGATACAAGAACAAATCTGTCAAGGAGTATGAGTTTCCGCAAAATTACATGTATATCTTGCTGATGAGTGCCAAACATCACAAAACCTGGGTTTAGAGTTTCCTGTCAACTACTTCAAACTCCTTAGATCGGTATTGGCCTGTTTGATTAATCACTAAATCTGATTCGAACACTGATTAAAACTGTACAAGAATTTGAAAGGAAATGACGTTAGTAAGAAAATCTCATTCTCATAGCAAGTGAATAAAAATAGGATCTTCTGAAATTTGTTTTCATCTCTAGTGCTATAGGTCAGAGTGAAGAATATAATCGTCAAAAACCATTATTGACAGAATTAAGTAACCAACTATTTCAGTTTCTTAGAAAAAAAAATTTGTGGAAAATTAACTTTTAAGATTTCGAGATAGTGTGGTTAGATGTGTACCTCATGTAGTGAATCTTATCTATATCACATTCTATTAGACAGATTTTTCAGAGATGAAGCTCTCAATTTTTACTTAAACATCCGGAGCATCAGGAAGAAGTGCGTTAAAATTTATAGAAAAACAATGATACAACAAAGACATCTCTTTCTGGATAATTCATTCTAAACACTGTACACCTTAGAATGTGTATTTTTTCGCATAATTATGAGAAAAAATTTCATAGCAAATGATTAATAGATTGTCCTGTTGACTTGAAGTTTGTTTGATTAATATGACAATTTGTATCATCACAATCTGATCATTTAATTTGATGATCAGTTTTTCTAACGGCGCCTGTGATCCAATTCACATTTATCATCATTCTCATTAGTTGGCAATATAACAGCTGATTCGGCTGTTAAGTTTTGAATAAGACAGGGGATGGAAAATAAAATCTCATTAAATACAACACTTAAAATTTTCAAAAATCACTCAAGTGATTGGTTCGATCGAACTTTCATATTATGTGATCTAGACCAATTATGTTATCACTACTTCACTAATATCCACCCACCATTTGTTGGTTGGTTAAATTGGTTAAATTCCATAATAATAACAACTCATTCTCATTGCATAGTTCTAGTAGGAGGTTTATAAACACTCATCTCAGTTCGCTCATCTATTTAGAATAATTAATTCTCGAACTAACCAACTTGGATTAATATTTAATTAAGACAAGTAATGGCATTTAAATTCTATGTTAGTGAGCTAACTGTTCGATAATGTCAATGTGATTTAACAACAATATATGAGGTTCAAAACATGTTGATGCTGAACTCTAGTTCAAACACATTCAACAGTTCATTGTGTGTATAACGAGAATTAAAGTTATTTTATGTGGAATGTCAACAAAATTTGAAATGTAAAACCGAAATGGTGCAGAATAACTTCTCAGTGGTGAACACACTACATGAGAACCAATCCGATGAGATGGGATACGTTCACTCTTCATAAACACAAGTTTATCATGGTCATAGTTACTAGTTTGCATCAAAACAAATTAACCTAATCAACAACAAGTGAAAATTACCACTTTTTAACAGAGTTATAAACCATATACCCGTTACCTAAAGGCTTCAACTTGGGAACAGTTAGATGATTCGCGACAGATCGAAGGTCCTGTGTTTGAGTCTCGCAACTGGGATGGGCACTTTTCAGGACTCATATAAAAATCATGTCAAACAGATAATCAATGCAATCTCAATTGTCTCAGATGTAGAATAATTCATATTTACTGTGTGATATAGGTCAGCTGATGGGCCTCAAAATAGACCAATTGTTTAGGAGACTTAATTAACACAAATAAAACGATTCATTATCCAAACATCGTTAATGCACAAGCTCATACATATTATTAGGTAGTTATACTTGATCTACTCTATACGGCATGTGATACGCACTAAAATAATTTTTACATAGTTAATTCTATCGAGTGACCAGACAATTCTTAATACAATGAGTGAAAAAAATCAAGTTGGAAAGTTAAATCAGTTTGTTGAAGAGGTCCTAAAACGGTCCATGTTACGGTCCATGTTACGTTCCCATTGAATCCTCGTTGATATCTACTGTGAAAAGTATTATTGAATGTGGTATCCCCTTACACAACCCTTGACTACATATCGTAATCGTAATACATATGCTACATAAAAATCATTTGGATTTCGATTACTCACGTATTGTGAAATGACAGAAAGTCACATCCTCATAAGCTCTCAATTATCTCAAGAGTCCTGCTTTCGTTGCAAATCCTACATCAACGAACATCTCTCCGAAAATCAAATCCGCTACACTATTTGAAAGAAACACGGCTAACAACAGCGCTGATTAGGATTGGTACTGTCGAACCAAATTCATTACCTTTATAAGCATTTCATTGGCGGGCTAAACTGATGCTTTTGATTGGTGGGAAAAGGTTACTTAGTGTATAGTAGGTGGTGGGCTTTTTACGATAAATCCTATATCGTTAGAGTTATTCCCTTTTAAAATATGTTACGCCTACAATTCAGTACTTCATCATTTGCCAAGCTTTCAGTTTGTAAACTACTTTTCGGATAGATTTCGTTAGTTGTTCAAATAAAATTACGAACAAGTCCTGTAATCCTTGAAGTACGTTTTGCTTATGATGATTTATTTAACAGTTTTGAACGCTTGTCTCATCTCAGTGTCTTAACTTAATTACAAGCAGTTAAGTGACTAAACCCATTTATGGTTTCTTTTATCTCATCAAAACTACGGAAAATTACAAAGTCTGAACATCATACCGTATCAAAAAATCGTTGGATGGTAACTGGAAGTGGGATCCAGGACTCAAAACTAGAACCTCTTCAATCGCCCAACGTGTTATTCATTGAGCTAATGAATCCAGAAACTGATTAATTGCTGTCTCTAACATCGACAATGGAAAGATTTAAACAACATTTGAGAATGAAATATCGCGTATTATTCTACAAATAGTCTACTAAATGATAGAATAATCATCGGCCAATAGACAATGTCATAAGTGATAATTATTCAGTAGAAAATAGGGTGCATAAATCAATTGATTTAATCCACTTAATTATATTACCATTTTGTGTTGGTTGACCACTATGGAATCCAGAGTCGGACGGAGTTAAATCTTCAAGACCAGATATTTCAGCTATCATTAAAGGATTTACACGAGTACTTGTATTCCAAATCCAAACCACACTATCACCTTGAATTATTGTTAATGCTTTCGGTTGCCATTCATAGCCTGAACCACGTACTACAAATTTTTAAAACGAAAATAGACAGTTTTAAGTGATTATATTGTTTAATTTGCCTTTACTAGTAAATAATTTCAAGTTATTTAAAATACATTTATCATACGGAATATGTATGTTTATCTTAAGGGCGTTGACGATAAATCCATACAATCCGCTTGTTAATCTATCGATAGTCCGAGTGCATTTTTACGTAAACCAAGCCTCCAATTAGATGATCAGGAAGCTAGACAAATAGTTGTAATTTTCTCTATTCTTGTACTGATAACTCACGTGATTACCCGAATAAAACACGAGAATGGAAAGCAACAGTTTATTCGTCACATGAATAAAAAGTATCCAACATTGTTATAATTTATGGATTAGCAAATCAGATTTAAAATAGCGGGTCTTGGAGTTGAGCTCAAGATTCATTCATCCATATGTCTAAATAACATTTTTTGTCTTTTAGGGGATGTCAGTTCGTGATGAAAACACTAACCGTGACTTCTAACCACAATAGGTCAATAAATTTTCCCAAGGTTATCTCGGTGCCACTCAAGGTTCACCCTTGCATTATAGTCTCAACTCACTTTTTTAAATACTAAATCTGAATCATAGAAGTCATAAATTTGCATTGATTTTCATTATGCTAATCAGTTGGTTTCAGGGGCTTTTGATAAGAATTTTGTTACGTACAAACACCACGAATAACTTCTGTTACTAACGTGAATATATGTTATTTCAGAATTCCATGGACACCTTAAAATCAGTTTCCTGAAGTTCAATACATTTTACAGTAGATAAAAAAAATTATGTGTATAAGTAACGATTCAAAGTATCATACATGTCCACATGGACGAACTTATATGCATTTCTACTTGTTATATATAGACAGGAAAACCGGTAAAAGATGTCTGTAAATGGTTTATTCGAAGTATATTTTATGGTATTACCAGTTTTTCAAAAGCCACATGAATACTGTTAAATATCATTAGCTTTCCTCCATTCTTCATCAACAATAGTACCGTTGTATAAACTCTACCTATGTAACAGACACATACTAAAATCGTGACATGTAAATAGAGATATATTTATTCTGTTTAGACATCAATTATCTAAAAGGGGAAAGTGATATGACCGAGAAAATTACAACACAATCTTCCCACTATGACACTAGACACAAGTATGAAGTAATCCGACTGGTAAGATTAGTATAATTTGACATTACATAATAGAGAGAATAATCACTAAATAAATCACGATAGAAGATCTTTTGAATTTAGATACTCGAAGTTCAATGAACGACAAAGAGACGGATTATAAACTGAAACAATAGTTTATCCATACAAATTTCATACAATTAACACAGTGTAAAGTCATAGTAAAGTCGAAGTGAGTCATAAAATTTTTATATCCGAGCGAAGATTAAATTACGGGTAACTTCCGAGACCTATTAATGGACTAATATTATCCATATATTCTTACTGTATACTTATTCAACAATTAGATTATGTATATTTATATTCCCCTTATTATAAGCTTTATTCTGACCTATAATTTATTATTGTACGATTTACGCTTCTTAAGCTATGTTCAGTTTATTAACTACTGCCTCCCACGTTCACAGCCACTTTTTGGCTTATTTGTGTACACATGTTATTTTCTATTTTATGGTGCGTTGTGGTCCGTCTGATTGATAAATAAACCGAGTATGTCTCAAATATTCGTTCCGATTCGATTCATATTTCAGAAGCTGGTATTGTGTTCTGGACTCAAGCGGACGGCTCGAAGGACATAGAACCAGTAAGAACGCTAGGCTGCCTGCACCGGTTGAATGTCATTGGTTGGCATAGTGTGAAGGTTTGTATAAGTCGCATTCTGATTGGTGGATAAGTCACGTGATAGAAAGCTGGACATGAAGTCATAACAAAAATAATCTCTTATACTCACTATAGCCAACGGTCAGTCATATATTGCTATCTTTGATACATATGATAAACAGATTAGATTTAAACAATGATTCAGTTAAAATTTATCATCTAACAATATTTTACCTGGATCAATTCCATTGTCGAGAATATAATGGGTTTTAACCATGGATGTGGTCTTGCATTGTATTGTTGTTGAATTTTTAGACAGTATTTCACATTCAGCACGAGGTCGATCATTACATAATTGATTTTCGACAGTAATTGGTTTCATAAAAACTTTGACGTCGTCATTAAAACCTTCACCGACTATGTTTACAATTTGACCACCAACAAAACTACCAATTTGTGGTTTTATATCAGCTATTTCAAATTTATAAGTCACTGAAAAACTGAAATATACGAACAAAATGTTGAAATTTAAACAGTGCCAGCTAATTGAACGGTCAATATAGTGAAATAAATATTATTTTTTAATTGATATCATGAATCGATCAATGTTAGACCACCATTGAAAACCTGGAAGCTCTAGATGGTTGAATCATCGTGGTATGGGACTCGTCAACAGTGTGTATCCACGACCTCGCACACAACACTCGAACGCAGAAACTTTGGTTTCTCGGGCGAACTCAACCTGTAGACCATTGAGCCGTTCTTCAGTGGTGTTAGGGTCTAACTCCATCCAATCCACGAAATCGCGCGACCGTCAACCATTGTCTTCAGTGAGTAACTGCCTCACAACATACACAGTTGAACCCTACTGGCCACGGCTTCTCACCAGAACTCCAGGAAATTCATCTTGAAGCTAGTCACTAGTGAGCACAAGTTGGACATTAACACTATTGGATGCCAGCTCATTGGTCTACAGGTTAAAGGTTCACTCTCGGGACTACAGGTCCTAGGTTCGAGAACCGCGTGCGAGACCGTGGATGCGCACTACTGAGGAGTCCCATACTAGGACTAAACAACGAGGTTAATTGCAATATTTACACAGTCGTAAAAATAGGTAGTCAAAATGTTTAAGTAGATCACTATACTTACTCAGATTTTATTAAAACATTAGATGAACCATATAATGAGATTGTTTTTTCACCATTTATTTTTTGTGCAGGTGCCAGTATGATTATTTGTGTTTCATTAACAAACGTAAAATTTTCCACTTTTACTCCACCAACAAAAATCAACATTGTAGGAGTGAACCGAAGACCATTTATAATAATTTGTGTAGTACCTATTAAATGAAATAATGTACAAAGTAAATTTTCAATGGATTGTGTACATTGTGAAATAGTAATAGTATATGAATAAACATTAATGAATCGACAGATATTACTAATAAACCACTAGAATAGATGTTTTGATCTTTTTTTTAAAAGACTTGGAATTACAATCATTTTCTACAGAAAAACAACCAGTTTTCACTTGTAAACATGTAGATTTTAATTTAGTTGTATCACTACGAGGTCTCTTTAGAATCTGAGTAATAATATGCAGATAGTGAAAGAACAGAGAGTACTCTACTCTCTGTATGGATTTTTAAAAATCTTTTAAAGAATCTAATGAATTTTGAGTTGTGTTTCCAAATCAGAATTGGGGTTTTCATCATGAACCGACAACAGTTATAATCCAAAGCTTATCCACTCTTCTGTTTACGAAACAAAAGAACTTATGGTTGGGACTTAAAGTAAGAGTAAGAAGAGAAGAACATTATTTTGTTGATTAGATAATCTTTACTATGTACTGAATCACATTAAGCATTCTAATGCCCAATCAGTCTTAATGAAAGGTAAGTCCTGTCATTTAGCTCAAGCACCTTAAACTTACACTTTGATTGCATAATAGATATTTTCATTGATTCTGAGCATTCTAAAAATCAATGATTGTCCGTTTTCATCTAGCTAATAATAATGTACAATTTATTTACCCATACAAAACCTGAAATTTCGCCTTATCTTTTTCGAGTTATCTTAGTTCTGATTGGTTGGCTCATGGCCATCGGGATACCATACTTTTACTAGAATAGTTTGTTTATTCAACAGAAGCATAAATTGCGCAAGTGTATAACAAAATAGAAGCAGCTACAATTTTTCGAAAACTTTTTCTGCGGCTAGTTAGTTAACCACAAATTAAGTGAAGTTCAATTTGATCGAGCTTGTGTAAAGAGCTGATGTGAATATATGGAACATGAGGAATTTATACAAGTTGATTTCAACTGTTATTCTTGTTCCATTAAAATAAAATAAAAATATTTTGGGTATGATTCATACCCGTAAATGTATGAATTTTGGTCAGTCATTTTTGGCATATTGCCTCCATGTTGTAATAAAGTTACAAGTATTTATGTATTGATAGTGTAGGATTTAAATAATTACAAATAGATAATCAAATTCATCTCTGTTGCAAAAGCTAGTGGTTGTTTATACTCAGTTGCTCAGTAGTTAACGCTTTGAGTATTAAAAGAAAAAAGCACCGGATTTCAGTTACAATGTAAACATCGATATTGGGATGCAGGTACATCCTGCTGATGAATCCCAGATAAGATTAAACGCTCGCTGTAAACGTAATTGATGGTCAATATCCATCTATACTCAAATACACTTTAAATAATGTTCCATATATCAATCTAATTGAAGTTTACCCTTGCGGATATTTATCTTCATAGCTTGTTTATACGATCCATTTGATTATAGTATAACTGTATGTTATTACGATACAAAATTATCGTTTGAGAATATTTTAATTGAAGTTTAATTAAATTATTTTACATTTTTATGACCAGGAAAAATATGAGGTAAAGGAAATTATAATGATACTTTATAACAATACCTATGAAAATACCAGAAGAGATGAAAAGCTCTTACTATCCCCTCCCATAATTTATGGGCTTGCTTAATAAACATTATTGCTAAGGGATATATTGTTATATCTAGAACTTAGATTCTTTTTATACCGCCTACTACTTGAGCACTCCAACGTCAGAACCTTCCAAGTCTCAAGTTAGAAGACAGAAAACGAGTGAGAAGGAATGTTATTCCAAAGAGTGTTAAATGTGGTACAAAACTCTCAGATACTTCTACTTTTTAGTTAAAACAAAATCATCATTACATTCATACAGTTCGCATACAGTGGTTCTTAGCATTCATCCAAAAGAGAAGCTACACGTCGATATTCTGGAATGTTCTTCTGAAAGATAGTTGAATGGAATGTCTTAGGCTCTTTCTGAGTTTCTTAGAGCTTCCTTGAGTTCACCTGAAGGCTGTCCTCACATATAGATTTAGTAGGGTAAGAAGAGTCACTTCTGACTAAATAACTATCTATGCTGCTACTATATTTAGTACGGTGCCAGAAGCTTCCCAAAGCCCAAGGCCATCTGATCTACTATAAATACCCTCCGTTTTCTGTAGAGCGTTCTTTTCATAATTGGCGTCTTTTCTCTCCTGTTCAAGTTGCTGTGTAGATTTAGCCTGGGGTTATTAGGAAGGTTTAAGAAATCTATTCTGACGTTCAGCCCAAAGACTTATCACCTGCGTGTAATTTTTCTTTTGGCTGATAAACTACTGGTTTGTGTTATATCCTTCCAAAATTATTGCTAATTTATGTTAACAAATGACAGTTAACCAGTCCTTCACTGAATAGAAGTGAATTATACGTTTGCACTTAGATACTTACAGTTTTACCTTTCCTGTCAGTCACTGGTCGACAAATGTATATTCTGAGTCAGCCAAACAATATGTTGTTCCTATTCTTACTCGTTCTATTAAGTCAAGTTTAAAATCATGTATCACGTAATAATTTAGTACCACTGCTAGTCATACTAAGATTCATCAAAATGATTTTTTTAAAAACCCACCGGAAACTGAAGCAATTTGTGTTTGTTCAACAGATGTAATAACTGGTCCGTTGTCTTGTATTGCGGTAAAATCTACTGTTTTGGAGATGATACTACTGTGTTGTTGAATTTTTACTAGTTTTTGACCTGAAAGTTCCTGGAATAATAGAATAAATCATTTAAAATATTGTCTACATTAAATTCATAATAGATTATTTATATTTTTGGCTTGGGAACCGAGCATCATTTTATCAACAAACACGGTTTCTTGTAATGAAGCCATAACGTTTCAGTGTCTCCAAAACTGATTATTGTCGGTAATTTTAACATGGTAAGTATGAGTGAGAACAGTGACACACAAATAGGAGGGTGAAAAAAGTTGTCAGTCAGACATTTTACTATCAGATCGATGACCAAAACTTCAACAAGGTATTATTGTACATCTCATTCCGTTAACCATTACACGTCTAGGTATATGGAGTAATCAGACAATACATTCGAGGGTTGTGGAGTATGTGGCTTAACGATTACAGAATCAGCGCCACGCACTCGAGTAATTCAGGAATTAGAAAACTATGTTTTACGATAGCAAAATGCACCACTGAAATAACTTATAGGTCCGACCCTTCGAGAACTTAGATAGGCATTGTCACAACAATTCCTAAGGTTTATAGAAGTGATAACCAGAAAAAATTCAAATGTTTCTTGTACGGATACAAAATCAGTTTTAACCCTGAATCTGTCTAGGTAACCGTCAATGCATTTTCGTGCTTAGAGTGGAATGATAATTCCACATTTTTTCTGTATTGTAATATCCTTAATTTTAATATTTTCAGTTAACATCTCATACGTATTTAATCTACTGTATCCTTCATGCATAAAAGCCTTGACAAGTACATGTGTGATCAGACTGTTTGAAATATATTACACTACAGTTCGCAAATCAACTCCGTTTTCTCATTACATTGTCGCGATTTATGAAAGGTGTTAAGTGATTTAACATAAAATTATTTATTGTAAATCTGAATCATAATGCCAGTTTTGGTGATAATCATAACCATTGGAATCCAATCATGTTTAGATAGGTTGCCAAATACTGTTAATGTTAACTCTCATGGATTCATGGATTATTATTACTATATATATTCTTATTGTTTAATTACTAAGCAATTAGATCACTATATATGTATCCCTGTTGTCATATGCCTTCGGTTGGCTTATTTACTACTCTTATTTTTAATCTGTTACCAGTTCGTTATTTACAGTCTCCCCTACTCACAGACACTTTTTGACTCCTTCATGTATAAATACTAGTTTTCACTTCATGGTCTTTTGCGGTCTGTACATAAACCATGTATGTTTGAAATACAAGTTTGGTAGAAACTAGTTGCTGACATTTGGACTCAAGGGAAGGGCGGAATGAGAAGCTCGGGAATAATGGACCAACAGAAACTTACCTGTTACATGAAGGTTGTTCGTTTTGGTTAGATGTGTGATTGACCAACTCAGAGGCATAAAGCCGTGGAGTAAATAGTTGATGAGAAAAAGATCAAATTAGAGACTGAATTCTGATTTTGGTCAGCGGTTACAAGACATAATACCATTGACGATAATCGATGATGGTTGCGTATAATCGCGATTTGTCTTAAATTATAACGCGTATATTCAGGAATCTGGAGTCAATGAAATGTTCTTCTCACCACAAAATTTGAACTGTTCGTTGGTTTTTGAACTATTCTTCAGGTCAAATCAATCCATCTTAAAATGTCTCCTACTTTTTATGTCATTTAGACGTCTGGTGACTCAGTTGACGTTTAAGTGATATTCGATCTCAAAATAACTACACAACTGAAAACACCTAGTCTGGTTTTAACATGATTGATGATAACGAAAATCCTTATTCATTTTTAATTGAAGTGTTTATATGCTATTATCATTTCTGGTAATTTTCTTCATCTAAATGTAGTAATGATTGTAAGTATGTCTTATACAGCTTAAGAATACTCATGAAAATGTCTGTAGATCCCGAAAACCGTATTGTCATTAATCAATAAAATTACACAAAGTTAGAGTTTCCAAGATTTCAATATCTTGATCACACAACAATATATCACTCAATGTTAGTTGATGATGGTTGTGAAAATTTTGTTCGGAATAATTGCCTGTAAAAACACATTCAAATGTTGCTTTTGAGTAGAGTACGACTATGAAACGTGACGGATCGGATGAACTTTTAGGAAAAGTAAACAATGTCTGTATCTCCAGTTCATTTGAAGTGACATTACGACACACTTTCCTGCTATTGACTATCAGTGAGTGTGTCTATATGATTAATCTCATCATTTGTACTTTATTTCGATAATCAGCAAAACGATTATTACGTCGTGATCCAATTTGGTTGCTGAATGCTTAATCATAGTAATACACTAGTATACAAGTCTTACATTTCGAATTTTGTTGACATTCCACATAAAATGACTTTAATTCTCGTTATACACACAATGAACTGTTGAATGTGTTTGAACTAGAGTTCAGCATCAACATGTTTTGAACCTCATATATTGTTGTTAAATCACATTGACATTATCGAACAGTTAGCTCACTAACATAGAATTTAAATGCCATTACTTGTCTTAATTAATTATTAATCCAAGTTGGTTAGTTCGAGAATTAATTATTCTAAATAGATGAGCGAACTGAGATGAGTGTTTATAAACCTCCTACTAGAACTATGCAATGAGAATGAGTTGTTATTATTATGGAATTTAACCAATTTAACCAACCAACAAATGGTGGGTGGATATTAGTGAAGTAGTAACAATACAACTGATCTAGATCACATAGTATTTGAATATAAATTTTCTTGTATATTCGAGTACAGCATGATGAGGATCTAATTAGACACAATAATGTTAGCTCATATGTGTTGTTCTAATTTTCATTATTGAAATTTTAACTTTATTTGCAATCCCTTGAATTCTCTGTTATTTATAAACTGATTAGAATTTGACCAGTCTCAGTTGGTATATGAGGGTATTTTCTTGATATAGTTCTTATGACACAAATTTTCATAGGATAGAATGTTAACACTAGGATAATCCAAACCATCAAAAGTTAGAATAAAATTCGTACTCACTGCACAAGTTAATGGACTTCTGAAGTAAATAGCTAAGTGTATCACGCGTTGGGCGTTTGCAAGCTAAAGGTAGTAGGGTCAGATCTTGCGGTGGACATCAACTCTGGAATGTAAATATTATCATGCCGATGAGTTTTAAATAGACTGAAATGCGTGTCCTGAATTTCACTACCAGCCATGTCCCATCTGTTCCATTCAAAATTACTGTTTCCAAACACCTTTAATTCGAGACTTAGAATCACTGTATACAATTTTGAGGTATTTTTTTTACGTGAACTAACTGAAATCACAAAATATACAAACCATGCATTACAACTTGCAAACACAGAGGGATGGTGGCTAGCACTGGAATCCAGGATGCACATTTCGTCTCATTTGGGACATGTTAGCTGAGTGTGCCTGAATCTCAGAGTAAATTTTCACTTCGGGATATGAATCAAATGCCATTCGCTTCAAACGCCATCGCGTTATCTACTTGGCTATTGTGTCCAGATAGCTATTAACCTATGCAATGGAATGAAATCTAATTCATTTAAATTCAATTCAAACAATTAGTACATAATGAATTGTAGCTTACAGATATAGGCAGTAAACAGTTTATTTCAGTTGTTGTCATATTTATTATTTTACATGGTATATCATCAAAATATGCTGATGAATGATTTGGAAGAAAACGTGATCCAGTTATTCTTAGATATTCTTTTCCTAATAGATAAATAAATAAGAGACAACATTTTAAGTTTTGGGAAGAGAAAATTATCATTTATGTTAAACAATACGAACCATATTAGACAGAACGTGTTAATATATTACATATACGAATATATTGGTGTATATTTCAAACAGTTTGAAAATTCAAATGAAATACCCAACATTTGTGAATGTATTTTTACTGATGTTTATGTCTCACTACAATCTTCAAAGAAATTACTATTTATCCATCAGAATAGTGACTAATATCATATTTATTATCAAGTTGTACAATAGTATATATATGAAAATTTTTTTGTTTTATGTAAAAGTATTAATTACGTGAGAAAATGTGGACACAATTAACCATGACATAATAAAAAAAGGTTATAATACTAGACTACGTAATATGAATAATAACAATAGATTTAGTGAATATACTAAGATGACTAAAATGTTTTTGATTGAGATCTTGAACCAATTGATGTTAGACCATCACAATTGAAAACCTGGAAGCACTGGACGGCCGTTTCGTCCTATTGTGGGACTCCTCAGCAGTGCGCATCCACGATCCGTCGCGCGAGACCGAAGGCCCTGTGTTCGAATCTCGCTCGACGGATCGTGGATGCGCACTGCTGAGGAGACCCGAAATAGGACGAAACGGCCGTCCAGTGCTTCCAGGTTTTCAATTGTGATGGTCTAACATCAATTGGTTCAAGATCTCAATCAAAAACATTTTAGTCATCTTAGTATATTCACTAAATCTATTGTTATTATTCATATTACGTAGTCTAGTATTATAACCTTTTTTTATTATGTCATGGTTAATTGTGTCCACATTTTCTCACGTAATTAGTACTTTTACATAAAACAAAAAAATTTTCATATATATACTATTGTACAGCTTCATAATAAATTCGTTGAAAATAGATCCCTTCGCTGAAATTCGTGTTTTAATCTTAATGTTTAAATGGGAATTATCTATCAATATCGTATTTGTCTAATCTTTTTAATGGTGATCAAATTTCACCGACTAAACTGCAATGTTGTCACTTCTAGGTGGACTTGGTGATGCGTTTACTATGTTGAAATGTTAAAGGTAGTCAATAGAAAGTACTAGTTCTCTTAAAAATACAAGTATGTCTTAATGACTAATACAAAATAACAAAATATACCTAGGCTAAACAAGCCTTCTTGTAGACTACCTTTAATTATACAATATATTCTGAGTATTTCAGACTGATCAAAATCTTTTCTTATTTACTAATATTTTAGAATCTAACTAAATATGAGTTTTTACAGGAGTGTGATCACTTGACCTTAAGTTATTTGTCGTTAGATTATTTCTTATGAAATACCACCGAGTATAATTAACATGACTGACTTTAGACATTTGTTCTAGAAAACAAGTGAGGTTCAAGTAATATTAACTTTACAGAAGTATCTACCATTTGTACTATTAAATGATATATACTGTTATTAGCTAATACCATTGGGAATTATAAAATTTCTAAACTTTGATCATTGTTAAATGATTGTAACGAACAGAAAACAATGTAAATGAAGGAATAAATAGAAGATTTCATGATTTTCAGTGTTGAGAGTATGTATTCTCTTGAATATAGTTCATGTTATGAATAATTACTGTCTCTTGAACTTACACAAAGAGAAATGTTTGTTCTTTTACATAACAGGACTCTATAAAGATAGATATGACAAACCATTGGTTGAATTCTACATTTTTTGTCCAATTAAAAGAAATTTTGTTAAATTAACTTTTTGATGATATTTAATGAGATTTTTATCATGTGGTTCTAGTAACAACATTAATCACTATGTAAGTGACAGTGGTATATCAAAACACTGGGAAAATTAGATCTTAAGAATAAGTTGGAGGATAATTGAATGAATAGAATTTTATGATATGAATAAAACACATAATCGAAACATCGACAAAGTTATACTTCGATGACGCAATGAGAAGACGAAGGTTACCAGAATTATGTGATATATTTGCGCAATACATTTCGAACAATCTATTGTGTCCCGACAAGAATAATGAATGGTAACTTTTGGGATCTATTGATGAACCAATACTAAACGTATATTTCTATTGTATAATTATTAAGTAACTAAACTATGCATGTTCATATTCCTCTTATTATAAGCTTTATTTTAACCTATAAACTGTTATTATACGTTTTACCATTCTTAAGTTAAACACAGTATATTAATTACTACCTCCCTCATTCACAGCCACATATTTGATTGGTATAGAAACTCAGTATATTTGGAGAGGCTGAGATTGGTGTTCTGGACTTAACTGACTGGGCTAGACTGAAAGCAGGACCAATCAGGACTCTAGGCTTCCCGCACGTGTTTTACGCGTCCTTGGTCCTACCGATAATTTGCTGCTTCTGATTGGCAGCTTTGGGCTATAACACAATCTGATCATACATAATATAATTGATAAGACATTTAGTATATGAATACTAAAAGGTCAACTAGACAGATTAGAGGTAAGTCATAACATAGAAAAATAAAGTACACAAAAACAATGTGATAACCACTCTGAATAATAAATCAGTATTACCAGAGTATGTTAAAGGTTAGAACAAATTGTTTTCGAATATATAAAGGGGGATTCAGTTTCCGTATAGCCAAAGCTTCAATAAACCTTGAAGGCTTTTGTAAAACACTACAAATGCTGACTTCATATCAACCTTAATACGGTGTCAACCAAATGTTTCACAATGGAGGAAGATGTCTGTCTATCATGTGATCTTCTTTTACCATGGAATTCATTTGTTCCAGTAGAAATTTGGGTATGTGTTCGGCCACACTTGCAGATCACGATTGCTCCTCCCTATGTACTTGTTTCCTCACATACATGTAAACTGATAGATACAATGTGATGCAACACAATTGCTTATGTGCTGTTTGGGTTTTTGGTGAAACATAGACCTTCAAGTTGGGCTGAATAAAATGTCCTATGGATGGCTAATTTAGGTCTCCGTTTCAACATGAGACTATTTGAGCCAACTTTGAATGGTAACATAATGTAAATTCGCTTTTTGGTGCCAGAAGTGCAATAGGTCTAATGGTATCGCAACATTTCCAGCGGTTTATAAACTTCAATGTTTATTGCAAAATGTTATTTGATCGACTAGAAAAAACTGTTGTCTTGACTGTTAAAAATGAAGCTAATCAACTGTTTTAAAAGCATTAAGTAACCTATGACTATGAGTAAACAGCTGACAAATTCTTACTATTTAATGCAATTTATATTTAGATACTACTATGATGCTGGTTTCCTCTACCACTCTGAACGTGATATGAATGAAAATCATGGAGTAATTACGCGTTCCTAGGTGAAGTGTGACCAATATAGAAACAATTCTCTCCATGAACTGGCGTTATAGTGAACGAGAACTCTGGTGGGGACAACCAAATGCATTTTAATAAAAAAATTACAGAACATCTTAGTAAAATTTGAGAACTATATAGTAAGTACTTCATTTCCACACCAATCATTCTCTGTTCTCGTTCTCTTACTTTCAATCTTCTCAAACTTTTGCAGCAAGGTATTCCACTTTCGATTGGTGATGCATACTACTTATATCTATCGATATCAGTGGCACACACCGTTGCATCAACTAACTAATGATTAACTTTGAGACAATTTTAATAAAGTTAAGGTGAGAAGCTTTGATAGGCAAACTGAACTTTTCTCATTTAATTCCTACTTATTGTTAGTGTTTAATCAGCATGTAACCGCTTTTTTCCATCCCTTTAGTCTCTTGTTGTAGAATGTTCTTTCACATGAGATATATAATTTATTTAGCTTGTTAGATCTATTTACATCTTTGCTTTACTTTGCTAACCTGTGATCATAGCAACTTCCAATTGAACTCTGTCATGTCGGTAATTTAAGTTCATTTTGTAATTATGACTTTCTAATATTCCAAATTGTACTCAGCTGATGTGAATCAAACAAAAGAAAATGAAATCATGTTATTCAGATAAAATCTTTGTTCTTGTACCCTTCAAGATGTTAAAGAGACATATAAATGTATATATATGAAAATATTGATTAAGACTTACCATCGTCAAAAATTCCAGTCTGTACAATACCTTTAATTTCACTACCTTCCATGCCTAAATCAATGTTTATTGGACCGTTTATAAATCCTTTGTCAATTAAACGTAATCGACCCGTAAGTAATCCAGATGGAATAACATTGAAATCTTGATTGAAAAAGTATAAATTTGTTGTGGTAGTAAGAAATGGTTGTTGTTTTAATATAAGTTCTTCATTGAACATAAGAAATAATTCATAAGAATTTGGTGAGTTGGCAATAAAATCTGTTCCATTTAAAATCAACGTCAAATTATTATTAGCTAAAACAAAATTAGATAATAAGATTAGTGAATAAAAGTTTATCTACAATAAATATGAATAACTGAACTAGACTATTGATAATATTCAGTTGTATTTAAGAGAGTAAACTCTGTAGATTATGTTTTATTTAACGGTATGTTATCAGTTGTAATATTTGTGTAGAAATTAATACACCATGGATATAACATATATTGTAATCCGCCTTTTCAATGAGTCATTTAGAACTGAAATTATCGTTTTAATTAAGTAGCTGATCGTTCGCGTGTGAGACTGAGAGTTTTGTATTCAATTTCCGAGTTCAGGACCGTAGATGTACACTATAAAGGAGTCCCATAATCGAGCGAAGCCTTCGTTCAGTGCTTTCAGGTTTTCAATTGTGGTCTAACGCATATTCGTTCATAATTTCAGTGAAATTGAACAATATCCACAAACCTATACGAACAAACGCTCTTTAATAAAAAGTCTTTTCCATTATTGTATTACAAAATATTGGTTACATTTGCATGATGACTTATAATTCTTCCTTATAAGTTAAAACACATATTTCAATAAAATATATTATTTATTCTCAATTTATATCATTTATGTAGTAACTCGATGCATCTATAATAGTTTGTTTAAAAAATGTATTATTTACCGACGGTCCATAATGTAAAGTACTGATAATCGATCGATTTTACCACGTTTATCTTTGTAGGGTTGTGGAGATTGTTGAGTTTTTGAACCGTGGATGCGCACTGTGAGGGAGTCTCATAATCGAATGAAACCTCCTTTGAGTGCATCCATTTTTGCAATGGTGATCTTACATTGATCGACCCACGATCTCAATAAAAAATAATCTCATTATAGTCTATCTGAAATCTCGTAGGCTGGAGGAAACTAATTCGTTAGTAAAAATGTCATATTATGCAAAATGATCTATTCATTAACTTCAAATGTATGCACATAAAATGAAAATAGAATGTTCCATACAATCGAAAGAAAAAAAACTGAGGAAATGGTCTTACTTACTTATTTGTACTGTTGAATTGGTTACAACAGAGCTTGATAAATCAACAAACTGGTGATTACATGACGATTTACAGTAGGCTGGGAAATTATCAATGTATAATCTAACCTACAAAAATGAAATAAGTCAACTTGTTAAATGTGGATGCAAAAACATTTGTCAAAGTTCACATTATCCTTTAATAATAGTATATACTGCCACAGTTATCAATCTCGTTTTGGTAAACAGATTCAGTTTTACGTTTGAGAATTTTTCGCTTTCCGTATAACATACTTATGAATAATTTGGGTGGCAGGAAGAAAATCTAACTTACAGATAAGTTTATGTAAGCTCGAAAATATAAATAGCATATGGGTGATGTTGATGAACTAGTTTATTTGAAAGTCCTCTCTGAAAATTTCAAATTTTAATCCCAAGGAGTCAAGATTAAGCGTTAAACGTAGAAAATTTCCATAATCATCCGTTTATACTTTTTGTGAACTGCAGTATATACATATTTATAGTATAACATTTTATACACTTTTCTAAGTCGTGTATCTTATTCACTTCTGAGCACTAAGGACATTTTTACCCGGCTTTAACTGAATAAACTGAGTAATGTTTAATATGTTTCTATTTATAAACATATTTAAATGTAATACAGTATCCGATAGTTCTTCTATCTTTAAAGGTTTTCATATAAATATCCTTGGAAGTTACTGTTTAAAACACATGGATTGAATATGCTGAATACTTTAAATGTAAATAATCTTATCATCATATTATGAAGATATATTATTCGTTATTAAAATCATCTATCCATTGTTACAGATTGAAAGTGCTAAGATGGAGTTAAAGTAACTTGTTCGAGTAATAATGTTAAGCCGGTGACACGATAGCGATTACACAGAAATAATCCATAAGATATTTCGTAGATAAACAATAATCTTGATAATGAAAATATAGGTTATCGATCCTATGCACTTCTACACTATTTAAAGATTTCTCTGTGTAAGTTACAGAAAACAAAATCGTTAAAATGAGACGCAAAAACTATTTAAAGTATAGATTTTGGTAAGTCTGAAAACTTATTTTGCAAATGGTGAGTGAAGTTCATTTTGATCAGAAGAAACAAAAACACAGAAGTTCATTGGCACATTCTTACTTTTACTACTCAGTGATATGACAGTTAGAAGTGGATTCTAAGCGATTGCCTTGTGAAATCCACTTTTTACAATTGATTGATCACTGGGTGGTGATCAATGTCTTGCTTGTCTAGTCCTTATTAGTGCAGATCGAGTGCTATCGATCATGTTGCAATGTGGCCACCAGTCTAGGTGACTCGACACTGCGGGCACTATGTATTGAGATTTAGATGGTGGTTGGAGGTAGTCAACAGGAAACCCTGGACTAGACAAGCAAGACATTGATCACCACCCAGTGATCAATCAATTGTAATTACATCTCAGTCCTACAGGAGGTTAGTCACGGCTCGGATAGCTCAGTGGTAACATCTCTGACTGTGAAGCTGTGTGACACGAGATCGAATCTGCCAGGGAGCACCAGTTCCCTCAAGATTACAGGTACACCTTGCTGACGAGTGCCAAGTAGCACGAAACCCGGGTCCAGGGTTTCCTGTTGACTACCTCCAACCACCATCGAAATCCACTTTTACTTCGAGTGTGTTTTAAATTAACCGACAAATAACTCATGGTTAAAATACTTTTAACGGATACTTTGTATATAAATAACCATTTTAATTTCTAAATGCTTATTTATTCAAGTGGTCAGTGGCTTAGTGTTTTTGAAATTTTTTCAGTGTAAATCAAAGACTGGGTTTTGGATTTTATTCATTCCAGTATTTTATAGACGTCAGTTGTTGTGATAATTGGACGAATTTCGAGTAAACCTAAGAAGAATTATTGCTCATATTTCTATCGTATAATTATTAAACATTCGAATAATTGTATCACCATATTTTCCTAACTGTATTCTTTCGTTTGGCACATATATTATTTCAATGGTTAAGATCATGAGTCAGTTGAAGCTAGACCACCATGGAAAACCTGGAAATTACTATAATATCCATAAAAGTCATCTGATATTAATCAAAATATGCTCACTGGTGACTGGTTTCAAGAGGTATATCCTGGAGTTCTAGTGAGAAGTAGTGACCAGCAGAGTTCAACCAAGTCTGTTATGATATAGTAACTCACTGAAGACAATAGTGGATGTGTTGAAGTTAGACATTAACACCGTTGGATGTCGGCTGGCTCAGTGGTTTAGAGGTTAAGTGCCCGAGCGCGAAACCAGTAGGCTCTGGGCTCGAGGCCGTGGATGCGCACTGCTGAGGGGTCCCACGATAGGACGAAACGGCCGTCCAGAGCTTCCAGGTTTCTCATGGTGGTCTGGCTTCAACTGACTCATAATCTTAACCATTGAAATTACTATAATATCCATGAAACCCCTTCTGATATTAATCAACATATATTTTTGTTTCATGCTTTACCATTCTCGGGTTATCACTAATTAACTACAGACCTGTCACTTTGCTTCTCTTTCATTTATGGCACAGTTATGAACATATTGTAATTTCATATTTATATTAGTATGTGGTCAGGAGACTACTATATACTGTCGTATGAGTTGACTCATCCAATAGCATGACAACATAATAAAGGTTTTGTCTACTTTCTCGTCATGTCTTTTGATTAGACGGTGAGTCAGAGGTCTCTTGAGGACCCGTAAGCGTTGTAATCTCGCTGACCACTGAAAAATTGGTAAAATATGTCATTGGTCATACATTTATAGAGCGAATTAATCAATAATCGGACTAGACCATATAACTATAACCATAGTACAATGAGAGGACGGAGTTGATCTAAAAAACGTGATGTATTTGCGCTATACATTTCGAACAATCTGGTCACACATATACCTGTCAGGGAATTTTGTATGAAATTAATAAAGGTCAATTAAATGAAAGTTCAAGTAAAAAAGTAACAAAGGGGAGAGAAAGAATAAAAAATTGCCGCATTATCCTAGACCATAGAATGACTTAAGGATTACTAAGGTAAATTCAAGGTTACGACAAATTGTTTTTATACACATAAGGGTGTTTAAATTTACGAATAGCCAATGCTTCAATAAACTTGACAATTTCTATACAACGTTCTAAAAGCTGTATTAATGTCAATTCTGTGCCCTGTTTCAATTACATGTTACCCTGTCGATGAAACCGGTTTTCTACCTCCCACGTTGATCGGATCATTTGGCAAACATTGATATTGAAGTCATCTAGGCACATGTTCAATGACCCTTGATTTCATTGTTCGATTACTCCTCCCTATGTCATCATCACATTTTTCAGATCAACTCCGTCTTCTCATTGTTCTGTTGAAATTTATAAAAGGGACTAAGTGCTTTATATTACCATAGTAACAATCCGATCAGACGTTCCCAAATACAAAGTAAGATCCTGTTCTATTAGAAGATGTAACAATCGCACCATCATTTTATGTAGAAATACAATATTGTTTTAAGACAAACCAAAGGAAAATAAAATTACTAGGTCGAGTAATGACGAATATCTTCTTAGAATGCTATCAAACTACATCCTGAGTGTTAATTTAGGGAAATATATTCTGACAGTTCATAGGCTGTAGCATCGGAAATGAAACAAAAACTATCCTCTTCTCCAAACGCTATCACTGAAAAAAATATGACAGATAGAATCTGTTAACGTAAAAAATAACTGAAACAGTAGAAGCGTAAATGCCATAAAAAAAGTATAAACTACGATATCTATGTAGCATGTAACACGTAGATACTAACCTGTGGAACAGAGTGTTTCGTTGCTACCATGTCCCCTGATATCGGACACATAACTAATCCTCCAATAGCAGACTTACTTACAGTAATCTGCGGTGAATCACCAATTAGTTTTGTTTCATTCATCACCTATATAAACAAATAAGAATCCAATAAATAATGCAGTGTCTAATAAACTTTCGATCAACTTTTTGTTATATTTTCAAATTAGGTAAATTTTGATTTTAAAATGATGGTTATTCTTCCATAAGTTTGAGAATCAAATGCCTATTTTATTCAATTCATAGTTGACTTTTAAACTGTCATGACCCTAAAAAATCCTATACTCCAAATCAAAATAAAAAGGCAGTTATTCAAATGATACTTTCTTTGCAATTTGAGTTTAAATACAACTGTCTAAGTCTACAAGCTATTCTAACACTCTAGAGACCTCTGAAGAAAGAAATTATGCATCTAAGGATTATAGAGTTCAGTTAAGTAGACTAAAAAAGAATATTGAACAGTTAATTTCCAGAATGAAGTTTAATTAGTCAATAGTATTGATTGATGAAAAATATTGACCAGTGTGGGTAGTCTAGAGTTCTTATTGGACCATTTTCTGTCTAGCTCTGGCCAATATCAGGTTCCAGTATATCAATCATTCATTTCTGACATACTTGGTTTATATACAAGCAAACCAACATATCACACCATAAAATAAAAATTACATTTGTACAGGATTTATCCGAAAGTGGCTGTGAATGTGATAGACTGCAATTAATAAACTAGGCATAACTTAAGAATGGTGAATCGTATCATAATAGTCTATTGGTCAATATAAAGCTTATGATGATAAGAACATGAATATATATAGTTTAGTTAATTAATAGTTATACAATAAGAAGGTACGTATAATATTAGTCCATTAATAACTCTCCGAAGTTACCCATAATTTAATTTTCGCTAGGACATAATAGCCATGCATTATTAAAATAAACTAATATACTTACTCAATACATAAAAATAATACTTCATACTGATAAAATAAAATGTCAAAAATTATTTCTAATTTCTTACTGATATTTCAGGTTGATCACCAGGTAAACTTTCAAGCCAAAAATTATATTGAAAACTTCTACACCATCCATATCTACTAACACGTACAGTACCCATTAATGGATGTAAATTTAACAATCTTTCGATGACACTTGGCTCCATGAACTTTGCTGGTATACCTTTAAGATGAAACAGAATATTTAATTTACTCTTAATCAACCAAAATACATGTTGACTTATATTATTCACGAAGTCAGAAGACAACTGACAAAGACAACCAGAAATAAACAAGACCATTAGAACGAGCTGATATGATATGATGATTGTGGATTAAATGAAAAAAATCCACTTCTATATGTATTAAGCTCTGAAGATGTTGTTCAGAATGACAATTAAAGCTTTACAGTTAAGCAATTTACCTTATTTAACATAACACTGCCAAAATGCTCAAAGATAAATTCGTATATTTACGGTCAAAATGTGAGCTTGGACAAAAAGGAATAACAATATTCTAATTATGTCGATAGATTAATTATTAATAATATCCATATCCTCATTGTATGATTAACAAGTGACTAGATTTCTAAGCTAATATATATTCCGTTTATCGTAAGCTTTAGTTTAATTCAATAACGATTATTAGTGAGGTTGTGGAGATTATTATGTTTTTGATTGAAATCATCAACCGGTTGGTGTTAGGCCACCATTGAAAACATGGAAGAACTGGAACGCCGTTTCTTGTACTCACTAGTAACTAGTTTCGTGAGGGAATTCTCGGAGTTCTAGTGAAAAGCCGTGACCAGTGGAGCTAATCCGTTTCGGGTAGAGACAAGTATCTACCTCAGTACAATGGAAGATGGTGGTATAATTCCATGGATTGGTTGAGGTTAAACATTAACACCGTTGGATGCCGGCCGACTCAGTGGTGTGGAGGTTAAGTATTCGTGCTCTAGACTGAATGCGTCGAGTTCGAATTTCGTGAGTGGTGTCGTGGATTCGCACTGCTGCGGAGTCTGACAAAAGGACGAAACGGCCTTTTAGTGCTTCCAGGTTCTCAATGGTTTTCTAACATCAATCTGTTCATGATCTCAATCATTAACGATTATTAAACTGATTGATATTCGTTATTTACTGCCTATCAACTTTTCACACGTTGTCTTATTCACAGTCACTTTTGGTTTGTTCGTGTATAATTGTGATTTTCCCTTTTATGCTGTAGTATGATCCAGTGTGTTTGTATATAATGTAGTAAAAGTTGACCGTTGATTTCTTTTCGGACTCGAAGTAAATGAATAAAGGACGCATTGTAGATAGTGGACCATTAGATGGTGAGCATGCGCAGGCTCAAGGTTATCTGTGAGGGTCATTGGTATAATTGGTCAAGTCTAGGACATTAGACAACAGACGAGGCATAGCCAACATTGTAATCAGACATTTTATTGATGACTTTAACACGTGATATTGATAAGTCACAAGTTATAACAGAAAAATTTTACTCACGTGAAGTAGGTACTCCTTTAAATGATAAGATGAAATTTCCATCAATAGGTGGTGAGGCTGATTGAATTAGTGTTATTGAACTTTGAATATTTACTGGCCATCTTTCATCCCGAAGTATTACTGTTCTATCAATAGTTTTATTGTCATTTGGCATCTTAATGTTTGAGATAATGGAAAATATGAATTGTTATATCTCATATAACAAGTTTCTCTATATTATTAATAATACATTATCAATGAGAAAGTAATTGTGGGATGATTACATAAATCATAAGTTTGAAATAATTAAATGAAATACAGTAATGTAATGTAAAATTAAACTTACATTCACACCAGTTAAACCAAACAGTTCAAAATTGGTTCTACATGATTTTGTTATTATTTCAATTGTGAACACACCAAATGTTGACAAATTCTTTGTTATTTTAATATCACTGAATATATCTTTCGGAAATCGTGGCCACGTAACAACGTCTGATAAATATTATGAAGGGAAAATTTTAAAGTAAACGATTATTCGATCTATTTGATGTTTCACTGTTTCGTTTTACTAATCAATGAACATATCATACTGGGATTATTAAGTTAATTTTTTTGAGACGAATCGACTTGATTATCAGGATAAATTTGAACACGAATAATGGCAGAATAGTGTATAATAATAACAGAGGCGAAAATGAATAAAGTAACATCTTTTGAATTAAGGGTTTCGGTTAACTGCTTCCCCTCCGCCTCGTTTATCAAAATACTTCAATTCGGATTATGTAACATGACACTGGGTACGAATCCCTAGAGCATCATGGTTTTAAGCTGAAAGTAGTTTATATATGTCCATAAATACAAATGACTCATTCAATTGTAGTAAATGGGGACAACCAAATGCATATTAATAAAAAATTACAGGATCTCCTAGAAAAATCTGACAACCATATAGTAAATACTTCATTTCCAAAATATCAATCAATTGTGTCAGACTTTGATGTTCCTTCATTTCCACACCAGTCATTCTCTGTTCTCGTTCACTTATCTTCAATCTTCCCAACCTTCTGCAGCCAGGTATTCCACTTTTGATTGGTGATGCATACTACTTATATCTATCGATATCAGTAGCACACACTGCACAATGAGTTCAGAGTTTTCATTTCATAAACTTGAATTGTTTGATTCACATAAATTAGACTATTTGTTTGAATGTAATGAAATACAGATTTTCTAAGTTCAATTCTCAGTGTAACAAAACAAACCAAGTATGAAAATATATATCTATCCGGCAAGCCTAAAATAAAACGAAACACAGCGTGAATTCCACTATTAATCACAATCCATATTTGTATAGTTTGAAACCTAAGTCCAGGGTGTCCTGTTAACTACCTCCAACTACCATCTTATCTCAACGTAATGCACGCAATGTTGAGTCATCTAGACTAGTAGCCACATTGCGACTTGGCCAACAGGATTGAAACTGCACTAAGAAGAACCTGACATGTATGACATTGATCACCACCTAGTGAGCAATCAATTGTAAGTTTTACACAGTCCTTACTTGTATTCAATATAAATAATATTGGATTACTGAATTTATTTTTAAATACATATACTATACATAATTTCAAATGATATGAATAAACCAATCATAGATTTCGACAAGTGATGAAGAATATTTATAACTCAGGTGGATAATTCTCATGGTGTTACATTCTGTGAGTTAGCATGTTTCATCGTGAAGCTTTTATTGATTTTAAGAACAATATTATCAGAGAGTACAATAGTCAATAAGAATTCAAAGACACATAAAGCTAACATACTGTATAAAGACAATCAATCACAAAAAACAATAAGTATCAGAACGAAGTGATTTAGAGTTTCAATTAAAGTAGACAATAATGATGTTATGGATAACTAAAACAGAAGCTTTAAAATTAAACAATCCATCTAAAAAAAATGTCACACTAACAAAACTATCAATAAATAGTAAACAATTTTTTTCATATTACAATGTTATAGTTTACCGTCTGGATTATCGGAAATTGGTTTTGTTCCCATGTATACTGTATCTAAGAACAAAGTATATTCCAATTCGTAAAATTTCTTTCTTGGTGGTATAGAAAAAGATTCAAGTTGAAAAATTGTTGCATTTATATTGCGTGGATCTGTACGAAGTAATTGTAGTACATTAATACATTTGAATTTCCAACTGGATGTAATAAAATAGAAACAGAACAAAACACACCATCTTAGAACATGACTAACTAATTACAGTAATTTGAAATGCATTTCGTTGTAGTTGGTCATTATTAGAAAATGATAAATGAAGTTTTGAAGAAATTGACTTTTCAATTGAGAATTAAAGTTTGATCATTCATTCAGTTGTTATCAATTAAGCAACAGAGGAAATTTTTCAAGCTAGTCACTAAATAATTAGGAATTTTTCATCCCCTAATTCTTTATATTATATGAATAATATAAATGGAGTTTACTAGTGACTATTTTTAGATGGCTAATACTTGAAAATTAAGTCAATTAAACTATCGAAATTTGAATTGGATCGAGTCTCGTGACAATGGAATATGCCTTTGATTACTTCTTAATGACCACTAAGATCACATTCAAAGTCTATCAAATTTAGTATTTCGTAAAAAGATCAGAGAAACAGTTATTCATAGATAAGTTTATGCAAGATAAATTGTGTCTTTACATAGTCTGACCACATCTCATGAGGAAGCACGGAATATAATGGACAACATAGATGCAACTAAACGGTTTGGAATTCCTAGATGACTTCGCTCTTCTGTTACATACACACCAGCAAATTTAAGTGAAGACAGATAGTGTATCGTCAGCCTCTACAGCAGTAGGCCTCAACATACAAAAGAAAAAAAGCAACATCCTGAAATACAACACAACGAACACCATTACAATCACACTTGGTGGAGAAACTCTCGAAGAGGTGGAGTCTTACACATACTAGATCATCATCATCGATGAACGTTGAGGATCTGATGCAGACAGGAAGGGAAGAATTGACAAAGCAAGGACAAGGTTCATACAAGTGAAAGACATATGGAACACAACATATGGAACTATCAACTGAAATCAGAGTCAGAATCTTCAATTCGAACGTCGAGATAGTCCTACTGTATAGAGCTGGAACTTGGAGAACTACCACAACCATCATCAAAAACGTACAAGTATTTATGAACAATTGTCTACTCAAAACCCTCAATGTCCACTGACCAGATATCGTCAGAAACAGCTTATTGTGAGAGAGAACAAACCTTCCATCTGAACAGGTAATGAGGAAAAGACAATGGAGGTGGATAGGACATATATTTCGGAAATCATCAAAACTGCATCACGAGGCAAGCACCAAATTGGAATGCTGAAGGTGAGCGTAAAATAGGAGGACGATGGAACAGTTGACTGCTCTGGGAATCGGAAGTAGACAGTGAAAGAATGACTATCAATTGAAGTGAACTGGCAAGGATTGTCCATGACAGAGTTGGCTGGAGAATGCTGATAGGCGGCCTATGCTTCTCTACGAAAGGTATCAGGCGTAAGTAAGTAATATAGTGACAATATTTAATGTGATAGAAAACAAAGTTTTAAATTCACGTTTCATCGTACATGTGTTTTTTCAAGGATTTACTGAGGTTAATTCAAATAAATGTCTTTCCGGTAACAGTCACTTCTTATATTATTATCTATTTACTCATCCTGAAAATGATAATGGACATTGATAAAACCAAGTTAATAATCTGATGAAGTAAGCTTCTCGAGGATATATAAGTAGTAGGATATTTAATTCAGTTGGTGATTATTCCATTGATTTATTAACTATTATTTTTCATGACACTGATAATAAAAGTAGTTTCCTGTACTATAGTCTAACTAAATAGTTCTAAAAATCTACTTGATACAAAGAATAAAGTTTTATATCTCAGTTTACTCCACACCACTTGGAAACATTTTTTAACTTCTTTCAACTAAGCAACTGTATTTACTGCTTTCCCATTATTTTGCTGAGTGAAAATGTTTGCTATTGTTAGGGTTTGTAGAAACCATTAAATTGTTTGGTTTATATCACTGGCTGATCTTAGTTAGGCAAGCATTGGAAGCTAGGAAGCCCTAAATAGTTATTTTATAATAGCGTTGAACTCATGGAGAGTGTGAACACACGATCCCACAGTGGATCGAATCCAGGATCTTCAGGTTTTGTGATAAAAACATTTCAGAATTAGACCACTTAGTCAGTAGCCAACGATTCATATATTTAACTTCAAATATATATTTGTTTATTTGCTTGCTTTTTTGTAAAAGGTCTAATCAACCAGTTACTCTCGTATTTGGTGAATTTTTTTTTATTTAAACAACTCTTACTGTTTTCACAGATTGAAATCATGAGTCAGTTGAAGCTAGACCACCATTGAAAACCTGGAAGCACTGGACGGCCGTTTCGTCCTAGTATGGGACTCCTCAGTAGTGCGCATCCACGATCCCGCACCATGCGGGGCTCGAACCCAGGACCTACTGGCTTCGCACACGAGCACTTAACCATTAGACCACTGAGCCGGCATCCAACGGTGTTAATGTCTAAATTCAACCAATCCACGAAGTTGCGCCACCATATATCATTGTCTTCAGTGAGCTAATATCTCACAACAGACCTGGTTGAACTCCACTGGTAACGGCTTCCCAATAGAACTCCAGGAGTATCTCTTGAAGTCTGTCACTAGTGAGCAGATGATTATTATCAGAAGGGGTTTGCGGAGATTTTAGAAATGTTCACAGATTGAAATCATGAGTCAGTTGAAGGGTTTTCAATGGTGGTCTAGCTTCAACTGACTCATGATTTCAGTCTGTGAAAATTTCTAAAATCTCCACAAACCCCTTCTGGTAATTCTTACTATTAACAGAATTGGGTTTTGTGGATTATTTAGATAATTAACTAGATGATCTACAAATAATACATACATAAGGTATTCTTCTTATAAGCAGTATTTCACTTCTGTTTTACTTAACATCCACTCAGTCAGTAATATTTATGTTATAAAACTTTTATTTAATTTTAACAAGTTCTGTTAAGCGAAATTTCGGTTATTTACTTACTCTGAAGAAGTTGCTTACATGAAGTCTCGAAACAATAGAAATACAATTTGTTTACTCATTGGGATAATAACAAGAAACTATGTTTATTATTAACTCACTACCTAATGCTCAATTTATCTTAAACTATCAAGTTCAACTCAGTTGGTATTGTTTTATTTGAATCTTCCCATTGAGGTTTAAGAGTGCAATTGATCAGTCTGTTATTGGCATACGTGCATACTGTGTGTATTACCTCGATATTGCGTTAATTCAAGTAAAACAATACCAAGTGAATTTAAATTCACCCCATTTCACAAGGAAGTGGCAATCAGGACTCAGTAGCTGAGTGGATAACGCGATGGCGTTTGAGGTGAATGGTACTGGGCTCGAGTCCCAGAGTGGACATCAGCTCTGAGATGTAGGTACATCCAGCTGACGAGTCCCAAATTAGACGAGACGCGTGTCCTTGATTCCAGTGTTAGTCACTGTTCATCTCTGCTTATAAAGATTGTGTATCACGTCCAACCTTGGTATTCATACCTATAAACTCATTAGTCATCTTAAAATGTTCAAATGTAGCATTTATTTCAACAAGAAGAAATCAACTTACGAATTTTCATCTTGCTGTGTAAGATCAATTGAATAGGTTAATGTTTGTTTCAATAAACGAGATGTTACACCAATGGCATTGTATAAGAAATTTATACTGTTTTTCGTTTTTCCTTTTATTGCAAAACATAACTACAAATATGTTTGTAAAAAAGACAAAATTACAAGTGATATACGATGGAATACATTTTAATTAGTATACATATTTAGTATTGTGAATTAACGTAGCCATTCAGTATAATGATTGATTGTTTTCCGGTTCTTTAAACAATCAAATTCTGGATAGCTGTTTCACTCAGTGATGAAAAATAAGGTAACAGTTACGTAATATCACTAGTTAACTGAAGTTATAAATGTAAGTTGTTAGATGTCCACTTAACCTAAGATGGTGCAAACGCCAGTATTCCTTGTGACTCTTGAGTTTTGAGTGTATTATTGCGAGGTGTTACATAATAGGGCAAAATAGCTAACGAATAATCTCGATTTCAAATCTTTACTGATAAGTAATAGGGGGTGATGCAAACTATATTGAAGAATATTTGTCAGTCTAACAACAAAAAATAATAATTCAGGCTGAATTAAGTTCAATCTTTCTATCTGTACCATAGAAATAAAATGAAAACCAATTATACTTCATGTAACTTGATTCCTTGGTAGATTTCTAGAAACTAAGAACAACGAAATTTGCTGAATGAGACGAACCAATTCTATTTCGTAGCTTTGCATCTCAGCTACAAATAACTTATCTTTATTATTCAAGGAAAACTTGTCTTTTCACTGTCTTTGACTAGCAATGGAATCCAGAAAATTCTTTTTGCCCCATTTCGGATTCATCAGGTAGATGAACCTGTATCATGAAGTTGAGGTGGATTGTGGAATCCAAACCCATAATTTTTCCTTAACATGTTACTCTCACTCAGCTACTGAGTCCATTTAATCTAACACTTATACGATGAATTTAATTTCTGACAAAAATTTTAATCATTCATTTCTGTATATTAATAATGGAATATTCTAAATCACTAGGCACTGAATTATCATTTCAAATATTTCTGTTTCTTTGAATTTATTAGTTGTTTTAATATCAAACGATCAGTTGTAATCAGATTAACTGGGTATCTGCTGGTTTAACAGAAAATATAATTTCAACTTATATTATAATAAAGTGGTTAGAATGAATAAAATATCAGGATATAATAATATAATATTTCCAACTGATGTTTATCTACCATTATGAACATGATCCATTGTAGGTAAAAATCTATAATACTAGCATGACACAGTATATTTGAATTATCTAAGTTTTTAATATTTTTTTTTGATTGACATTATGAACCAATCGATATTAGATTCCATTAAAAACCTGGAAGCACTAAAAGGCCGTTTCGTCCTTTTGTCAGACTCCGCAGCAGTGCGAATCCACGACACAACTCACGAAATTCGAACTCGATGCATTCAGTCTAGAACACGAATACTTAACCTCCACACCACTGAGCCGGCCGGCATCCAACGGTGTTAATGTTTAACCTCAACCAATCCATGGAATTATGCCACCATCTCTCATTGTACTGAGGTAGATACTTGTCTCTACCCGAAACGGATTAGCTCCACTGGTCACGGCTTCTCACTTCAACTCCGAGAATTCCCTTATGAAACTAGTTACTAGTGAGTACAAGAAACGGCGTTCCAGTTCTTCCATGTTTTCAATGGTGGCCTAACACCAACCGGTTGATGATTTCAATCAAAAACATAATAATCTTCACAGTCACATACTGATAATTTTTATTAACTCTTGGTTCTTACTTCTTAATGTCTTAGCTACAAGTCAATTGGTTCATTTTTGTGTGTATTATTCTCAAAAGGTTGATAAGTCTGTGGGATATTTGCTTTAGCGTTTTTTCTTAAAGTAGTTGATGATTTGTAAATAATATTCATACCGCCATTTGAGTAAGGAACCATAAGAATAATTATAGAATCTCATCATTACAATGATCTAATCAGCTGATAATCTAATTGATAGGAAATCAATACATATTGTGTAGTCAACTATTCATTGAAAAAGTTTCTGATTACAACTTATTTGTAGCAGCCAAAGTTAAGTATTTTCTTAAATTATATGAACTCTATTACAACACAAAACACTGTTCCATCAAGAATAATCAACTTACATAAGGATTGGTGTTAACCGAGATAAGTTGAGCAAATTGGTAGGTAAATAAATTTAAAACAGATTGTCGACCACAAAATGCAACCGTTTCTGTTGTAACAGTACTAAGTGTTGATGTTTCGAAATCATCTAAAACTGCATATTTAAATGTAGGGTTAATCAACTTAGAAGGACACCATGATGAGCCAAGATTGAGATATGCTAGTCGAATCTATAATAAAAACAATAATGACACGATTAGACATAATGAAATTAATTTTAAGATACAAATCTTCATAATCGACCAAATTATATAATATCAGATAACGAATTTTCACTTCAAAAATTTTGCAAAAATATTTTGGTATTATATTATTATATTTACTTACTTCATTTTCAGTACTGTCAAGTGTATAGGTCATATATGAATACATACCGCCATAGGATGGTCTAATTGTCTTTGAAAATCCTGTCATACCTTGTACAGTTTCATTAACCTGTGATTTGTTGATTGTTTGTGGAAAGCTTTGTACATCCAACAATGGCATATCACCTTTATTATAATAATTAATGTATTATAAATCAAATTAGCATAAATAACATACATTAGAGTTTGATATACAAGCTTAATCAACCTTATTTTATGTGATTACTGTTATGGGCAATTGGATATCTATGTGCCTTATTATCTTTTCATATTTAAGAAAATTAACATTAATAACTTTTAGTTAATAGTAAAAAATTGTAATCAAAATGTAAGAAGACATAGTTCATAACACTGTAGTCATAATCTACAATAAGAACTCTTCAAAGACTTAAAGGATTACTAATATGTAGTTTTGTAAATTAAAAAGAGACTATGGTAGTTTGTAAAGTTTACAGTTTGAAAAGAAAATTACTAACCAATGGTTATCCTTTAAATACTTACCATGAGATTTGAATAGCATACGGTGCAAATTATTGAGAATATTCAAACAATGAATACATATGCGCCACATAAGTCACTTGATTTGAGTGTGGGCTGTGATAATTTTCGGGTGCTCAAACCGAAGCACGTGCTTTTCTTAGGTGACCACTCTCCGAACCTTTGTCCTAAAGGTATAATACCCAAGGCAGTGGAGCAATGTTAGGAGATGCAATCCCGTGGTTGACGATGATCAACAGTAGGTTCATACGCCATTTATTTCCTTAGAATCCTGGAGCTCACGTGAACCACTGGTTTAGAATCAGGATTTTCCAGCCCCCCTAGATAAATTTTCCGTGTCCGCCAACCCGGGTACAGCGTCGGACATTCGCTTTTCGTCCTCTGAATTTCGTGAACAAAAGCCCCATCACGAGAAGGCAATGAGTAGTACTTCCCTGACAGAGGCTGTGTACGCGTGGCCATGTAAGAGCATTTCGTGAGAGAGAGAGAGAGAGTTGACTCTCTCCAACCTCGGCCAACCAGGGCATTTGGGGGCCATGAGAATGTTTTACTAACCTATATCATGCTTGATGATAATGATCCTTAAAATATTTGTATTTTAAACTAACAGTTTTGTATTTGTGAAGATTTTGTAAAATTACTTCTAATTTGAAATAGTTAAGTATTTGATTTAACTTGCCCACTTTTTTATGGAATCATTCAAGAGATAGTTTTAAAATCACATTCTCATATTTGAATTACATTTTCATGATTATGTTCTATTTATCAGTATAGGGTTGTGGAAATTGTTGAATTTAGATTGATATCATGAATGGATCAATGTTACATCACCACTGAAAATCTGGAAGCACTGAACGGAGGTTTCGTTTGATTTATGATATATCATGCACATTATATATTGAATAAATAAAAATTCTTAATGGTCAGTTCTTATGTCAACTACAAATTGTGTTCACCTATTCATAAATCAAAATAAATTACTACTGTTCCATTTAATTAGAGTATTTGATGTTAGTTCATTAGATACAGTAGTCGGAAACTTTTAGCTGTCAATAACCATTCACTTTGGTGCATTATTCCATATAAATACTTGCTGACAGTACTGTGATGTGTCCATTCACTTTCGAAGTAAAAATGCATTTTCAGTATAAGTCATTGTGGAGGTTATAAAATTTTCACAGCAGTGAATAACGATTTTCTATAATGATCTAACTAAAATTAATTCATGATCTAAAAACTAAGAAAATTCTATCACTTTTAAAAATTCACTGGTGACTAGCTTTAAGATATAATTCGTGGGGTTCTAGTGAGATGTCGCAACTCGTGGAGTTCAACCATGTTGGATGAGAGACGCGATATTATGCGTGGATTGTTTGAAGCTACACACATACACCATTGAAGACTGGGTAGGTGGTTTAGATAGTAAGCATTCACGCGTGATACTGAAGGTCCTGAATTCGATTCCTTGTGGCTCAATCGTGGATGCGCACACCTGAGAATTCTTATTCAAGGACGAGGCATCTATTCAGTACATACTAATTTTCACTGATGGTCTAGATGAAATTAATTCGTTAATTAAAAACTATCAAAAAAAATCTGTTAATATGTTAATTTATGAATTGATTACTAGTAGTTTTACAGTACATAAAATAACCAATAATCAAAGCCATCATTATTTACATACCAAACTCTTCAGGAAAAGTTATTTGAAGAACCAAATAATCATTAGTTATTTGTACGATTTTTGTTTTCACAGAAGAACCGTTCAATTTTTCACTAATCTCTTGACTAATTAAATCAACATTTGGATTTTGGACTGGTAAAGGAGCTGTAAATATAATTTTACATGATACATTAATTATAGAATACATTATTTTACAGTTTTTTAAGTTGAGTGTAATGCTATACTACTTAAGTAAGTGATTACCAAAAACATATCAAGTAAAGTTTTGAAGGAATGATTAATTTCTTGGAAGTGTTTGTACAGAATCCAGATTGAATTCTTTAAAGGTTAGAATTTTATTCAATGCTAAATATTGTCAACTAACACATGATATTACTCTAAACTTCTGGAGTTGATTTCACTTCATAATGAAAATTTTTTCTATTGAGTAGCTTTACGCAAACAATCTATAAGTTATTAGTAGCTAAATTATCATTTGACCTGCCTTTTGTGAAGCGAGTGAAGAGAATATTGATTAAATAGACAGATAATGATGATTTCAATAAGTGAACTGACTAATGAATTTCTGCTTAACATGCAATTAATAATAATTAATAGTTGAGATCATGAATTAACTGAAGCTAGACCACTATGGAAAACCTGGAAGCACTAGACCTCCGTATCATCCCAGTATGGGACTCCTCAGCAGTCCATGATGGTCTAGCTTCCTTTAGCTAATGATCTCAACTGTTAAATTACTATAATATCCACAAAACCCCTCTCTAATTAATAATGTGTTTTTAATATATATTGATGGTTTTTAAAACATATCTCCAAGTTGCTTAATTTATGTACTAAAAATAGAAATGAAGAGGACAATTTTTCATATAATTGGATATTGACATCAAGTTTCACCCTTTCTCTCTCTCTCTTACTCAAAACAATTATCCTAGATCTGTTACGTCAAACTTCCTAAAAACTAAATTGATGAGAGAATGCACTTGTCATTTTTATATTAATAAGCATTGAAATCACATCACTTACATGTACACGAATAAAATAAGCACAGCTTATACTGTGTAGCAGCTGTTGGTATACTGATTGTTTGGATCTCAGCTATTGGTATAATTGATGAGTTCACCAGAGCTGAATGATCTATGACCTATGAAGTGAAATAAAAATCACTTATGAATCCTGTAGGGATTGATGAATAAAAATCAATGGTATGACAGTAATTCATTGATAACACTGAACAGAAGTAAGCTTTATCATGAAATAACTGAATCGCGAAATGTAAACCCTTGAATTTCAACCTGGGGATATAATAGTAATGGGTTAACCTATCAAAACCCAAAGGTCCCGAATTTGATCCCTAGTTTGCCGCTGCCTAGTTATTTTCAACTGGAACAAACTAATTATTTAGTATTTACGGGTTTCTATTAGTTCCTCACATGAAATAATTCAGTTGGTCATAAAAAATCTAGGACATGGCATATATATACATCTGTTGAAGTTATCACAGCATATTCGAAGAGTCACCTTAAACCATCAAGACAAATGCAAGAGTAGTAGAAGTACTAGTAACAATATTAGTGGTGGTAGAAAATATCATGTACAAACAAAAATATTCGAGGAGAAAGTGTGAAATAGAGAAATAGAAATAATAAGATACTTGTAAAATTTAAGTTCCAGGGGAAGATACAGATTGAATATTGTTGGGGAAGTTAGATCCCCAAAACTCATATTTTGTAATTTTATCTTTGTGGAGCTTGTATGCAAATGTATGCTTGGGCATTTCTTATCACCCTAGCACATAGTCGATTGACAAACTTATCGATTAAATGTTTAAAAACTTCCATGGCAATATCGGTCATATGTATTTTGTATAAATACGCTTGGTTTATGTGCTTGATGAACCTGGTATCTTCTGGTTGTCTGTAGAATGCACTTTCTACATCTTACCAAGACTGCTGGGTCGAGTTAGCTGAGCCGTTGACAACGGACCAGTATACCTATCGAGTCTCTGAATCCTTGATTCTTCGTTCCGTTCCGAATAAGACAAATCAGTAGTAGCATTCAAGTGTAACGAACATCACAAATATGTCTACGGTAGTGGTGGATCCCGAATCATGTCATCGAACGTCTTTAACGTGTGTTTATTATGGTCGTCCGGATCACAGTTAGGTAATCTGCATCTACTTATGCTGCGTTGTCTACAAGTCAACGACTCTATAGAATGATTATGCACTTTTGTTTGGGTGCTCCTAACTTTATTTTAATTCCCTAATTCATAAGTTATTATTCAGCGTCAGACGATCAACTTTTTATCTCTAAAACAATGTCTATGATGAAGTTCAATAAGAATAGGGAGAAATAGAATAAATTCTTTACAAGAAATCATTTGAAATGATTCAATTAATACATTAAAAATTGAAAAATATTCAATTAATTTTAAGGTTTTCTTCATACACACAATAGTTATTATAACAATAATACATCTAAGGTACACATACTTGTTTCTCTGAATTCGCACTTGATTTAATTGTTATCATATAGGATGTTGGTTTTGATATTTTGAGTTGTTGGTAATTTAAACTTGCATTTGATAAAGAAGCACATAAACGTACAATAGCTGTTGGTTGAGAAATTATACTACGAAGTTCAAGTAAGAAGCTTCAGTGAAATTTGTTGAATAAAAAACGAAAAAAAAAACAGTACAAAAATATCAATTTTTTATCATCCGAAAGAATTATTTTTAAGCTTGTTAACTGTCAAGAAAGTATCAGTATAGTGGTTGTGGAGATTGTTAAGTTTTTGATTGAGACCTTGAACCGCTTGATGTTAGACCACCACTGAAAACCTGGAAGCACTGGACTGCCATTTCGTCCTATTGTGGGACTCAAAAGTAGTGCGCATCCACGGGATTCGTACCCAGGGTCTTCACTTTCGCGCGCGAACGCTTAACCTACTGAACCATTGAGCCGGCATCCAGTGGTGTTAATGTTTAACCTCAACATATCCACGAAATTGTTTAACCATCTTCCATTATACTGAGGTAGATACCTGTCTCTACCCGAAACGGATTAGCTCCACTGGTCACGGCTTCCCACCAGAACTCCATGAATTTTCCCACGAAGCTATTCACTAGTGAGCACATGATAAAGAAATTATTGAGGGTATAGCTTAAGCAATCGATAATTCACAGCTTATTTTTTTCTTTACAAAGTGTGAAGTACTCTGGAATTATGTAAAGCAGAAACAATTTACTGTTTACATTGATTGATTAGAACATGACGAATATGATACTTGTCTAGCCCTCAGTGGTGATCCATTCTAATCTATTATATTGAGAATTGGATTACTCGTCAAGGTAACCGAACTTCATGCATATTCTGTTTAGGTGTAGTTAGGAGAGAACCTTATTTTATTCTTAAGGAATTTGGTGCTGTCAATGAAAGTTGAACATATGACCCAGTTTCATAGTTTGCGACATCACTACTAGGTTATTTAAGCTGTATATGATCTCTCATAGAGTTTTCTATCTGCTACCACCAATTATCTATAATAATATATTACCTTGAGTGAAATACTCTGAACAGTAAAGAAAAATTGCTTTCAGATTAGTTAATTGAAGAAACCTTTGGAAATGACGATTGTTATTACCATAGATATTGTTCAACAAATTTACAAGTTCCCAACTACAGATTCAATAAACAACTACTTTTCATAAAAAGTATTACTAACACCACATTTAAAATTTCGTAAGTTTATCTAATCTGCTCCAAAATAGAAACACTTAGGATGTTACAATAACCAGGCTGTATAAGATGATTATTTCATCTATATAAATGTTTGCATAACAGGGTTCACCCCGTATTTCGAATAAATACACACCTAAAAATTTACTATAAATCGGATTTTCATAAAGTTTAATAGTAAAAAAGGTTCAGCAACTTTTATTTGAAGTCGTTATCGTCTAAATATTTGTTGTATTTTATGACAACAGAGTATCAGTGTTGATAAGATTTAACACGGTGTTTAGGTATACCAAATGAGAGGTCTATATGATCATTTAAACTTGTAAAGATTTATATTTGAAATAAATTGACACTTGTGTGTTCATAGAAAACCATATCTTTATGTATTATGGCTGAATCTCAAAATAGAAAAACTTATTTGATAAGATTTACTTTTAAACAATAATGAAGTGACAAGTTTTAAAAACTCCCATTGTATTAGTGAATTTTTTATGCATATTTATAAGCAAATATGGACAGTGGTTAGCAGTGAATCCAGGATGTGCGTTTCATCCTATCTGGGACTCGTCAGCTGGATGTACCTGCATTTCTTATTAAATGTTCACTCCGTGACTCGGATCCAGTATCGTTCGCTCTAAACGCCATCACGTTATCCACTTAACCATTGAGTCACGAAAGCCTCTAAGAGACGAATCAATCGCCGTCTTAAACATCAAACGGAAGATTCAAACAAACAATACAACTAAGTATTCGCAGTTTTACACGTAATCCAGACTTCAGCTTCATCATTGTTAACATTCAAAATTATCCAAGTGCAGTTATGTCTAAACAAGAAGTTTCGAATTAAATGAAACACTGATAGAGTTACACAAAACAAGAATCTTGTCTTATAAATGAAAATATTTTACTATTTAAAATCAACTTGAACAATAAACTATCCACTAAAGTTATGTTTAAAAAACAAACGAAAAACTGTATTTCTTTTCATATAAATTAAACATTTTAAGAAATACACTTACTGTTCATTTCTGTTTAAGTAAATGGAATTTGTTCGACTGTTTGTTATAGTCATTTGTGTCTAAAATGAAAAATAAATAAATATCATTCTCAGCAAAGATGAATAGTGAATCATAGTGGAATCAAGGACGCACGTTTCATCTAATTTGGGACTCGTCAGCTGGATGTATCTGCATTTCAGAGTTGATGTTCACTGTGGGACTCAAACCCAGTACCGTTCGCTTCAAATGCCATCAACTTAGCAACTGAGTCCTGATAGCCACTTGCTTTTGCAATGGGGTGAAGTCTTAAATTCACTTGGTGTTGTTTACCTGTATCTTCCTATTGATATTTAGGACTGCGATTGACCAGTCTCTTGTTACGAAAATACAAGTAAATGACACCAAGAGAATTTAAAATATCATTCTCAGTTTGAAATCACTTATAAACTAATTCTACTTATTGGGTGATTAAACTAACAATCTAGGGAATGAATTGAATTGAATTTTGACTGGTTATAAGTTATAATTGTTATTTGTATACTGTCTGATTGCTTTTCTTCCTCTTCACCTTAAGAGTACACATTCTATTTTTGTAATGATGATATAAAATAAGTGGTTCTTATTTGTTGTATATAAAATATATTTGTTAAAATTGCTATCTTAGACATCTTAATAGTAAATGATGTTGCAGACGAAGAGAAACTACGATTTCATTTTCATAATAAGGATCTTTAGAGATAGACGCAGAGCAATTATTTCATCTACCTGAAATATGATTCCCTTCGGTTGTTATCCATTTTTTGTGCAGTTTTATGGGTATGCTAACATCAGGATGTCAGACATGGAAAATATGATAGGTACAAATACAAGTGAAGAGAGAGGTAACGATCTTCATTATCTTAAGGGTGTTTATGTCTATGTATATGCTATGAGGCGTATAGGCGTAAGCCTATGAACCACTGGTGTTCATGTGATGCAAGAGTGCTAGCAAGTAGTAGAAAATGCTGTTGAAGAGAGCGGTGATCGACTACTTTCCCAAAAAGGCGAGTGTACCTATGAGTATGCTGCGAGGCTTATGAGTGAAATCCTATGTCCTACCGGTATACATGTAACGAATACTTATCCCCGGTACGATGTCCGCGCTCCCAAACACTGCGGTTGTATCGATTTTCCCTAAAAGCACGCTCATGTGGCGGGTTTATGGGATTCGTAGAATGATTTCCTTCTACCAGAAAAGTCAATTGGCTTTATCTTAAGAGGCTTAACCAAACTCAATGGGGCTGGTACTTTACGACGTCGGGTATCCTAGAGTTGATACCGATATACAATCTTTTTATGTACAAGTTCAACTGGCTACTTGAATGAAAAGATTGACAATGAGAAAGGATATTTATTGGCTTGACTAAAACACATATATACTCATACGCATATAATCATTTACGTAAACATATATATTTGTGTCTCTTGAAAAATCAAGACATTTAATGGAGTATATCTCATAATTTAGAAATAAGTCATTTTTTGGTCAATATTAAGCACTTATTATTTCTCTGATTTCTGATTTGGCCAATCTATCACTTTCCCCTCTTAAAAATAGATATGGTTTTTCCGATTCACCTGAAAGCTTTGAGATGAGGACATATCAAAGATATGTTGTGTAAAAATTCAAAACACCGACTTTGTTATGAAATATACATTTAATGGACTGTATTTACAACATATCTTCTAATTTTAAGTCTATTATCACTTATCTGTTATTTGAACGTTAGAAATGTTACACTAAAGAGTTCATGTTTAGTTGTATCTCATGGATACTGTTTATTGGAATATAAGAAATATAATTCGATTGGCAGTTACAGAACATAATACTGGATATCACTCAGTAACTAATTAGTGTATATTTCTAGGTTTTGTCGTTAAACATTCAGTGACCAATTAGTTGAGTAGTCACATTCCGAGTAGTTATACTGGATGGTACACATTCGAAACCTACATATAGCATTGACTCTTTCAGGATTTCAATTATGCAGTGCTAACAAGTACCAGCTAACACAAAACATAGTCCTAAAGATCACTAGAATTTGAATGCTGCGAGAAGGTATGGTACTGGATCACTAAACATTTGTTATTTATTTATTTGAGAGACTAAATATTTCATTTGGAATTGGTAAAATCAAACTATTAACCTTTAATTAAGCTGTTTTCTAGATGCTAAAAATGTTATGCTACTTGAGACATCATAATTTTACAGAATACAATAAGAGCGATGGACCAATAATTTAAAGATTTATGTAAGTCAGTGATCAAGCATTTGCTTATGATATCTACCCAGCCTTGTTATTATTTGTTAACTCCTATAGGCTTAGTGTTTTTACTTTCATTCAGTGTGGTACTATACATACTGTGATCATACAAGTATTTCATTGAAATACAGTTATTTATTATTGTTAACATACCAGAGTTTCATTAATTCCCCCACCAAGAAGAGCATATGTATTAGCTGAAGTAATTATGAATTGATAATAAGAATTTTTCGGAGGTACAAATATCATTGAAAGACGAATTATTCCTGTCCCGTTAAATAAATCTTTTGGTATAAATTCTGGTTCGTAAAGATATGTTTCTTGTAAAGTTGTATTTGTCATTTGATCGAAATTTATTAACAGCAAGTCACTGACACTTGAGGCCTTCAAATCAGACCAAAACTGAACAGTTAATCCTCGATTCCCTATTGATTTTAAAGAATAAAGATCCATATTTTAACTTTGTTGAAATACATGACAAATAAATGTTACATAATTTTATTCATTTAGTTCTATGGCGATTGAAATTATATATAAGTCAAATTTATGTTAATCATTCCCTAGTAATTTCATGATTTGAATGTGCCGTGTATACTTCTCTACTTGAAAATGGATGGAGATGAATTTCATTTGAAATCACCAATGCGAACAGCTGAGAAATATCCCAATGGGATGAAGAAAATTTGCCAATACTTTCTGGTTTCAAATGGGTTTTCGACTGATGTGAAAGATGATGAAAAATATCTTCAAAATCAACTGATTCTCAGAAACCAAAACAATCATAAGAAATCTGTTACGTTACCGAGAAGAAAAATAATGTTTGTGTACATAAACTAACCTGGATAAAAATTAGGTTTCGGCGTTTGTTCAATTTGATCAAGGATACAATTAATATACGTTGAATTTACCAATGTTGGTGAACATTTTGTATATCCTACAGAGATTTCAATATCATTTTGAGAATTTAAATATTCTCCTGTAATTTCAATTGAACCGCCTCCAAACGAAGAGGTTTGAATGGATGTAACATTGCTGATAACTGAAATATAATAATAATAATGGTAAAACCGGAATGTTTCCGAATACGTATGGTGATATAAGTCAATTTTGTTATCTCATTCTAGACGTTGAGATATATTTATAGATGCAACACATTTAGACATTTAATAAGAATGTCAACAGTCAGGGAACATTGCATGAAAATGTTTTATCCCGAGAACTATGAGTGGTAACTTTTGCGAACTATTTATGGACCGATACAATACATATATTTTTATTGTATAATTTTTATGTAACTAAACACACATATTCATGTTTCTCTTATTTTAAGCTTTATTTTGATCTACAGAGTATTATTATTATACGATTTATGCCCAGTCTATTGATTACAGTCTCCCACATTCACGGCCATTTTTGGCTAGATCTTGTACAAATATTATTTTCTAGTTTGATCTGTTTGGTTTGTATATAAACCTAATATGTTCGAAATATATGATTCATATCGTGGAGGCTGAGATTGGTGTTCTGAACTTAACACGCAGGGTTAGGCAAGGAGAAGGACAGATAAAAACTCTAAACTGCTCGTACGGGTTAGTGCGTCATTGGACCGGTCGTTCCGTCACTGTTCCCTAATTGGCAGTATCATCACGTCATATATTGATAGTGGCCTAAGGCTACAAATTATAACAGAAACATTCCGTAGGTTACAGTTTAATACAAAATATTTATAATAATGTAAATATGTAAAATTCATTTTCCCATAAAAACTCAAATTAAAAGAGTTTACATGGATACAATTCGAATCGATTTGTAAATTACCAATTATGTTTCCAGCCATTCACCACAAAGTAAACTTATGATATCATTTAAAGTCTTTTTAAAATTATTGATATTTAATGTTATTAAAATGAAATAAATTTAATTAAAACTACCATTCATAAACATTTTTCAAAATCCTCCCTTAAAAATATAAAACCATTCCATTAATTTGTGACCTGGAAATATTCAAAGATTGTTGGATTTCATAGTCTACGTAAAGAACTTATCAAAGTTAAACAATCACTGATAACCATGAAGTACTAGACACTTGTTTCGTCCAAGTATAAGACTCTTTGGTAGTACTGATTCATAATCCCACTGGAGATTGAATTTAGATATGAAAATCATTAGATACTGGTTCACTGATACAAAGGTTAAACGATAGTCACGGGATTAAAAGCTCCTAGATTTGATTATCACTGGGGTAACTCTTGGTTTTTAATAGTCGTCTAACTTGAATTAGTCCTTGACGTTAATTTTAGGAAATGTATTCCTGAATTGACATAATCGGTTGTACTGTTAGAATAGATATTGTCATACATTTTATTGCATTATTTAAATGGTTCACAATTCTGTCCAAAAAAGCAAACACTTTCCTAATGTTTGTTTCTAAGGTAATCGAATGTTGTTTACTATTACTCAAAAAATCATCATCAATTATTTACCGGAATAAGATTGATGCATAAATGTTTGTTCATTTCTGTCAACTCGATAAACTGATTCCAAAGTTTTACTTCTGAAGAAAAAACGGGAAGAAATGGTGAGAAAAATTAACTCTAAAAAATTACAATACAAACACTACTTGGATAAACGTTTGTATATACAAATATAGATAACAGTGATTTGATATCATTTTGGAGTTATTCAAATAATCAAATTGTTTATCTCTTGAAAGAATTAATTCTCAAATTTCAAACGAGTAATTTTCTTAAGATGTATTCATTAGATTGAATGAATGACCGGATAATTGCTGAAAAATTCCCATTATATTAAAAACACAATTGTATGAACGAAGAATATTCTTTTCAATAATTTCTCATCAGGTTCTACAATTATAAATCCAGATTAATAATCTATAAAATTGGCCAAATTTAAGGCAAAATACATCGTTTGGAAATTGTAATATGCGAATGAGGAATTGTTTTGTTATATAAATAAAATTGTTAATGTTGAGGCTGACTAGTATGAAGTGTTAACTTGAATCAGTTTATAAGCGAAATGAAATTGTGAGATAAATTATCAGAATTAATATGGTCAACATGGGGTAAGAGAGAGAGAGAGAGAATATTGTGATTACAAATCAGAAATTGCGTAATATGTAAAATAATTAGGTCAAATATAGTAGATTCAGGGGTGGATATTGAATAAATTCATCAAAAAGGGGTTATCAAGTGTAAAGACAATAATAATAATAATAATAATAATAATAATAATAATAATAACAATAATAATGATATTAACAACAGTAATAATAATAAGTTTGGAACATATAATGAACATTAATCAGATTAGGTCACCACATTATAAGATTGATTGTTAGCTAGATGGCCAGGGTAAAAGGAGTGGCTGAACATACTCCTTTTGGATACAAAGCTCTGGCTTTTTGATCCGAATAGCAATTGCTTCAGTCGTCTGTAGGATTCGCAGTCTGACGGAATTAGGTAGACTGCTGTTGGCACGATAAACTATTGCAAAAGATTGCTCCATGTTAGCTGTATGTCCTGTTTGGACTAAATGGTCTAAGATGGAGCTGTTAACAGTTTTGACAACACCTTTGCTTAACCACACGGGTAGGTGCTCACGAGCCCGAATATACAAATTCCTAGAACATCTGCCAATATAACTTGCTCCACAGGAGCAGTTGAATTGATAGATACAGAAGGAGGTGGCTAGTCTAGGCAATTCATCTTTCAACCTCGGAGTGACTATTGGTCGTGTGGAAAATACTAGTTGTAGTTTAGCTGCGTTAAAAGTCCTTTGAATTGATCTACTTAACTTGAGTCCTAACATTTCACCCTGGCCAACTAGCTAATAATCAATCTTAAAATATGGTGACGTAATCTGATTAATGTTCATTTCATGTCCCAAACTTATTATTATTACTGTTATTATTATTATTATTATCGTCTTTACATTTGATAACCTCTTTTTTGATGAATTTATTCAATATCCACCCCTGAATCTACTATATTTGACCTAATTATTTTACATATTACGCAATTTCTGATATGTAATCACAATATTCTCTCTCTCTCTTTCTCTCTTACCCCATGTTGACCATATTTATTCTGATAATTTATCTCACAATTTCATTTCGCTTATAAACTGATTCAAGTTAACACTTCATATTAGTCAGCTCCAACATTAACGATTTTATTTTATATGACAAACAGCAATTCTTAATTCACATATTACAATTTCCAAATGATGATGTATTTTGCCTTAAATCTGGCCAATTTTATAGATTATTAATCTGGATTTATAATTGTAGGACCGGATAATTAATAATTATAACTATTATTTAATTGCATAATGTTCATTTCACATATTATGCACTAACGGCCGGTCTATAATTTATGGACGAGCCAGTCAGAAGCGTTTGAGGGATTTCAAGGTCACGGCACCCATTTCAGTACTTGATGCTCACTGTATGATCGGTTCACAGCGGATTTTAGAGAAAATATGATAACATCTAAGACTACTAAGAAATTCATTTGTTTGTGATTGTGGTAATCAAATGACTTCTGGACTTTGTGCGGACTACGTTAATGGTGTTGTCTTTCAACGTAATATTTGTTGGAGGAAAAAGTCTGCTAGAATAGTGATTTTTCGCTTGATCCAGATTAAGACTATGGCAAATTATGACAATTGTTGCGAACTGGATAAAAAAGCACCAGTAACACTGGCTGCAGCCGGGTACTACAATATATACGGATGATTGGAGAGCGTACAGATGCTTACATAGACTTGGTTATGTGCATCGTGTCATTACCCACAAGCAGCATTATGTGGACCTAACAACCGGAGTGCACACAAACAATATTGAAGCTATATGGTCGAGGATGAAATGGTTTTTGTCACTTTATCATAGCTCCAGAGGCCGACTATTATAGAACCATATGGGTGATTTCCTCTACCATATGCATTACGATTTTAGAATCTCTGAACCTCTTTCTAATCTTGACAAGTTTTTGAAGCATGTCCACTTTAATTATTTGGTTTCATATATTATATTTTTACTGTATACTAACTGTTTTCTGATGAGCCAATATTTCTCAAGGTCATTAATATTCGTTCAAACGTCGTTCATAAATTACAGTCTCGCCATAAAATCTCGTAAATAATATATACTTTATTGTCGATAAAAGAAAGAAATATATTTACCAGAGAATGAATCTACTATTCAGTGTATTATGTCACTGAGCTGATTATGAATTTCATTTCAATCCTTTTCACAGAAGTCTTTTAAAGACTGATGTGAATGAACAAATTCAATACAATGGTTGATTGCAACTTTGAAAAACCTTGTATCTAGGGTGAATGCCACTGTTTATTTACAGACCCAAGTAACCATAAATTAAAGAAAAAAATTGATTTAATGGTTTGGGTTCAATCGTTTAACGCATTGTAAATTGTCCAATAAGGTTTTAATTCGACCACGTAGCGCGATGAATGAGAATTTGGAGTAAAAATTTCCCTGTTAACTGAATCAATGGCTTCAAATGATGATTTTCAACTTAACCGCTTCCAATTAAGGATTAGAAGCACTTAATTAGTCTGTATATATTATTTTATAAAAGAGTTACACCATATATATCATATTTGAAATGTAGTTCGTTGAGGTTTAGATCCCAAGTTTTTTAAATTGACACTACATGATGAAAACTCGAAATACATTAAAAATGTTCTAGCTAAGCTCATCTAACCTAGGTACATACTGTTTCTTTCAATTTATGCTCTTTACAGACTTTAAAACACCATTTACAAACAGACTTTAACTGAATGAGATATATGCACCACGTCGGGTAAGGCAATTACTTAACGATAGTGGCGGAAGATAGTTTTGTAATATATTGAGTTGTATGATGATAAGCACTTGGGCCATCGGAAGCCGGCTTAATGACTTAAAGGCCAAATGCTTCCCGGTAGTCCATTAAGTCCTGGGTTCTATCCCTGGAGAGGTTATAGATTCGGACTGCTGTGGACTTCATACTAGAATGAAACAGCTGTTTAATGATTCCAAGTTTTTCAACAGTTTTCCAACTAGGGTCAGTCCATGAACTAAATCGGGAAATTCAGTAATCTCCACAAACCCTCTATACTAATAATTAATTTAACGTTAAGGCTATTGAAAGTTATCTGAGCAAGATAATCATAGTTAAAACGAAATACATATAATTTGATACACCTACTTACCTTCCATATGGCGCATCAACTATGAAACTGATATTCACAGAACCTAAAGTTCGTAAGAAAATGATTATAATATTTATATTCATTATTACCTGTATATGATACACTTCGTTTACACATGATATAACCTTTGTCTGATGTAGGGGAAAGTAGACCAATACCATAGCTAAAACAGGAGATAGTAGGAAATAAAGCTGAAATTAGGCAAGAGTAAACAAGTATTATTAATAAGTGATTGATATCTGTCACTTACATCTTGAATAAAGTCACCTAACTAAGAAATTAAACAAACATTCTACTGTAATCAACTTTTAATGTTTACAAACGATCAGTTTTATATCTGATGATCTTTACTTTAAAAAAAGTTTAAAAAGTCTTAGATAATTTTTAATCCCTGCTTAACTTATTCACGGGTTATTCTGTCCATATATAAAACATCTATTAAGATTTCTTTGGTCACTTTGGAATTTCCAAAGTTATTTATTGCAATAGAATGGTAATAATTTATCAAACATACTTCAATTTCGATATCAGATAAGGAATATAATTATTCAACTGAGATTCTCAGTACTAATTTGTCTGACAAATAGTATTTGTTGAAGGAAATACTTGATACAATATATACTATTAAATCCAAATCACATATTTACATACATTATATTTCCTTTATTGGTCAGCATAATCGATGAAAAAGAGTTGGAGCAGAACAGTGAGGTTTCATGATATTCTGTAAATTCCGTTCAGTTACTTACGGTTTTGTCATCCTTAAAAAGTAACGCTGAATTATTTGGTCAACTAATAATCAATACAGATGATAAGCAAATTTAGAAAACATGCAAAGATTTAAACATGAACCATGACATGAACTGCACGAATATGTACATTTACACATAAAACAAGGATACTACTTTCATTATTTGTTAGTAGTACATTTTACATAAAATAAATTTTCCAGGAAAATGAAAACAACGATCTAATGTCAATTAATTTATTAACAAAGTCCGTGAAAAGATTGTTAACTTACTACAAGTCACTATTCGGTAGTTGAGGTTCACAATTTCCTGGACCATCGTATATCCTTTGTTTCACAGTTAAAAAAGCACAACATAATAGAAATATTGTACTAGAGTTATTTATATAAGTTGAATCTAATCAAAACGGTCAGTATTTGTGTGGTTTACTTCATGTAACAGCAGTATATTGTTTCAATAAAGAAAATTCTAAGGAAGATTTCACCAAGGAATTGGATGTAGTTCAGATATCTTTATCCATACCTGTAAGAACCTGTTGTTATCTGACTAAAGTGTTTTTTTAGACAGTTGATTGTCATAAATCAATTCTTGAGTTGCTTTAGGCTAAACCATAACTAGAAACCTGAAATTGCTGAAAAGCCTTTTTGTCCCAGTGTAGGATGACGCAGAAATGTGAGTTCAGGATTCTGTACACAAACGTTTAAATTCCTTACCACCGAAGCGGTGTCCGACGGTGTTATTATCTACGTTCAATCGATCCATGATCTTGCGCAACCCACCATCCATTGTCTGAGGCGGATAAATGTATTACACGCGACATGGATTAAACACCACTGGTCACAGCCTCTCATTAGAACTGCAGGAAACTCATCTTGAAGCTAGCCATTAATGAGCTCCCAAATGCCTTGGTACGGCCGAGGGTGGGGAGAGTTTGCCATCCCACTCAATATGCTCTCACATGGCCAATTCCATGATGCCTTGAAAGTCCTAATCACTGCCTGCTCGCAGCAGTGGTATTTTTTTTACGAAACTGAGAGAACGAAAAGTGGGTGTCCAGCGCTTTAGCCAGTTTGGTGGATATGGAGGACCCACCTAAGGGAGTTACAAAATCCTGTTTCCAAACCAATAATTCACGTGGGCTTCAGGATCCTAAGGAGACAACTGCCGTATGAACCAATCGTTGATCACCGTTTACCGTTGGACTACATCTCCTAACATTACTCCACTGCCTTGTCGGTTAGATCTTTAGGTCGAGGGCTTTGGGTGTGGCCTCCTAAGAAAATCATCTGCTTCGGTCTGGGTGCCCGGACATTACTCTAACCTTCACACAAACTAAATGATTTATGTGATGCATATATATTTGGTGCCTCCTTGTATCAATGTTTATATGTTTAAATCAATAAAATCATGAATATCAATGTGGGCATTGTAGTAGTATTGAGAAGTTACGAACTAGGACGAAAGCTATCCAGTGCTTACAGGTTTTCAACAGTGATCTAGCTTAGATCAATTTCTGAATTCAATCGTGCAAATACTACAATCTGCACAAATTCCCATAGAGCTGATTATGTTTTGTTTTCGAGATAAAGCTGTCTTAACTATTTTAAGTATAAAAAACAACATTCTTTATTGCTTATAAGTAAAAATGGACAGTGGCTAGCATTGGAATCCAGGACGCGTGTCTCGTTTTATTTGGGACTAGTCAGCTGGATGTACTTGCATCTCAGAGTTGACGCTCACTCTGCGACTTGCACCCAGTACTATTAACTTCAAGCGCTATCACGTTATCCACTCAGCTACTGAGTCCATCTTTGCTTCTAAAGCTTGTAACTTAAGGCAATATCGAGGCAGTCCGCACAGGACGCACATATGCTAAGAAGGGACTGATCAATCGCAGTCCCAAACAACAATGAAAAGATACAAGCAAACAATACCAAGTAAATTATTCTTTATTGTTGCTTATGACAAAGTTTACTAATTTATGAAAAGATGTTGCAATGCAATGATAATCTACTTGACTAAAAGAAATAGATATCAGCATATATGTGATAAACTCCCCTTTGAATGTCAGTATATCATCAAATCTTTATGGCTTTAACAATTAGTTTCAAAAAAGGTAGACTGATCTAACGTCTGTAACTTCAAACATTTTATTCAACATTTAGTTTGCAAAGCATTTTTCTACAGGTCACAATTAAACTTCACCAATATTTTTTTAAATTGAAATCATGAGTCAATTGAATCTAGACCACCATAGAAAACCTGGAAGCAGGGGACGGCCATTTTATCCTAGTATGGGACTCCTTAGCAGTGCGCATCTACGATCCCGCAGCCCAAGAGATTCGAAACCAGGACCTACCAGTCTCGCGCCAGGCGCCTAACCACTAAACCACTGAGCCGGCATCCAATGGTGTTAATTTCTAACCTCAACCAATCCATTAATAATTCATTAACAATTGTCAACATGAAAGTTTAGATAATAAATAGTTTTAAAAATAGACCAGTAATATGTCAATGTATTAGTCTACATTACAACACTAAACACTAAATAATTTCTTTCAAAATATACACAATGACAAAGTATTAATAAACTATATACGATTGAATGATTTCATCTTCAGATGGTGGTTGGAGGTAGTCAAAAACCACCACCTGATCTCAACATGGTGCACGCAATGTTGAGTCACCTAGACTAATGGCCACATTGCGACTTATTTGATAGGATTCTATCTGACATTGATTACCACCTAATGATCAATCATTTGCAAAGACTTCATCTTCACAATGTCTTTTGGAAGATATGAGAAATGGATGACAAGGTCATTGTTAATTATTATCACAGATAAACTTAAAACATACTTAAAACACATAATTGGCTACATTGATTTATCTAACAAAGTCAAATACAAATATCAATCTATAATGAAATTACCTAATGATACTTTGTGGTCTGCCAACTGTGAAAACATCTAAATTTGAACTAAAACGACTAGTGAAAATTGTTCCATTCAATCCAATAACTGAGCCTAATATAAACATGCATAATATAAATTATATGACAGATTATATATATTAGAAACTTCAGTTTCATTAACAACTGATTAAAATAATACTGAAAAAATTTCAATGTTAAAAGGTATATACTATCATTATTAGTCAATGAAATTAAATAGTCATTAAAGATAGTATGGTGTGTGCTACTCATGTTGACTGATCTAAGTAGTATGTATCATGAATAGAAAATGAAATGCCTGGAGGCAGAAGGTTAAGAAAATCAAAGAGAAGAGGACGAGAACAGAGAATGAATGGCGTGGAAACGAAAGAACAGTCAAGTCTAAGATAATTAATTGATATTTTGTAAATGAAGTATTTACTCCATAGTTCTCAGATTTTCCTATGATGTTCTATAATTTTGTATTCGAATACATTCGATTGTCCCCATTTGTGTTCTCATTCACTACAATAGACTGTATGAAACAAGATTTTATGATGTTTGAAGAGATCTAAATACATAAAACATCAATAAAACTATATTTATTGTAAAGTCTGAACATTTTATAAATGTATGAACTGTTAAAGTATGCCTATTTGATTTGTAAATACATTACCTGGTGGGGCATAGATAGGTGATACCTTCTCAATAGTAGGAGTTACTGATGATTTAATCTGAAAATTAATAATGGAAAATGAAGCATAGTGACGGACAATAAAAACAAAGTTTAAAATGATCATATAAGTTGAGACGTAAAACATTATAGGGAAAGAAATGTTTGATAAATTTTCAAAGACATATATTCTAATAAAAGAAACTAATTAAAAAGTTGTATACGACAAACTTCGTTATGAAACAAGATCGGAGAAGAGGTCATGGTATAGTATATACCCGGGTGGCCTACTTGGATATCTGGGCTACCTGTTCTTGTCATCTAGATATTTCAACAAGCTTTCTGTTTCCTTATTTGCTTTAGCAGTTAATCGCATAACCTATTAAGGTGCGTTTATGAAAAGTTTACGACCATTCGCTGTAAAAGTTACAAAAATATACAATCGGAGATATCGTGATGGTTGGCAATGTGGATTGAAAAGAGTGAATATTATTCAGATGTCGACTTCTGAAATGTTAATATCGAACTGGCGACAACTCAATATCGATCAAGAAATAAGAAACGGGAACTCGTTCAATTATTTTGTGCTGAGAATTCTATATTGTACCAAAAATATAATATTGAATAAAACTAATAAATAAATAAATATATAAAGTATTGCTTAGAGTTACTGAATAAACTTGGTAGTATAACCACGTATACAACTTTTAATAAACTTAAATATTATCGAGTCACGTTTATATTTAAGTAATACCCCATTCATTCAAGTCTAATCCTTTCTATTCATAACTCTTGTGGTCTGTTTTTTCTTGTGAGTTCGAACTATGAGCTTCTCTTTGACCTGTTGTTGTCGTCGTCGTTATTGTAAGATTTGTTGATTTTGATCTTTCTTTCATGGAGTCAGAACTATCATTGGTTAGCATATTTTGTATTGATTATCAAGTTACAACTTTAGGATTATTTATGGAAAGTAAGAGAATAGTTCCATCGATAAGTTAAACTAATTTAAATAATTTTTTTTCAGCACAATTGTGATTTGAATAGTTGAGATCATAAGTCAATTGAAGCTAAACCATCACGGAAAACCTGGAAGCACTGAATGGCCATTTCGTTCTATTGTGGGACTACTCAGCAGTGCGCATACATGATGGTCTAGCTTCAATTGACTCATGATCTCAATTATTGAAGTTGCTATAATATCCACAAAAACCCCTTCTGACGCTTGTAATTGTTTAAGAAATAAAACACTACAAATTATGTAATTTCTTTCCAACTTTCCTTATTAATGCAATATATTGAATACAGATATCCGATTCTGTTAATAATAATATTAAATTATTGTCTTTGAAAGGATATATTAACTAATCAATACGATTTTGTGACTATCAGTTATATAACTTTGAATAATATGACATCTTGTTAATTATTTTATACGATAAAGTTCGCAGTAGATATACATATCATTGTGGATCCATTTTGATTATTTGAAGAATGGAATATTTACGATCTTGAAATGTTTCAATTATTTTTGTCAAGTTTATCTACTGAAATCGATTATTAAGTTCAGATAATTCTTACAAAAAACACTTTTGTTACATTAAAGTTCAGTTGATGTCTTCTTTAAAATCTGCCTTTATCAGTTATATGTAAGATACCATTGTTTATCTCTATCAGTCTATTGAAATTATAAAAGATTTAGACATTAAAGAAGAAATTATACTTGTTCAAATATCATAGATTGAAATTAACAGTAACTTCAAACTTTTGCTTAATAGTTTGTTTTAACTTTCTTTAGGGAAGTAATCGAAAGTTAAAAGTATGAAGATTATGATTAGATTCGTAAAACAATTGTATGCTATTAACGATTATATTGAAGTTACATTAATTTCGTGGATTGGTTGAGGTTAGACAACAACACCATTGGATGACGGTTCAGTGGTCTGAAGGTTAAGTGTTTGCGCACGAGACCGAATGCCCTGGGTTCGAATCCCGGATCATGGATGCTCACTGCTGAGGAGTCCCGCAATAGGACAAAACGGCCGTCCGATGCTCCCAGGTTTTCAGTGGTGGTCTAATATCGATCGGTTTGTGATCTCTATCAAAAACTTGATAATCTTCACAACTTCATACTGTCAATTGTGTTCACTAAGAATTTTACCAATATATGGGGTTTCTTCAAATAATTCATCATCTAATTATTGTAAAACTATTTGTTTAAATTTAAACAAAAGTTCTTTTAGTGTAACAGATTAAATCGTAAATAGTAGACTCATTTATTTTAGTTAACCTAACTTGAGATGTTTTGATAATGGATTTCAGATAATAAATAACATATATTCTCAAGCCGTTGGATGTCGGCTCAGTGGTCTACAGGTTAAGCGTTTACGCGTGAAACAGAAGGACTTTAATTTGATTACCTATAATATGGTCATGGATTCCTACTGCTAAGAAACCCCATACAAGAACAAAACAGACATCAAGTGCTTAATGGTTTCCAAAAGTTTTTTAACATAGATCGATCCATTATTTCAATGAAATTAAGCAATCTTCACAACTTCATACTGATGGGTTCATTCTAATTACTGAATACAAAATAATAAACTTCATTATCAAAAGAAAACAGTACTTAAATATAATAAAAATGAAGTCAACTACTAACTGTTAAAGTGCATGTATATCCATAACACATTCTTGCATCTGGTATTAATATTCCAGAAACAGTAACCATAACTGTATAAGTATCTTCTGGAAGTTTTCTGTAAATTGAATTTTATACAGTGAACATACATTACAATAAATTTCAGTTAGATTGATTAGTTGTACTATAACTTTCTTGTAAATTAGAGTGAGAATATTTTGAACAAAAACTTTTCGTTTAAATTTACCAAGTTTTAAATAATACTGTAGTGGAGGAGAACTGGAGTTATATACTACTTATTTCGATTTAAGTTACACACACCACAATAATTTTGTCTAGTATATCAAACATTATTCAACACTGAACTACCCATTTAACGGTAGTGTTTTGATGTTATTGATTTCCAAATGTCTAAAAACTTCTGAATGATTACAACTGAAGGATATATTGTTTTTTTAAGTCTATATACTTGAATTAAGAATAAGTTTCTTCCAATAGTTTGATATTCTCTCATTCCTGATAATTTCAAAGTATATTCTTCACTTCAATTTAATAAGCAAGTAAAAAAGGTCTATTTCTTCCAATTAATGTGAGCTATGGTCCTAAGAGCAATGTACAAGACTGTTTCATAGGATTAAGATTTCACTGGTGGACGATTTATTAATTTTATTGAAAAATTAAGATGCTTTCTTCAGTTATAAACGTCTTATTCAATAGCACTTCATTTAATTAATACATAAGTAGGATCCGTTTTGCATCTTTTGATAAGTTTCCTATTTTCAGTTCACTTGGTTTTCATTTCCTGTAGCGAACGAACAACTCAGGTGGGGAAGACCAATTTACTGTTTAATGCAAAATTACACAGTGCTTTCATAAAATATGAAAACTATACATTAAATACATTATATGTATATCTTCCTTCAGTTTTCCTTTACATGCTTCATGATTCTTTTAATTCTGTTGTTATTAAAAATGATTCTTGTCAACATTCCTGTTCTTTTCAATTTGATCTTCTTAATCTTGTCAGACAATCTGCTTCTGATTGGTACTATATACTACTTATTTCTGTCAACATAAGTAGCATACAGTATATTTTTACACCTTTACGAGCGAATCATATCTTTATCTATTTGAGTGAAGCATCGACAAGTTTCACAGACATTTAGATAGATATATATCAGACCTATATTTGACTTTATTGGGAATCCTTGCTTAACTTCTTTTACACATGAAACTCGTGCTGTTCGTACGATATGGTAGAGGTCTACATTTAGCCTGTCGTACACTTCGGAAATCCATTACTATATGTGAAGTTAATAGGGTGAGAAAATGTACGATGTAAATTTACAATGAAGAATATTTTATATTCCAGCATTTATTAGCTTCCTATCTAGTTAATGAGTAAATGAGTATACATTGTGCTTTGTAATTAACTTAGTTCAACTTTCTGCTTGATGTAACTTTGGAAAATTAGTATACTCTTCACCATTACTGACCCTTAACTTTTGAAATTGATGTCAACTTTCTTGTTTGGAAAGGCGTTGTAAACTGTTCAGCTTTGTGAACATTAGTTTACCAGGACTTACTAAAAACTTCCAGTGAAAACTGTTACCCAAATAGAACAGACTAAGGAAATTAAATTAATACAGATGGTAAGACATGTCAGAAGTAATACACTAAGATTGTGAAACGTGGCCTTTAAAACGAGGGTAACTGTATGTTACTATTATTCAATCATAGTTACCTTGTGAGCATTGCTCATATATTTAGGGATTACTGAATGATCAAAGTTAGATGTAGAACACTAGGTAAGTATAGCAAAAAGGTTGATGTGGCTGCAAATATTCACAACTGAGGTGGTTGGGTTATGAATCTACTTATGAGCAGTTACCAGTTACCTTGACTCATGATATTAACTAGTGTAAGGTTTGGATGGACAAAAGCTAGGGTAGACCAAACCAAGAAGTGGCATCAGTCAAAAAGGTCATAGACCATTGGAATACAGTATACTACTACTACTACTATACGGTTCGGAAAATTACCGTAATTAATGGTTGAGAACATACTACAGAATTTGTCAGAATCGCGTGAAGCATTAACTCTGTGTTGTTGCTGAGATCTTGTTTAAAATTATTCTGTCTTTTTATTCTGTAAATTCATTCTTCTTCTCATATTATAATGTCACTATCTAATGTTTTCAGCTACAATTGATCCTATTACTACTTCGTCATGATAATGAGGTGTGGCAACTTGGATCAACATACCTATAAGCCGGGTTCTGTGTTGCTTATTTAAAACTAGTTAATTTAGAGGTAAGTCTTTTGTATATATAAAGTTTGTATTTTCCCGCACTTTCATTAAAGTTTTACCCTTGAAAACAAGTAAGCTAGTGATTGTTTATTGGACGGTTAATGAAATAATATCTAAACAATAGTTTGAAAAAAATATCTGAATATAACTAACGGTGAAGAGAATTTAATCATACTGCCTCCTTCTTCAATTAACTCAGCTCTATAAGTTTGCCAAGCATTCTTGAGCAATACACGATTCCCAGAGTTAGAATTCGATCCAGGTAATACAAATGCACTTTGTTCAAATCCTTTAGTAAATGATGAAAAACGAAATTGAAATATTTATAAAATGTTTTCAGTAGGACTGAACACGCATTTGAGTTTATTGAAAAGATTGGTAAATTAAGATATTTGTAAGAGTGTATATTCTAACTGTATTGGTGCATAGGATTATAAGTGACATCTATCTATTTGAATATAGTGTCATTGAGCTATTGATTCAATATTGCATATGGCTACATATTAAAAATCTTTGGTAAACTTAAGTCCAAGTGTTTAGAAATGGTGTATCTCGTTCCTTGCTAATTAGATCAGGTTGTCCACAAGTCATTAGAGATTAGTCAAACAAAATTTAAAATATCAATAACTGAAAAACGTATCGTTACGAATAACAAACATTTTAATATCCATTAGATGTATCGAGAACGATCATGAAAGCTAAGATGCACTAGACTATTAGTTAATTTGTAGTTTAGTCAGTGAATACTTACAACTAAACAGATTCAATGGTACAATTTCAGGTTTTAGAGTAAACAAGAAATTGTTGAAATAGTAATTAGTCTTTCAGATGTTTTATCAATTATTAAACCTACAATATATAACAAATATCAGTATTCAATGTAGTTAGTGAATAACTAGTTAACTCTCTTAATTACTAAATTCTCAGGAATGGTTCCTAAGCTCTTCTTGTAACCCCTAATCTGGATCTACACAGCAACTTGAACACGACAGAAAAGGCACGAAATTTTGAAGGAGCCCTTTACTCCAAAGGTTCGTTCATATACAAAAAATCTAGGGTTTTTATAGTATTTTAGATGGCCTTGGGTTTCCGGAAAATTCTAGAATACTACTAAGCATAGTAACAGTATAGGTAACCATCCAATCAAAAACTCGACATGTGAATCTTCACTTTCTATAGATTTCTGGCAAAACTTCTAGTGAATGCTGATTTGATAAGATGCTTCTCAATGTTTTCAGAGCCTTTTTACAACTTTATTAAAGGAGTTTTCTGGATCTTCTCAACAAAGTTAATCACAATTAATTATATAATTGAATTCATTAGTCATTTCGAGCTAGACCACCATGGAAACCCTGGACGGAGGTTTCATCTTAGTATGGGACTCCTCGGCAGTGCACATCTACGATCCTGCATCGCGAGATTCAAACCCAGGACCTATCGGTTTCGCTTGCGAACGCTTAACCTCTAGACCACTGAGCCCGTATCCAACGATGTTAATGTCTAACTTGAACCAATCCACAAAATTGCGCTACCGTTATATATTTACTTATAAGGAGAGTTTTGGAGAACGTTTTATGGGACATTGAATGTCAACTTAAAAAAACTAGGTCTCACTGCTTACTCTATTTTCATGCATATTATCTTATATATCATTGAATGATATATATATATATATAAAATAACTGTTTCATTCTAAGGAATTAGGGAAATGATTTAAACAATTTTATGTTTCGTAATTTAGGTTCTAAATAAATAACCGAAAGTCATTGACCAATATGTAATTTATAGATTAGTTCCAGAAAGTTTCATTGGTACATGATAAAACACACACGAATATTTAAGTCAAATGTTCGAAGAATATAAACAATTCATTATAGATTTCGATAATCCAATGTAAAGACGAAAGTTATCGAAATTATGTAATATATTTGCGCAATACATTTCGAACAATCTAATCACACATTTTGTACATGAAAACTGAAAAATCAACTAGGCAGATTAAAGGTAAGTCATAACAAAGAAAAATAAAGTACACAAAAGCAATGTGATAACCACTCTGAATAATAAATTAATATTACCAGAATAGGTTAAGGATAAGAACAAATTGTTTTTGAACATATTAAGGTGGTTTTAGTTTCGGTACAGCAGTGAGTATGGTAATGAGTTCTTATGTTCATTTATTAGTATTATGGTTTCATAAAGAAACAATCATTTAATTTCTATCAAGTACTCTTAACTTATTCTATGCATTGTAGGCAAAGATGGATGGTGGCTAGCAGTGGAGTCAAAAATGCGCGTTTCGTCCTATTTGGAACTAGTCAACTGGATACACCTGGATCCCAGAGTTGATGTTCACTCTAGGATTCGAACGTAATACCGATTGCGCCTTAGATTTCATCCAGTTTTGCTTATAATGCTTGTAACTTAAAACAATATCGAGGCAATCTAAACAGAATGCATATGTGCTGATAAGAAACTGATCAATTTCAGTCCTAAACAGTAATGGGAAGATTCAAATAAACAATACTAAAAGAATTTATTCTATGCATGTTTCACTCCGAAATGAATATTTTATAAAACTTAGTGAATTACTTAAGAAATAATAGAATCGGGTATAAACTAATCAATGACTTACCGCATCCGAAAATCATAATAGCTGAACCACCTTCTGTGCTGGCTTCACTAGGAGTTATATAATTAACTGCTGGGCATGATCTTTGCCCATCTGACAGATAAACTACATTATATTGAAAAAAATACAAAAATTCATTGTAATTGAATAATCAGATAAAATAAGACAACTAATTATTTTTCAGAATCCATTTAAAACTTGAAAGCCTGTTGGTATATTTAAAAAGATAATTTATTGGTAGTTATGGATTTAGAATTTCATAAAGTTAATCACATGACACAACTTTGAATAATGATTTATCATTTCCTATCAATTATCTACTACATATAAAGTTATCATTATGAAGTTGAGGAGATTATTGAATTGGATTGATATTACGAACAGATCTAATTAAGACAATCAACTTGGTCCATGATCTAGGGAACGTTCAACAATTTGCATATGCACATACTGACACTTATCATGTGCTCACGATGTTCTAGTGAGAAGCTGTGATCAGTAGAATTTAACAATGTCGAATGTGATGAAGGTATCCACGGCGTACAATAAAAGATGGTTACATGATATAACAGATTGATTGAAGTTAGACATATACATTATGGGATGTAGACTTAGTGGTCTAGAGGTCAACTGTTTGCGTGCGAGACCAAAGATCTTCGATACGTGAGTGTAAACTGTTAAGGAGTCTCAAAATACTATGAAAAGCTATTTAGTACATCCTGGTTTTTAGTGGTTATCTAACTTAAATCACTATGTGATCTCAATTAAAACTACTTATAAAATACTCGATATTGTCTTGTAAGATAATTTGGTTATTTATTTATTGTTTATTATCTTAATAAGTAAATGTTAAGTTTCATGTTTTCATAAAAGTAACACTACACTACTAGAAAATCAAATATACTTTAAGAGTTATTGTTGATATTCAATTTATTGAAGTCAATCAGCTGAATGCACATATTTAAAAAAAAATGTTTTCCTCAGAAGCTTGTGACTTAAGGCAATATCGAGGCAATCCGTACAGGATGCACATATGCCAATAAGAAACTAATCAACTGAAGTCCCAAACATCAATAGGAAGATTCAAGTAAACAATATCAAGTGAATTTAAACGTCACCCGATTGCACAAACAAGTGTTTATCAGGACTCAGTAACTAAATGGATAACGTGAAGGCGTTCAAATCCCAGAGTAGACATGAGCTATCGAATGTAGATACATTCAGCTGACAAGTCCTGAATTCCACTACCAACCACTATCTATCTTTGCTTAGAATGCTTGTGACTTAAGACATTATCGATGCAATCCTTACAGAATGCACATATGCCAATAAGAGATTGAACAAATGAAGTCCTAAACACCAATATGAAGATTAAAACAAACGATACAAATTGAAATTTTGCTTAAACATTGTTTATGCAATTCTATTTGATCATATTTTTAGTGTAGTAATTATTAAAACAATCTTCCAATTAATTTAAACTAATTTCATAGTGTTACTTATCAGAGAGAAAAAGCAAAACTTAACATAATAATTCACACTGATCAATCAATTCATTCGAAGTATTTGAAAACTTTCATTTGAAATTTATTTATTTATTTTCAATGATATAAATCATCATTGAATAAACACTTTGAGGGATCTATTCTTTTAAAACCTATTGATGAAACAAAGATGTATAATGACTAACAGTGGAATCCACGACGCGCGTCCCGTCCTATTTGAGACTCGTCAGCTGGATGTACCTGCATCCCAGAGTTGATGTTCACTCTGGGACTTGAGTGATGAAACAATTATATTTAATTTTCATTGTCATAGATTAGAACTGTTTAGTAATATAATGACAGATAATTTCGTAGTCTATTAAATCATTGAAATTAGATAATCAGTCTAGTGTTGTGGAGATCATCAAGTTTTTGATTTAGATTACGAAGCGATCGATGACAGACCACCAATGGAAACCTGGAAGCATTAGACGGCCGTCTCATCCTTTGAAAAATACAACCATTTGCAAGACTATTGTATTATTTTACGACAATAATCATGATAATAATTAATAAGTCAAGCTATTCCCAACTACTTTACTATGAACCAGACTATAATATTACTAGTACAGTGTTGACTAAATCGAAATACGCAGTACGAGGATTAGAACTTGAGACTTAATAGTTGAAAGTCAAACACCTTAACTACTGATTCAATTTTTCACATATTATAATAATGAAAAGAAATCCATACAAGCTGTAAGTGAACTACCATGATGATTGAGTAATGAAAATGATAAAATACCATTTAAAAGGACATTTTATACAAGTGATTTATATAATATCAGAATGGTGGTTTGTGGAGTTAGTAGTAATTTAATAGTTGAATTCATTAATCGATTTAAACTAGACCACCATTGAAAACCTGGAAGTACTGGATGGCCGTTCCGTCCTAGTATGGGACTCTTCATTAGTGTGCATTCACGATCCCGCATGCAGGACTCAAACCCAGGACCTACAGTCTCGAGCGCGAACGCTCAACTTCTAAACCACCGAGCCGGCATTCAACAGTCTTCATGCCTAACTAGAGTAAGACGGTAGTCCAGTACTTCCAGGTAGTCCAGTTTAAATCGACTTATGAATCCACCTATTAGATCTATACAGTAATTAGTTATCTGAAATTGATCATTATTATTTAAAGTTATGAAAAACATTTGGATTACAACATCTTAGTAAACTATGTTTTCAATCAAAATATATTAATTCTTGCTAAAAATACAATTAAAAACCTGTAAATAATAGAAACTTAAAGTAGTGTTGCAAATTCACTGGAAAAAATTACTTATAGTTAGCAATAACACTTACCAAATAAACCGACAAGATAAGCTAAGTACGTCAATTTTCTTCTAGTTATCATTTTTGTATCCGACCCAACTCAAGTCTTTGGCTTTATATATATATATATATATATATATATATATATATATATATATATATATATATATATATATATATATATATATATATATATATATATATATATATGAATACCATTTAAGTAATAATAAATGAACATATAAAAAAGAACAATAAGTAACCGGTAGAAACAGTCAACAAGTTAGTAAACACATAGCTCCCCCCACCGCTCACATACAGGCACACACCTATACAAAAAATACAGTGAAATATAATTTTTATTCGTTAGTAAAATTTGAACTGTTCAACTTTTATCGTTTATCGAGAATCTATGCCAAAACAAGATATAGAAAAAAAATGGTTGATTGTAGAGAGAGAAATGAAGGAAGACAAACAAACAAGAGAACAAATACTTTCATTCATTGTCATGGCAACTTATTTGATGTGTGAACAATCATACAAGTTGTCCCTGACATTTTACATTATTCTGTATTATTTTTTTAAATGTAGATAATGAATACAATACGTTTTCTGAGATCGTACTATTTATCACTATTGTACTAATGATGCAATGTAATAATAAAATGTACACAAAAAAATTATTTCTTCAATTAATTATCATTATTCTTTTCAGTATTGTTTATCAGCTTTTAATAAACTGTTTCCGTAGTTGTAAATTTTCCTAGTTATATGGGCTAATCACTATCCTATTAATGATGTATACAAGGGATATTAGGTAAATTCTATGTCAAACAGTTATTTGCGGTTGATTGTTTCTCTCTTTTTCTTTAGAGAAAATATAAGTTAAGACTCTACAATAGTGTACATTCGCCGTAGACAATCAGGATTGAAAGTCAACGTAATTTTTTTGGAAAACTGAATTGAAAACCACTAGCTCATATTTTTAATTGTATTACACATTAACAAGTAGGTTAAATGACATGAAAAGTTACAAGTAGCTTAGTTTGCCACATTGAGATCGATCTAATTATCATAGATACTATTTGATGTCAATTACATTGTTCCATCAATGAACTGAAGCTGAAAATATGAACAACTGAATTTGTATGAGATGACTGAACCTTTCCTGATAGCATATAATATAACATTTTTGTATCATTAATTATTTATGGCAATTTAACGGATTGGTTTGGAAGAAAAGTGGTTAATAATGATGAAATTTTCATTTTCAACTTACATACACTATATAGTGCAAAACTGTGCCGAAGAATAATGCACTAAACTATTTAGTGTAATTGTCAAACAAGGTTTAAACGGTAAGATCAAAACAGAGGTATTCACGAGATTATATCATACTATATCTGTAATTCAATATTAAAGTAATTCTCAGCATATCATAATTAACATAACTCAATATGGTATCAAGAATTGTAATTCATGTTCCTATAAGACCACATTTTAATTATCACACTCAAAAGAAATTACTGGGAGTTTTTATTTCCTCAATCTAATTATTCATTTGTGGAGATTGTATGATTTTCATAGTTTAAATCATGTACTAGACCACCAATGAAAGTCTGGAATCATTGGGCACCTGTTTCTTCCGAATATAGGACTCAGCAATTCGCATTCACAACTTCGCATCCTGGAATCGAACCCAGGATCTAAGCTTAACTCTCCAAACCAGCGAACCAGAATATAGTGGCGCACATACCTAACTTCAGTCAATCGACGATACTGCACAACCGTTTTCTATTACATGCGGTAGATAACTGTCTCACACCGGATATCATTGATTTCCGTTGGTCATGGCTTTTCTACGATCCTTATAAATCCAACTGGTCACTAGTGACCAGACTAAAGATCAAACCCTCTGTGTTCTCGTTCGAAGCCATGATTAGTGTAGTTCGAGTGTATCGCATGTAAGACAGTTATCCACCACAGACAACTTATGATAGTCACCCAATATCCTGGTTTCTAAGTGTAGTCGATTAAAAAATCAGTTCGTGATTTAAAACTATGGAAAATATCTTTATCTACAAATGTAGAATTAATATAGCAAGATATAATCATCTCTAATAATTCACTTAGTATTTTTTTGCTTGAAACGGTCGTCCTGGATTCCACTGCTAGCCACTATCCATCTTTGCTTATAATGCTTGTAAATTAAGGCCATATCGAAGTAATACGCGCAGTATCCACATATGCTAATAAGAGACTGATCATTTGCAGACCTAAACATCAATGTGAAGGTTCTAGTAAAACAATAACAAGTGAATTAAACTTCACCCCATTGCACAAGCAAGTGGCTATCAGGACTC